TGATCAGATCTCCACCATACCGAGTATGGCCACAAAATATAAAATTAACCATAACTCTAGTTTTTCTTAGTAAACCTAATATTTTATTTTATATATAGATAGATATAATCATTCTCTATCTATATATATAAAAATATATTACTATCTAGGCCTAGGTTATGCTAGATAAGCTTATCAGTTCTTAGAGGCCTTAGGTCACATGCTTCAACCCATATCCATGTGGATTAGGCAGGTTCAACCCATATCCGCATGGGTTGGATATGGATTTGCAGATTGGGTCAGCCAGTCTAACTGCGTCTGTATTGCTGATTCAAGAATCGAGATGAGGCCTCCGGTTAAAAGCTTGTCCTACAGCTTGTGTCGCCTTAGTACCACATTTTATCAGCAATAAAAATATTTGCAAACGACGGCTCTCTAACGATCAATTCATGTAGTTACTAACAAGTGGTTATGACGGGTTTTTGGCTCCGTGAAGCAAGTCGGGGCGAAGAAGCTGAGGTGGCCGAAGATGTGCCAGTTGTGGATTACGTTTATTCAAGCTGCGTTGAGCAAATTCAGGCAAACATCCCATGTAAGCTGTAGGCTGCACCTTACTAGCCTTCCAGGACTTTCACCCTGGTAAACGGTATCGGGAAGGCGAATACAGGATTCTTCGCTTTTATAAATGACATTTCCCATCATCGTTCTTCTCGCCATGTTGTCGATGATTACTCACCAAGTGTTTCCAGAGAGCGAGATCCTGTCCTTCCTTCTATAGGCAGATATTAGCTACGTTACTCAAAAATAACAGCTGGATTAGAACGTACTGCCAAGCCCATTGGCAAGGCCACGTCGCAAAGTATGGATTATAAAGATCTCCGGATATCCAGCGTTGATGACAAACACCCTGAAAAAGACGACAGAAACACTCTCGTGTCCATGCACGGGTTTTATTATCCATTAAATCTGGTCACCGTTTGTAGAACAGGTTCCTTGGCCACGGATGGTGCCCAGGGGAGTAGAATTGGCTCATCATGATCAGGACGCCACCTTTTGAAAGTGTCAGCCAGTTGAATGTAGGAAAGCACCATCCTGAAAAGCCATCTCCAACAGGTAGGATGGAACCGTGACTTTGCGTCTTCTCTCATAGCGACACGGAAACTGGGTTTGTATTGTCATCAGGGGAGGCGATACTACAGGGTATATCTAGGGCGGACATACGCTGTATTCTTTGGATTGTCATTGTTCTTAACCCATATCTCGCTAAAGCCGGAAAGAAAGCTCTATCTCTCCTTCTGGTCTGCAACTGATATGGACATAGCAGGTTAGCAAGCACATACCATATCGATTTGCTGCAGGCCTGGTAAAATATTTTATACCGCAGTCCACGCTCGTCAGCTTTCGAGTGTCCGGTATAAACGTCCCCATTCGAGCTCCCGAGTAGCAATATATCGGAATGGCAAATGTAACTTGTACTGCGTACCTTGGGTGAATGAATTCGGGATTCGTCAGTCCATAGTGAGTTAATATGTTTGTGAGATCACAGTGGGTGAACAAGTGCTTTTGCTCCTTTTTGTCTACAATAACATCCTTTAAACAACTTCTTTGGTTATGAACTGCTTTTAAGCGGCACTCCGGGATAAGCCCTTCTCAATAAAGGGACCGCAAATCTTGCACGCATCCATTGGAGCCAATGATATGCCAAGCTGATTAACTGAGGTAAGAAGTTGGAGCTACAAGAAGTACTTGAGTCTATGATATCTAAAAACCAAGAGGTTATCCTGCATCATCAATATGCGTAATCATCCATCATCCTAAATATGCTATGCGATCGCTTGCCATAACGCTCGGTGATATAACCATAATAAAGAGACAACTCCGTCCATGCAGTTTATAATCCACTCAGTGTTGTTGATCACGCTCATCCAATTCGATGATATTCGCCTCAGATCCAGTCAGGCGCTGGTTCTCCTCGTCCGATGGGATGGCAACCTAGAATACCATCAAGATCTCTCAATCAGCAAGGGCTCGAAGACTTTGGTACTGAAATCAATCACTCTTCGGGCCAGAAAAGTTCTAGCTGCGGCTTGTGATACCCACAGTATCGCAACGTCATATCTCTGTAGCAATCCGTATAAGGACTCGAGAAGATGCACCTGGGGAGGGAGGCGAGGATCAGCGCGGCGCGATGAGGGACTCATTGACTCGGGCGCCGATGGGGATGAATCGAGCAGAACAGCATCGAATCGGTAATTTTCTAAAACGATGGGGCGGGTAATAGTCTCCTCTGCGGTGTAGATGGATATCAGAAAGGGAAAACTCAAGTACATGGAGATAAGTAAACATACCCCTGGGGTCGTGGCTTGAATTGGGGGCTTGGGGCGGCACAAGTGTCTGAACAATAGAATTGAGCGTCTCAGGTTGAGAGGGTTGTATGTTTTGAATTCTATTCTGTTCCCTTCGGGCCTTATTCTTGTAATAGATGATGATGGATTTAAGTCCCGGGGTGCAAGCAACGAAAAGCGCTATCATAGCAATGATTGCTTCTGGCGACAGCGCCATTGTAACGGGAACATAGAAATAAAGATACTTGAATGCTGCGTGACTATGTGTTGGACTTGTTTCATAGATTCATTGCTGTGGAACTGTCCTCTTTTAAAGCCCGGGTGGCTCTAACATACTAAGTATATGGGGTCGAGTCTTGGAAAATTGATGAGAGAGGTAGTGACTGCAATAAAGTTGGTAAAAGTAAAGAAAAATATCATCCAGTAAATAAAAGAAGGTTTTTCCTTATTGGATCTGAACCATTGGACTGGGATATTACTGGCAGATATGGTTCCTAGTTAGTGCCTTTAATGAATTAGATATTATTCGGCAACGCTTGGATATGGCCTTGGCCCGGCTGTTGCGGACTAAACGATCCTCCCCTGGGTTCCGCTATGGGGGCTTTGCTTGCCTCGTTCGTCGTAATCACAGAGACAAATTCTAGACTAAGGATCTACCTACAATAGTACTAGTATCTATCTGCCCAAGGGCCTCTCGGATGTGGAGGCTGATATTCAGCCACAAACATGTTGATTTACTACCGGGCCTGGACCTCTGAGGACCTTTGACATATGCAAGACCTTGGGCAGATCTGCGAGCATGACTTGGCATGTAACCTGATAATCCGCATTACATGGCAGGTCATGGTCGCAGATCTGTCCAGCCGCCCACAAGGAAGCTGTCCCTAATCACCAAAACTATAGCTACATATGATCTTGCTTTGCGTCCGTCTATCCTATATCGTGTATGGATGTTGTTTCACTTCTTTCTCTTCATATTTTTCTTTCATTTGCCATTATTATCATTACTATCATCATAGTTACTTTTCTTTACTGTTAATTTGAGTTTTTAGCCCCTCTGATATTTGGCGGGAAATTTAGTAGGTAAAAAAGTAATAAATCAAAATATAACAATGTCGGTTAAGAGTGAATAATGACTATCCGTTGTACGTAGATACGGCTTCACGATTGACCCACTTCATCAAGCTACCTGTCATGCTAGAGTGTCTCTTGGATCTTGTACCACTAGCCTCCCTTATGGTCTCAATGGAACAAAGTGGGATTGCGAAAAGCCAGATACAGGCTGTCATTTGTCCCAAGGTGACAGGGCGGCGGGCTACTGAGTATTCAGTAGTCCTTAAGCCGCATGGTCACGAAATGCCAGATCCCCAGTGGTGTCCAATGGTGTGACTCGTCCGTCCTCCGTCTTCTTGGGATCGTGCTAGAACACAGACTGGGATTTCTGAGCCTCTTAGACCTTTCCTTTCGGCTACGTGCTCTGCTGCGCCTCCCTTGGGTGACTAGGTCATCATCATCAGCACTCGGCTAATCGAAACTCATCCCGAAGAATGCTTGTCCTTTGGTAGCGCTGGTTAGCGTCTTGTCTTCGGTCGCTTTGAGATCATACATGAGCGCTAGCCATTTAGGGATTATTGCATCATTATCATCCCTACTGTCCTTTTCCCTCTCTTCAATGCAAGGATCCTGCTTCGACCTCCAGATATCATTTATATCAGCACTATACCATCTGGCCTTGGACTTTCGGGTCACCTCATGTTATACCCCGGTTATCAATCAATTATTTAACTATAATGTGGAGTTTCTTTCCTTTTAGTTTGAGTTTCATTTTAGCATCTCAAATGTCGGGTGCGAGAAATTTAACCAGTAAAACGACAAATGAAAATAAAATAATGTGGATTAGAAGTGTATCAAAAGTGAATGCTACATGCTGAGACCACAGCAAGAGCCTCATGCTTCTCATAAAGAGATGTCAGTGGTAATAGACCAAGGCTGTCACAGACAAGGCGCATAGGGTGCTCAAAGTCAAGCCTATCAGCTCTCACGAAGTGATATCCGAACTGGACGTAAACTCCCAGTCACATGATGCCCATACATGTGAAGCGATGGATGTGTACGCAACCACATCCGGATGAATTCATTGAATGCATTGAAAGTCTAAGGCAGCGTTTTAAAATCGATATCTGAATCTCAGTTTACTCACTGATCGCTGCTGCCGTCTATTAACACTCCACAGCCTCGCGATCACTCATGGCGATGTCCAAGATGAACATGTTAGGCTCCTGGGTGACTTCTTTATACCGGTCCTCGCGACCTGAATACAAAGTCCGTGGCATTACCCGTGACATATCGAAGGAATCAGCTGAGGAACTTGTCAAGCAAGGTGTTGAGGTTTTCTTGGTACGTGGTCAGACGTTCCATCGGTGCGCTGGGTACTGATATGATATATATTATGGCGGACTGAATGTACAAAACCGGCCAAAACTTTTTTTTTGTAATCTGCTTGTATTACCTATAGCCACTATTTCCACCATAACCCTGAACAGCATGTATACCATATAGTAGGGATATCGAATGTCATCTTGTATCAATATCGAATGTCATCTACTAGGTGACATCGATGGATATCAAATGTCATCTAGTAGGGATATCGATACTAGATGACATTCGATATCCATACTAGGTGAATCGCGCCAACTGAGCGAGCTTTTCGAAATCCATCGTCGCTCCCAGCAAAGCCTGGAATCCAACTTCCAGCCCGAGCTCCTTATATAGCCAAGTACGCAACTCCACCCCGATCATCGAATCCACCCCGTAGGATGCGATTGAGCTTCCGCGCGTTTCAAATTTCTCGATCGGTAGTAGAAGGATCTTGGCGCACTGTGCGATAATGTGCTGTGCCACCGCTTCCACAGCCTCGTCGGGTGATTTGCCAGCCAAGGTCTCGAGGAACCCGGCCCCTTGTTTGTGGTCCTTGCTGTGACTCGTGAGCGTGTCGACCGTGCTGCGGATATCGGCCAGCCGGGAGTCGTTCGCCCAGTATGCATCGGTCGTGTCGGCCGAGGTCATAGCCGCGGCCAGCGAAACCGCCTCGAGACCAAGCAAAATCTGGGCTTCCCCAAGACGTGCCTCTTCATTTGATGAAAGCGGTCCCTGCAGCATGGCTGCCTCAAAGGCTTGCAGCATCTCGCGTTCATCGATGCCGTAGAGACCTTTGCGGCTCAAGGACACTTCGATGTCTGCGTTCTCCGCCACGACACCAACATCGTACACCATGGGTAGTGCGATGGAAGACGCGGCTAAGCCATGGCTGCGTCGGTACCACGCCAGTGAGTCGAGATAACTGTTTCCTGCACAGTAACTGGCTTGACCTGGGTTACCGAGCACGGCGGAGATGGAGCTAGTCATGACGAAGAAGTCTAGCGCCGTATCAGATAGCGCCTTGTGTAGCGAAATCGCCCCATTCATCTTGGGGTTGACACTGGTGGTGTAACTCTTGTAGGTCAGACCTTCAAACATGCCGTCCTGCAAAACGTTAGAAAGCTCAAGGCTAATCTGGGCGGTCTCCTACCTGAAGGACCATGGCGGCGTGGACAACCCCTCGGATGGGGATCGCAGCTTCTACCGTGGTGACGACCTCCGCCACAGCGTATTCATCACCGGCATCCACTCGGAATACCTGTACCGAGGCACCCTTCGTCACCAGCTGCCTTACCACTTCAGCAGCTTCGGGCTTGTCGGTACCAGATCGGGAGAGGAAGACGAAGTTTCTGCACCCCCTTTCGAACATCCATCGTGTAAGGCTTCGCCCCAGGCCACCAAGACAGCCAACGAGGAGATAGGCACTCGACGAGGAAAAAGAAATTTCCTTCCTGGGTTCTATGGACTGCGGAATGTTAGCCTGCGGAGGGTCCGATGGTCATGCAAAACGACTCACTGTAATTTTGCTCCTCCCATATGCAAACTGGAGAACACCGTGCTCAAGCGCCACTTTCTTGCCAGTCAGACTTGAGACATCTTGGAGTCGCTCGGCGTCCACGATGGCGGGAACCTGGCTGAATCCCCGGTTCAGGACAATGAGCTCAACAGCTCTTTCCAGAACATTGACAGCACGGAGCGGGTTGCTTTCAGCCAGGCTCCGAGTACCGCAGGTAAGGAATGACACTCCCCGAGTAAATGGCTTTGGATCAAGAGGCCAGTCTACCGGTGCATCGGTGAGAACAAACTTACTGCCCGAAGGCATACAGCGCCAGGCCTCCTGCACCAAGGTGGATGCGGAGCACCCGACGACAAGGTTAGGCGCTTTCGAGGAAGATATAAGACCTTGGATGCTCGACAAATTATCTGCAACTGTGACCTCCAGTCCCATAAGTCGACCGAGCTTGGTGACAGCATTAACGAAACCTGGAGTTGCCGCCAGTAAAAGCACACGATCTCCTGGCTTGGCGTTTCCGGTGTCGAGAACTGCATCAATCGCTCTACAAAGCGTCGGTAGTGTAGAAGCAAGCACAGCGATGTTGAGTTGACCATCCGCTTTCACAAATGCGCTGGATCTGACTCTGGTCTCGAAAGGCTTGGGGCTGTATGCGACGACCTCCTGTCCAACTAGCGACGGATCAAGTTCCTGCCCCGTACGCTGAACATTGCCAATGACAATGCGCCATCTGTCTTGATATGGTTTGAGGTCATCCGTGGTGAGCTCCGTGAACTGCACTTGAATTTCAGCTTCGTTAGGCGCGAGCTGGTCATTTGTATCACTGGCTTCAAAGACAACCTCGTTACCGATGACATTGCCGCTGTAACGCTTCCCGAGAGTCACTGGCGTTATTACGCTCTTAGCATCTTTGAAGAAGAGGTCATTCAACTCATCATTGGGAACGATCCGTGGTACGTTGAGTCGGTCCGGCCGCAGCCAAAATTCCACGTCACGGCCAGAGTCTTTCGTGGCGTTGTTTGCCAACCTTTCTAAGATTGTCGAAACAATCTGGAAAGCAGCAACCCCCTCGTCGACATCCAAAAGGGTGACTCGAGCCTCGATGACCTCAGATCGCACTGCTCGGAGGAACCCCTGTGCCATGCCTCCGGCCACGGAGTTGCCTTGGTTAACGCCTCGTGTGACCCAAACAATCGACTTCCTTGAGCACAAGATGAGTTTGATATTATCAAAAGCTTGTTTCGATGCTTGTGAAAGGATTGTTCCGGCTCTATCATCGACAATGATATTCTCTGTGTCGGCGATTCCCGGTGCGAGATTGGTATCCTCGATATCAAACGCAAGGGAAGCACTGACGGGATCAAGCTCCCCTCTCAAGGATCGGGAATCGGACCCTTGGCCGGAAATAATCACGATCGGCCCATCTATCAGCACCTCATCCGAATGCACGCTGCTTGACTCCGAACTAGATACGTCCGTCACGTAGGGCTTCCATGAAACTTGGGAATATGCCTGGCGCGGAGGCGCAAGACCGGCAATGACGGCGTCGTATTTGATTGACTTGATATTCCGCATATCCATCAGCAGCTTCCCCGATGCACCTCGAAGCTGAGTGCCGTGATTGAAATACCGCCCACTCCAGTGTCGGTCTGTCCACGCAACGGCGCTCCCCTCCAAGGCGTTGTCGGCACCGGGAAAGAAAAGGGAGATCTGGTCGATATCAAGCGGTACGACCGCCCACGGCATTCCCTTGTGCATACCGCGGTGAATCGACGCAATGATTAGATGGAGACAGCCATCAATGGTAGACGGATGCAACAAGTATCGCGACTCCTGAGGCATCAGTCCGCAGTTGGTTTGGACGTTGATGTTCGCAGCTGTGACACGGTCTTTGCCATTTGCCCTCACAGATTGGAGGGTCTGGAATGACGACCCATATTTAAACCCGACCCGATGGAAGGCGTCGTAAAATCTCTTTGCTTGAGTGCGTTGGTGAAGATTGTCCAAGCTCAGTGGCGATACGAATTCATGAGTGGCTGGCCGGTCATCCTCCTCGTTTAGGATTCCGCAAATCTTCCCCTCGGAGTGAATAGTCCATGTCCCGTTCTCAATCGACTCCACAGAGAATTCGTAGAATATCCTATTTCCCTCATCCCTAGAGCTCCGGTGGAGGCGTGTTTGGATCTCAATTCCATCGTCATTGTCCGGGACGATTAGCGCTTTACCGATGTTCACGTCCCGGATTTCGACGCCTGCCAGGTTTTCCTGATCCTTATCAAGCAGCTGTAGGTAAGCTTCAATTGCCAGCGACAGGTGTCCAGCGCCAGGGAACACAACCGCATCTCCCAGAGTGTGGTGTTCCATCCATGGGACATCTCGCTGACGTAGGATATTCTTCCAAGCCGCTGCGTTCTCCGAGAGACCGAACAGTCTCCTGCCTAGAATATCGTGTCTTTCATACTTGTGCTGTCGGCGTTCCTGGGCTGGTCGTGGTTCATACCAGAATGTATTGTCGTAGTTCCATTGGTATGGAGGAAGGTCGGGAATATACCGAGGCGCATCATGCTTCTTCGAGCTACGGTGCGATCCAGAGCTCTCGATTTGATTGATGGCCTTGAAATCGAGATTCACATATCCCTTGTTAAACACTTCTCCGGCAGTCTTGAGTAGCGAACTGGCACTGTCGGCACCACGCAGCAAGGACGGTGTATAGCCTAGATGGCCAAATCCCTTGACAGCACAAGTCTGCTTGATGGGACCACCCAGTGCAGAGTGTGGACCAATTTCAACCAGGAGATTGACGGCGGAAAACCTTTCGGAACTACCAAGGGTAGTTACGGCCGATTCAAATAGTACGCGGCTTCTAAGATTGTCGCCGAGGTACGAAATCGGCACATCGTCTCCAAGGTATTCAGTTCCAGTCACTGAGGAAATCATAGCGGCCTTAGGGCGGCGCCAGGTCAGATCGGACGGTCTCATCCGGCTTGATGCGCCAGAGAAAAGTCTCTCGTATTCCGGAGCCACGGCATCCATCTGGGAGGAGTGGTAGGCCTTGCCGGTTCTCAGTTCGCGAGCAAAGATGCCTGCTGCATCTAGTTCGGCCTTCACTGCGAAAATTCCGGTTGCCGTGCCACTGAGAGTGACACTGCTGGGGGAATTTTCGCATGCAATAGTGACCTCCTGAGAGACGAATTTCGGGATATGCTCCTCGACATCGATAGCACCAATCCCGACGGCAAGCATAGTCCCTGCTGGCGCTGCCTCCTTGACAGCAAATCCACGGAAGAAAGCAGCTAGGATAGCCTCCGGTGCAGACAAGCGACCAGCGGCATAGGCAGCGCCAATCTCGCCGGAAGAGTGACCAAGGGTGACAGCTGGCTCAATCCCCCATGAGGCGAACAGATCGACGATGGCAATTTGAATGGCTGTGCACACTGGCTGGGAAATCTCAGCCTCATTCACCCGACTCACCTCTTTACTTGCTTCGAGGATATTTCTCAATGTCCAGGAGGGTTTGGGCTCAACTAGGGAATGCAACACGTCGTCCAAGGCATCGATGGTCTTTCGGAATTGCGGGAATATATGCATGGCTTCATATCCCATACGTGCCCACTGCGCTCCTTGACCTGTGAAGACAAACCCAATATCTCCGGGCTTACCTGAGATGCCAAAGTGGAAAGAGTCAATATCAAAAGATACAACTTCCTGGCCCTCGGAAATAAGAGTGTAGCCCCGGTGTGCAAATCGGGTTCGCCGTGAATTGAGTGTGTACGCTAGATCGGGCAGATGGTACTTATCGACCACATTCTGATGCGCCTTGATGTTCCGTGTGAGGGTTGGCTTATCATGTGCGCTCATGCCGATGAGCAACGGTCTGGAGACCTCGTATCGGTAGTCAGAGATTTCTTTGGGTTGGGCATGTTCGTACCAGGGACAAACGGTGTCGATGCTTTCGATGATAACATGACCGTTGGTCCCTCCATATCCAAAAGACGACACGGAAGCCCTTCGGATGTCAAAATCTTCGGGCCACGGCGTGAGGTTGGTCGTGACTTTCACGTTCCATTCCTTGTCTTTAATCTCTGGATTTAGAGTGTTGAAACCATGCACCGCTGGAATTAGCCCAGCTTCAGTTGCCATGGCGGCCTTCATGACAGCAAATATCCCACTGGCAGCCTCGCTGTGACCTATATTGGTCTTTACAGCGCCTAAGAGCAAAGGCTTGTCCCGACTGCGGGTTTCGTTCATGGCGTTGGACACAGCACGAACCTCGATGGGGTCACCCACTGGCGTTCCCGTACCGTGACATTCGAAATAAGCGGTCCTGTCTGGGTCAAGACTAGCTCTTTTGTAAGCAGTGCGGATGGCACGCTCCTGACCGGCGACACTGGGGAATGTGATACCCATTCCTTCGACTTTACCGTTGGTGTTCACTGCCGACGATCGGATCACACCGCGGATAACATCTCCGTCTCTCATTGCATCTGACAGGCGTTTCAGGTAGAGAGCGCCTGCACCTTCTGCTCGACCATAACCATCCGCTGATGCGTCGAACGTATGGCACGTCGACGTATCGGATAGAACTCCCAGTTTGGCAGTATTGATATGCTGGTCGACCGTAAGAATCAGGTTTACTCCACCAGCAATCGCGGCGACACAGTCTCCAGCACGTAGCGCATTGCACGCGTTATGAATGGCGTATACCGACGACGAACAGGCTGTGTTGATAGTAAAACTGGGGCCATTGAGATTAAAAGTGTTCCCAATTCGGTTGCTCATGACTCCGACGTCAACGCCAGTCGCACAATAATTATGACGGAAGTCCGGATCAGAGGTTGACATTTGTTGATAGTCACTGGTAAAGCAACCCACGAATACAGCGGTATTCGTACCAGACACATCATCAAGGGTCAATCCAGCGTTCTCAAGGCATTCGTAGGAAACCTCAAGCATCTTCCGTTGCTGGGGGTCCAACCACATGGCCTCCACAGGTGTCCTACCGTGGATTAGCAAGATGTCTCACTATTCGTGCAAAAAGAAGCTCACATGTTGAAGAATGTTGGATCGAAATCCTCCAAGTTCCCATCCAGGAAGTAACCGCCAAGGGAATTGAAACTTCCAGGACGGCCTAGGTCAGGATGGTAATGGGCATCGATGTTGAAGCGATTGCCGGGCACTCTAGGGGTCCGAACGGATTGGTTCTTGCAGAGCAGTTCCCAAAATCCAGAAGGCGAATTCACAGAGCCTGGAAGTCGACATGCCATACCCACAATGGCAATCGGCTCCAGAGAGGAGTTTTCGGATGGCTCAACGACTGCAGGCATCTTCAATGGTTCACGGTATAGTAGCAATCATGGAACGATCATCGATCTGTAGAGGGAAATGTTTAAGTCGATGATGGCCTGACGACATGGCTACCTTTTGAAGTATCCGGTCGACTAAGATTTGCATCATTTTGCAACTCCCAATCTCCATGTCGATACACGGCCGGAGGTTCCTGGTCCCGGAGAGAAGGTACGTAGAATCGGCCACCGTCACCGAGATAGAGGAGTATGGAAACAAGGATCTCGGACACGCCGTCGACATCACCGACGTCTCCATTTCCTCCCTTCCAGCCAAGATTGTCTACCGGGAATGAGCAGCATACGTGACTCCGAAGAAGAGTTGCTGTTCAGATTATTGGGAGGTAATGATTAGTGAGCTAACAGGGGTTGCCGCATGTCAGCTATCCCTTGCCCTCCGATGCTGTCGCGTGTAAGCTTCCTGTTTCGGAAGTATATCTGACGATCTGCCCTAAATTTGGTTGACTGCGGATATGAAGCTATCCAAATATCGAATCTGCAAAGCTCGGCCCGAAGCTCGCTGACAGCGCATAATGACAGTAATCCGAAGCCATACTGGAGGGGATGAACAAAAATGCATGTCCCAAGCTCGGAGAAGGACAGCAGCGAGCCCACTGCTAATAAACTCGTCTCATCCGCCACAGGAGAAAATTTTCTTGTGCTCATCAACCTTCAGTCGTCAATCAAGTCCTACAGGCTGACATACAGAAGCATCAACTCAGTCATGATGATATTCGAGGCTCCCGCAGAACTCATCGATGTTGCCATCATCGGAGCCGGTACGTCAATGCACATGATGGGTGATAGATTGCTCCTCCCTAATTGATCTATAGGATGGTATGGACTCAAAGCGGCCAGGACATATCTCGACCTAGAGCCGAGCACTAACTTGGCTGTGTTCGACGGAGATGACAGTGTTGGGGGTGTCTGGAGTAAGAAGCGCATTTACCCAAACCTGGTCGCTCAGGTACGCTCAGGTCTCACTATATCTCATAATCAAATACTAACTATTATGTATAGGTTGGGTTTGGTTACTTCAATTATCCTGGCACTCCAATGTCACAGGACTGGCGACCAGACAATAATCTAGTAAGCGGTGCTATGATCCAACAATACCTGGAGGATTTTGCCATAAACAGCGGCATCAAGCCACATATTCGATTCAATAGCTGGGTCGAGAAAGCAGAACGTTGCCCTCGGGGATGGAGATTGAAAGTCAACGGTCGCTTTATCGAAGCAAAAAAGATGATCATCGCAACTGGTGTCACCTCGGTGCCGAATGAAACCCCTTTCAAGGTTGAACAGGGGGCCATTGTCAGCCACTCTCGAGATATTGCTACGAATCTCGATGACCTGAAGACAACTGAACACGTTGTGGTCGTTGGCGCGGCAAAGTCTGCGTATGATGCCGTCTATCTTCTGTGCTCATTGGGAAAACAAGTTACCTGGATCATTCGGCCTAATGGGTCGGGCCCCATGCCGATCATGCCGCATGAGATCGCAGGAATCAACACAATTACCAGTATGTAGAACTGCGATATCCCCTTAGCCATGGTGTTTGTTGACTGTTTTCTAGTGGGATCCACCCGCCTCATGACTTACCTCAGCCCTTCGATGTTCAATACCAGAACGTGGCTTGGTTCCTTCTTCCACCGCACTTTTATGGGAAGGTGGTTGACCAGCGCGCACTGGGACTTCATCACGTACATGAGCGAAAAGGCTGCTGGATTTGGAGAGGCAGGAAGCATTGAGTCATTGAAGCCGGACCTTGAGCAAAGGTATGTCCATCCTTGACCCTTGAGTCCATTTTTATCACATTGGCTAAATCATTCCAGTTGTTTCTGGTGCGACTCTTCCCTGGGTTTGATCACGATTACTGATTTTTGGGATACCCTTAAGAAAGGGAATCTGAATGTTGTTCGTGATAATGTTGAAGTCGCGAAAAAAGGCTCAGTCCTCCTACAGTCAGGGAAAGAGATCAAGTGCGACTATGTTCTCAGTGCTACAGGCTGGGGCGATCACTTTGCCTTTCTATCGCCGGAATTGAAAGAAGAGCTTGGAATCCCAGCTTATGGCGGTAACCACGACGGAGATGACGGTAAGAAAGGAAGCTTTTGGTATGCGCATGATAAAGCTGCGGAGGAGAGCGTGGCGAAGTCCATTCCTTTGCTACGTGGCGGCCCCAAGCAAGACAAATGGCATCCTGATCGCAAGCCCACAAAGCGTCGCTGGAGGCTTTACAACCGGTGTATTCCTCTTGACTGTGCGCGCGCTGGGGACCGGTCTCTTGCAATTCTGGGTCAAATCCACACTACCCAAACACCTACCATTGCTGGGATTCAGTCACTGTGAGCTTCACCCTCCATTCTTTTCGCAGCGTTGGCAGTTAACTAATCGCTTCCGACATTTTCAGCTGGGCTATTTCCTATATGCTAGGAGAAATTGACCTCCCAGACGAAAATACGATGATCAAAGAGGTCTCCGAGTATCTCGCCTGGGTGCGGATGCGATACGGCAGTGTGGGAGAAAGATATCCTTATGCTCTGTTTGACTGGATCGGATATCTGGACCGACTTCTTAAGGAAATGGGATTGAAGTCGCGCCGCAAGAGCAACTTCATCTCTGAATATCTTTCCCCATACGGTCCGCATACCTACGCTGACTATCTGACTGAGTATATTGCCAGACGGCCAAGTAAGGGGGCAAGGCTGAACGGTCAAATCTTCCATGATAAGGCCACCACAGCCAGTTCAAATTCGTCTGACGTTACAATTTGATCCATTGTTTTCGTGCTCTTTGAGACATGCTCAATTTGATATTAGGCAATGGAATAAATGTTATTCTTTTCGGCATTTATGCTTGGTGGATCGCCTACATAGTTTTGGGATCTTGAACGGCTATGCATAGCTATTCTTTTATTTGGAGGGAGGGGTCTATCGCCAGTAAACAAGATCAAGTAATCAAGGTTAGGATGGTCCTGAGCCGCGGATTATCTGTGTGAGCGATACGTGTGGAATCAGTTTGTGTTTCATATTGAACATGGCCTGATGGTAGGTAGAAAACAAAATACCGCTCCAGCTAGGGACCCTATACCAGTAGATGTGCTTCATGGAATGAATATTCGAAAACCTTGTTCACAACCAAATCAACAACTCCTGCCCCAACAATCCACACTATTGAGTTGCATCAGAGGCATAAACCGACGCCATTATTGACGGGGGATAGCCCATGAGTACAATTGTGTTCATCCCAGCTCTGAGGCCGTTATACAGCGCTGTTGAAACCTCGACCTTTGCAGTGGACGTCATAATTCGTTCAACCAGAATGTACAAGAGCATGCTGTTCAATTTGTTGGTTCTAGAGTGTCATTCGGCATTGAATTGGTGGTTTATGTTAGACGATTCGATACCAGCGTTGATAAATTTGGTGAGGAATACTAGAGGCTCCTGATATATAAGTTCGGGGGAGATAATCTCATAGCAGCTAACATGCGGAGGATGAGGTCGCTTCAGCAGAGCTGCTAGTCATAGTGAAAGAATAACATCCCGAACTACTGGTCATTCTTAGTCACCTCCCCAGCAAACTCAACTAGCAGCCTGTTCAAGATCTCTGGCTTCTCCAGCTGTACCCAATGCCCACATTCCACAGTCTCAATCCTACCATTCGGTGCCCACTTCCTCGCCAGCTCGCTTTGCAAGTCTGCCCGACAGACATAATCCTGTTTCGCGGCTACAAACAAGTTTGGCAACGGGCAGGGGATATCCTCCTCGGGTACGGAGGCTTCATCCTCAGCATTGACCCCACGCATCGCGGCTTTATACCAAGATAGGGGGCCGGCATACCCACCCTTGGCAAAGATACGGTCCCGAACTGTATAATCTGCAAGACTGTACCAGGAGGGTAGGGGAGTTGTTCGTCCGGCACGAACAAAGTCCGCCGCCTTGCCAACGGGGGCGAAGTCGGCAATCCAGAGAAGCGGGTCGTAGGCATAGACCAAGTTGAACGCCGAAGCAGGCTGGGGGATTAAATTGATATATTGTTAGCTTATATACGACCGTGTGCATATGTAGAGCCAGATCAAATATAACGTACATTGGCTTCACAGTCTACGGCAGCTTCGTCGGTGTTGTGCCACAGCCAGTAGCCGAACGTCGCGTAGCCCACGAGGCTCTTGGTGAGGTTACAGAGGGCTTCTATTGGACAGTCAGCTCGGTCACCCAGAGTAACGATTAATAGGAGAAGTTCACCAATATCCCATGCTGCGCCTGGTTCGACATATGAAACAGCCACATTTACGAGGCCGTAGAATCGACGGCGTTGGTATGTTGCAAGACGAGAACCGAGACCGACACCCCTAAAAATAGAATTTTACCTTTGTCAGTAAACGACAATGGAAAAACGAATTGGCACGAGCTCTTGTCTTCTGCTAGGGTCTCACATCAAAACCTCTCGGCGGGAAAACTGAATAGTCAAAAGAATAAGAGAGAATTGTTATACCAGTCATGCGCTACTGCAATTGCTCGAGAGACACCCTCTTTATCCAGAATTTCAACCATGTGGTCGCACATCCTCTTCATACGATAAGCGTTCACATCCGTGGGTTTGTCTGTATCACCATAACCCAAAAGATCCGGGGCAATGACTCCGTAGCCCTCTCTCTGCAGGCCGGATATCTGGTGGCGCCAGTCGTGTGAAGAAGATGGGTATCCATGAAGGAGTAAGAAAGTGACATGCGCAGGGGACGAAGGGGCAACAGCTACATAGCCGTATGTTGTGCCGTCGGAAAGCGACGCTTTTTTGGCCAGAGAGGGGAATGCAATGGATGCCATATCTAGTTTTATTTGAGAAAAGCAGGTTCTCGACAAAGTAGATGTGAGCCGTGCCACGATATGATAACCTGGACTGATTTCAGCGGCTATGTGTTGGTACTTTATATTGACCATAAAATTTGGAAGCCAGCATTGAACGCACCCCTAGTTGACTTCGAATGCAAGGCTCGGACCGAGGTACGGGGCAATTCATTAACAAAGTCCGTGAAAACAACACACATAGTTGTTAATGCAAGAGGCAGTCGGCGATAGGAAGCCTGAAAACGCGGGATAATGGACGACGCTCCGCGTCGGCGACTCCGTAGGAATGGTGGATCTGCGGGGTAAATTGTGATAACATCAAACGTTTCCTTGGATAGGATCCTTCGAGCATGGGTATTTGAAATTGAGCACACTCTGAGAGACTGCTTGCATAGGATGCGGCTGGAAGATGACCGGCTGGGAAAGCAAACCTGACCACTACCACGAGGAAACCCTATCTCAGGAAGCAGAGCTAGGCGAGAAGGAGAATACTCAGGGTTGATCTTCGGTTAGTGCTTACTGCAGTGTCATATATACCCTGTTTTACAGCCTCATGATCTCATCCATTGGTGCTTGTGATATTACATGCATCGTGTCTTCAGGATGATAGTCTACTCCGGATTAGTACTTCTTGTCAACACTAAACTAGCTGGGATATTGATCCTTCCGGTCTCCGCGGCTTATCTTTACCAGCCCTGTGAGGCGGCATTGGGGCGTCCGCCTCCCGCTTCTATGGAGATCGCATCTATATACGCGTCAAATTGGCCAACTCCCTGGCATTACGCGGATAGTTTTCCCCTTCCGTATCAAGTTTGCTCGAATAGGAATATGGTGTAGAACTACGATCTAAGGGAAGCCGCCGGGAAGTATGGCTCGTCGAAACAGTTGAATGCCTTTCGCTCAGCAATACTACTCCGCGCAGAACAAGGAGCTTTGACAGGAGCGTAAAATAATGGTAAAATTTGCGATCATCCGTCGCCAGGACCCCCGGCAGCTATATCATGTCTCCATTTTGCCATCTTCCTCGTGGAGTTTGCAGAGCCTCCATCCTTCGCCTAAATTCTCGTTGGAGCCTCCTACATAATTCCACTACATACCACATACCACTTGCCTATAGACTATGGCCTCCCCTTTGAGTCGACATATTGCATGTAACCGCTGCCGTCTACGGAAGGTTAAGTGTGATGGGAGACGACCATGGTGCCGACGTTGTTCTGGAACTGGTGCGGAGCTTAAATGCTCCTACGAAACAAGAGGAAGGAATAAATGCAGGCAACAGGACGCCTCCTCGCATTGGCCTATTGGTGGGGCTGATTTCACCCTTTATACCGATATGGACGAGAGAAACCAAATCTACGCCACGTCCCCCACTATCGAGCCATCAGACGAAACAGTCATACCAAGTCCCATCGAAGATCTGAAATCGGCTGTGGCACAACATGCAGGCATGGATTTCCCAATGTTTCCAGGTCAAAATATAACCCCGGTCGCCATTGAAGACCACAACATCAAAATGGGTTTCACTTTCGACCCCCATGAACGGATGACGAGTTCCACCTTGGACATGCTACTTTCTTTCGATGCGCTTATCGGTATAGAATCGATTCCTTTTGAATATCTTTCTGAGATGTATGATACAGCCCTCCACCATTGAAACCAAAGCTTAACTGGAAAAGGTATCAAAATTACTTCACGACGACGCACCAGACATTTCCTCTAATCAACCAAGAAGCTTTCCTTTCCAGCCTTTCCATCAACGGCAATGCTCAGGAAGTTCTGGCACTTCAGTCTGCTATGTGTGCACATGTAGCTGCGGTGTCACCTAATTTCATGAGTTGGGCAGTACTAAACCTTGCCTTTGTTGGTGATCAAGACTACGGCCATTGGTTCTATCAACACTCTAAATTGCATCTCAGCAAGGCAGAAACCGAGAACCAAATAACTCCTTCCCTGGCCACCCTTCAGGCAAGTGCGCTCATAGGGCTCTATGAGCTCAAGCAGTCGCAATTCAGTCAAGCGTGGGTCACTATCAGTCGTGCAGTCTGGGAAGCCCAGTGCCTACGGCATCCCAAAACTGAATCACTACATCCGTCCCAACAGAGAATACCTCTTCCCACTCCACCACCAACGCCAAAGGGAAGATCGCTCAACAGCAACGAGGAACGAAACGCTGTGTGGGCGGTAATCCATCTGAACTGTTTCCTGGGGATCGGGGTGAGTTCCAACGTTATAGATACCGTTGCACAAAACGAGGTGAGCCCTTGAAGAAAGACATCACAAACCTGTGTTGCTAATGCCTTGGCCAGATGGGAGTATATCTTCCATGTCAAGATGAACTGGATATGGATCTTCGGTTAGAAGAGGTCATGAAAGCGACACATCAAGCATTTCAGCTATCCATCAAGCAACATCTGAGTATAGCAACCATTCTATGTGCAAGGACATTTTCTCACATCAAAATGATGAAGCATGCGAGTTCTTTGGATCACAATCCATATAACTTCTGGACTCAGCATTACCATCTCGACGAGGCAACCCGCCATATTGGGTGTTGCATTTCTGGGTCGGTACATGGATCAACCGATACCCGGGAGGACGTCAATTGCCGCATAGTCGTGAATCTTCTCCTCAAAACTATAACAATATGTCTCCATGAAGCGTTTATGCATAAGGCTGAGAGCGAAGTTTCTATGAAGGGAAGCTTCAAACATGCAAGGCAGGCCCAAAGTAGCCATGCCCTTACATTGCAGAACTGCATGGATATAACAGAATTGGTCCAGAGCATTGTCTCCACCGACGAAGCGAAGTCGAGCATCTTCCTGCCGTGGAGCATATATGTTGCCATTCAATCCCTTGTCCGGCATCAGCGACGTGCTACCAGCCCTGCCGTCCTGATACAACCAACCTCTCAAAGTTTCACCAACAGCGATGATACTACGGCTTTTTCCGGTGGGAACTGTCTTCGCTGCGCAACAGCAAGTCAATCGTCCAGTTTGGAGCAAGAAGACAAAGCAGGCTTACTTGCTGAAGCTGTTGTCTTGGATGCTATCAATGCACTTCGCTCTTCGTTGGTCCATCTCAGCCATCAGATGCCTTTGGCGCGCTTCTTCTATGACGAGGCGCAAGTCGAGGCGCAAGTTGAGGCGCACGGAACCGATGAATTGGTCGATCGAGTCGTAGGGCTGGCAGCTTTCACGAACTTCGAGTGATATAACGAATTGTTGTAACTGTTCCCTCTTTCTCTCTTTTTTTTTTCGGTTGTTGTTGTAGTTTTTTTTAGGGGGGAAGGGGTTTTGTTAAAGGCATATATAGGGACTTGTTCCCCAAGCCCACATATATTTTTCTATTCCCGTATTCTTAAGATGACGTTTAAAGAGCCAATATACATACGATCAGAACTGACTAATCCTTTACAATCATATATTCTCCTCGCCTACATTCTCATACTATGTATCTTCTACTTTATACTGATATTCACTGGCCGTTTCTTTGTTTGCCTGTTCGGGTCTTCACTCCGCGTCTATCGTGATCCCTTCCTAAAACAGATTAGCGCGGTCTCTCACCGTAATTACTTTCCCTTTGGGAAAGACAGTATGTGGTTGCCAGAATCCCATATGAAAAGATGCCGCCGCACCTGGAGTATTCCTTTTTTATACTGTCCTCCAGCAGATACAGCCACCTCCGTCGCTCATAGGCAATCGTCATGGCACCCCAAAGAATCACTCGTAGCATGAGTGCCAGTCCAGCCCTACCGCCGACCAAACCTCATGCAGTAACGATGAAGGCCAAAACGACCAAGAAGAAACCAACGTCCACGTCGAGCTCCAGCATGAAACCAGCAAGCATCATATCTACTACAGTCACGGAACTCCCGCTATCCAAGCACACCCTGGACGAAGCGTATGCCCACCTCATCTCGATCGACCAGCGCATGAAACCCTTAATTGACAAACATCCTTGTACCACCTTCTCTGAGAGCTCTGTGGCAGACATTGTCGACCCGTACATGGCCTTGACCTGCAGCATCATTTCGCAGCAAGTCTCCGGAGCCGCCGCCTCCACCATTCGTCGGCGCTTCATCGACGTCTTCAACCCTCCCGGCCTCCCCGCTTCCGTCTCTAGCACGGACGAACTCTCGTACTTCCCGCCACCGGCGACAGTTGCAGCGGCTGACATCCCATTTCTGCGGAGCGCGGGGTTGTCGTTACGAAAGGCAGAATACATCAAGGGACTCTCGGAGAAGTTTGCGAACGGCGAGCTCAGTGCGGAGTTGTTGATCAATGCCGAGTATGAAGAGCTGGTAGAGAAGCTGACGGCGGTTCGAGGAATAGGAGTGTGGACCGTGGAAATGTTTGCTTGCTTCGGGCTGAAGAGGTGGGATGTTTTCAGTACGGGGGATTTGGCAGTCCAGTGAGTTCCTCTGTCTGGCAATTGTTCATCCCGGCGGAACTTATATTGATGCGTTGGCTACAGACGGGGGATGGCAGCATTTATCGGGAAGAATGTCGCGCAATTGCAGAGAAAGTCTGGAAAATGGAAGTATATGACGGAGAATGAGATGATGGAGATGGCAGCCAAATTCGCGCCCTATCGGTAGGATCTGCATTCCCCATTGTCTGATATTCTTGTCTGACGGGTATAGGAGCGTGTTCATGTGGTACATGTGGCGGGTGGTGGAGGATATCAGTGTGGAAGCTTTGCAGACTTGATGCATAAGTCGGCATATCCCTTTGGCATAATAAGGATGCCTGTATGTATAACACCTTCTCAACCCAGTTTGATGTCAGAAATTAGTCGACCGGGTTGATGCCGGTCGGAGCTAGTATGGCAGGTGATTCTGCCCAATGGGACGCGGGATTTGCTTCTCACCACAAAAGTGCGGTATGTTCATTGCAGCAAGCAGCGGGAGAACACTATTGTAGCCGGGGACTTCAACACCCGCCACCCTCTCTGGCAGCCTAGCACAGAACCTCACGCTGTCACTCCAGGAGCAGCGGCTCTCGTAGACTGGCTAGACACCCACGGACTAGCCCTCTGCATCGAACCAGGCACCCCTACCCACAGGCCGAACACCCTAGACCTCATCTTCTCGGACCTTCCCGTGGAAGCCACAGCCGTAGACCATCTCTCCACCACGAGCGACCACGCGACAATACTCACGACAGTAGACTGGCAGGAACCCCCGCCCCGTTTAAAGCTAGGCTCCACCGACTGGGAGAGGGCGAGGGCCTTGCTCAACCTCCCGCACGGAGACCTCCCCCTCGACGATATAGCGGAAAAACTGATCACCACCGTACAGGAAGCTATCTGAGGCGCGTCTAAATACAACACTCACAAGCTCCCACGCACCCCATGGTGGACGACCGAGCTCACAGATCTACTACAACAGGTCCGGCGGCAGAAAACCCCTGACTACGTACCACTCCGGGAGCGATTTCCGCGTGCCAAGGCCAGCTACTGGAAGGAGCGTATTGACCAGGCAACTTCACCAACGGACGCCTACAAACTCGCGAGGTGGCAACGGCGTCCGGACCAGCTCACCGCTCCCCCCCTTCACATTCAGGACACCCAAGTCACGACGCCGTAAGGCAAAGCGGATGCCTTCGTCTCGTATCTCTTAGAAAAGGAGGCCGCTCTCCCAGATTAGCAGGAAGAAGGGCCCCCGATTCGCCCGCAAGACCCAATAGGCCTACCCACGAAAGAAGACTGCTGCATGCCACGCAGATCAGTCAAAGTACGCTGGGTCCCAGGCCACTCCGGCATCGCAGGAAACGAGATTGCCAATGAGCTAGCCAAGAAGGGGGCAGCACTGGACGGCTCCCACATCCCCCCTTCCCCGTCGTTCCTAAGGCGCGAAGCAAAGCGACAAGCCCGCGCAGCAACGCACACAGCATATACAGGGAATGCTCCTCAAACATACCAGGACCTAAACATCAAGCCTCACACCAAGAACAGCCGCATTCAGGAACACGAGCTTCCCCGCTGGGTACTTAGCCAGCTGATCACCGCACGCACGAGCCACGGCGACTTCACCGGATACCACAAGAGGTTCCAACATAAGGTCTTCCGAGCAACTTGCTTCTGCGGTAAGTTCACGTCCCCCGTACACTTCTGCCCGCCCGCCAGGAAACGCTGGAAGGATCGATGGAAAGGCCCAAAGATGAGCCCGTCTGCAACCATAGACTGGCTACTGATACAGCCGCTGGGGCCGAGGAATTCGGCCGGTTCGTGCAAGAAACGTCTTAAGGACATCTGCCCAAATTGGGCCTAACCAGGCGCCACGTCGCGCAACAGTCGTTACTTCTACCTGGATAGGAGAGGCTGGCACCCTCTCTCATCTAAAGGTAGTCAGATCGGGTACTCCACCCCCAGGAGCGTAGGCCAGGGCAGTGCCTAGCGCTCCTTCGATTCTTCCTCAGCACGTAGTGCTCAAATTTGCTTCTCGGCGTGTATTTAGTTGAGCTAGCAGTAGTGAATCCTCGCTTAGGTAGCACGTCTGGTTTACCCCGCGGGAGGTAGCGGGTCACGCGCCACGTGACCTGCCGCTGACGCTGAATAATTCAAAGAAAGAAAAGAACCCCGCCAAGGTCCTTTGGCAACTAATTTCTGAACCGCATTCACTCACTGTCAGCTGGGTACCTTGATGTTTCCCCTGAGAATTCCTCGTCATCTCGACCATCTAAATTCGCATGTCTGGCTTCATATTGTCAGCAGAGGCGTTCGAATAACTTTGATGCCATGGACGTTGAGCCGCAGCCACGATCGACAAATACGAGGAGGAGACGCGGAGGCACGCGCAAAAAGACAGGTAAGTCCCATCTCCGGAGCGAAGATCATCCAGACGCTGACCCGGACGCCAACAGGATGGTTCGTATGGCGTTGGGGACGCGACGTGGACTGGGCCTTATATTAACTGACGGCCGGTTTTATAGCTTCACATGCAAGGCACGCCATACCCGCTGCGACGAGAAGAAGCCGGTTTGTAGCAACTGCGAACGGCTCGGGCTGGAATGCCGTGCGAGCGACTTCATCGCCTATTCTCGCTGGTGTCCGAGTGATCAAAGCTCCACCGGCCGTCGGGAGAGCTGCGCGAGCGCCGTGGATCCTCAGACGCCTGATCCACCAACATCAACGTGGGATATCTTTCGTCTCGACTTGCCCGGATTGAAGAGTTCTAGCGAATCTGCCCACAATACCTCCTCCGAATCCTCCAGTCAATCTGCGGCCCCAATCACCCCACTTCCGACCTTTCAGCCAAAAGCGCCATCGCCTTCAATACCGCTGACGCCAGAGATGGTGTTCCTTCTCAACGAATACCGAAAAGGTCTCGCAAAATGGATGGATATTTTCGATCACAGCTGCACCTATCAACGGGAAATTCCCAAGCGTGCCTTGACCTCTGAGCTTCTTCTCTTCTGCATCTGCGCGTTTACCGCCAGACAACTGAGTCTCTCAACATCCGGAGAGATCTGGACGCCCGTGGCCACCAGCTATTACGCGCAAGCATTGACTTTGCTGATCAAATTATTGAACAGCCCTGCTCCTCAGGATAACACATTGAGCGCTGTCATCCTCCTGAGCAGTTATGAGGTCTTGGCGGCGCAAGGACAAGAGCATCGTCGACACTATGAAGGCGCTATGAAGCTTATCTTTATGCAAGGCATTAGTGCCCGATCCTTCGGGCTGGACCAAGCTAATTTCTGGATTTGGATCCGACATGAGATCACAGTATCAATTATAAATGAAACCCCTCTGCAGATGAGTCCAAAGTATTGGAATGTTAGCTGGCGAGAGGGCGAGACGGAGGAGGATGCCTTGGGAAACCAGGTGTTATGGTTAGTCGGTCGAGCTGTTGACTGGGTATATGGCAGTGGGACACTATCTGAATATTATGATCTCTTGCGAGATACGGAGCATTGGTATGGGGGCTTATCCGAATCCTTTCGGGGGGTCAAGTTTGGTGATCTGGTCGAAGATGGACTTTGCAAGGTGTATTTCGCTCACCCTGCCGCTGGTACATCTCATTCGGACCCCTCACGCCGATCCTTTCTAACGTGCTTAGCTGCCGCCATCATGTGGTACCATCTTCTCCATATACTGCTTTATGCCGAACCTGTGCTTAGGGATGTTGCATACGCACCAAACGTCAGTGGAACTCTCACGGTGCGACCCTGGAAGCTTATGAGGAATAGGTTCAAGAACATGCGACTGAGCTCATCAACATATCGATCTCCGACCTCCCCAATGAGGTGCGTTGCTTCTCCATTATTCCACTCTACTTCGGTAAGGTCTAGCGAGTTGCGTGGGCATCAAGATGTTAATCATTATACAGCCGGAAAGCACGTTGAGAGCGTGATCAGAAAAACCAGAGTATGGGTTCTGTTGGACAGAATACAGACCGAACTTGGTTATAATACGCGCGGTAGAGTAGAAGCGCTCCAACAATGTCTCGAGCCAACGCATCACAGGGAGTGGTTTGACGCAGGCCCGCCCACTCTACCGCCGGAGCGGCATTAAAATGATCGAACAAGGTCGCAGGACCTTTTCAACGGACCTCCACCATTCTACCAATTGCTATCACTGACTAGCCCAAGGTATACACTCCATGCCCTATCCATTTGAATGTCCACACCGCAATATGGCCCAACTCTATTCCCATTATGCCACCGGTTGAGGCTGGGCGAATTTTTCTCTCTTCCACACCTTGACGGGGCACTGGGTAGGCCAAAGGTTGAACCATTCTTCGAATGGCAACTCCCAGTCCTTGCTGGGTAGGGCAAAATCATAGTTATGGACCAGTGTCCCGATGACACAAGCCTACAGCGGCGTCAGTCAGGGGTTACTACTCGGTCTTCTATCATCGTACCTGGATCACGATTGAGACATTTCGGCCCATACATGTCCTGTATCCTGCACTAAATGGAATCCATGAAGCAAGCATGTCTTTCATCAGCTCCGTTCCTCGGTTTTCGACCCATCGGTCTGGATACCATTTTTCCGGGGACGGGAAGACGGCGGGGTCACGATGAGACGTATATGCTGAGATGGAAATGTCTGTGTTCCCTGGCACTGGAACACCGTCGACAACCATGCCTTCAGGTGGCGTGCGACGGATGAGATCCGTAGCTACCGGAGGATGGAGACGCATGGCTTCGTCAATGCAGGCTTTCAAATACGGCATGCTCTTGACCTGTTGCCACGTAGCCACAGCACGATGCGGAGGGAGACCAGCATCGAGTTCCTCACGCAGCTTATTGAATGTACGAGGGTCTTTGACAAGATTGTAAATCGTGGTCGCGACGGAACCGCCCGGTGCGTCAATCGCGGCGCCAACTAAATCGTCAGTGAGCTCCGTCGACCCGTTGACAACATTAGAAACCTACCCATCTGCTCGATTTCTTGTGTGGTGCCTGTTAGCATTGTACCATTCCTGAACGCTTTTAATAAGTTGCCGGTGTTTGACTCGAGTAACGTTTGTTCACCGTCGCTCGATCTCTGGCGCAACCATTCCGATGCAAGGCTAACGTTGGAAATCCGTACTTACCTGCGATCCGATCCCGCGTACTGATGTCCGGTTCACCGCCATCTTTGCCCTCCATCCATGGCATAAACAGGTCATCGAGTATTTCCCCATGCCGATGGCGCTCCATTCGCTCGAGAACGAGCTTCGTCATTGCGGCGTGCCAATCACTACCTCCTTTGAGGTTGCGTGCGTATTCTTTGGATACCCGGTTCATTAACTTGACCCACGTAGTGAAGCGCTTGGTGTCCCAGATCAGGTTGGCGGCTGCCCGGCCCGCACAATGGAGCGACTGGACAATGCTGATCTCGCGCTTGGTGCCGTCGGGGTCTTCGATCTCGATGTTGTTATTCCCCTTGTCGAGAAGATGCAGATCCTTGCTCATCCCAATCTTGATCATGACCTCGCAGGCGTATGTGTAACCCCAGTGCACCAAGTCCAGCGTGACGTCTGCCGGGTCTGGCTGTTCGTATGGACCCATGGGCTTGGTACAATGGACGTCGATTGCCTTCATGAAGTCGGCACAGGAGTCCAACACCCATGACTCCTCCCAATGGCGCTGGTGCTTGGGAGCGTAGTAATGTGAGACCATCGACCGGCGGAACTTATGCAGGTTCTTGTCGCTAATGTTGGCCAGATGAGCGCCCCCTCCGCCGGATAGCTGGTCATAGATGGCGGACTTCTTGGCCGACGAAGTGAAGCCGTATATATCGCGGGCCGCACGAGCACGGCCGAAAGAGATCCAATTTGGACCCAGACGGATGACCTTGTGGCCCTTGGTCGTGTGGTCGAGGAAGAGACGGCGGGAATGGATGACGGGGTGCTTGCGACCTAACTCCCAGCAGTAGCCTAATTTGGTGAAGGCGGAGAGGTAGTTCTGTGCTGGATACTTACGGAGCCCTTTGGGGTCTTGAAGGTAGGCAACGACTGCGCGGAAGACGACGACGGCGGGGATGAGCACGATGGCGGCGGGAATCAGCAAGTGGAGGGTTAACATGATGGCGATGATGCTGAGAAACGGTCTCCAATCGAACACAATCAGTATATTAATTCCTGGAAGATGGGTTCGATGATGACATGTGGTTATCTGAAGGTCTATATATCTTGAGTGAATGACGTCCCAGCGAAGCTATCTCGGTGAAATTGGTTGTGGCATAGATGAGGCCATCCACATCGTCCTCTGTCGGCCCGGCAAGCATTCCCGTTGCAGCGGCTTACACGCGTGAGGCGGGCCCGCGGGATCGTCCTCTGGTTCCAGGGTTCCGGGGCCTGCAGCCCTTTCCCCTTTGGGACAGCTACACGCGTGTATGGTTCCTTGCCCTTTGTATGGCTTCTCTGTCATTATCGATGACCAACATGCAAAGACAATCGACTACGCACAATGATGCATTGGGTTTTATCGTCAAGGGATTGATTTATCTTCCCTCGCCTCAGGAATTTCTTCCCTCTTCCATATCCTCCTGCTGTCTACTGTGTCAGAGCATTTGTTTCAATCGTGATATCGAGATTGGCCACTGTGTGACCATTTGCCAATGGATCAAGTTAGCGGTCGTACACGCGCACCCTGGCTTCAGATGCCTCCGAGGTATATTCTCGCCAGTTTACTCACAGCCACGGGTGGATTCCTTCTGGGGTACGTCGGCCATAGCACCCTGTCGCGGTGACGCGGTGTCCCTCTCAATCAACGAGCCTCATCTTACCCCCCCAACCGTCGATGGACGGGCATAACCCAAGTCCAAGCTGACCGGTGGTCCCCTCTAGCGTCGACACAAGCATCATCGGACCGGTTACGGTCATGCCCAGTTATGTCGAGTACTTTGGATCCCACTCGCCGAGCGTGCATGGTATCATTGTCTCGTCGATCTTACTTTCAGCTGCCGTCATGAGCGTTATCGCTGGCCGGCCCGCGGATGTCCTCGGCCGCCCACAGGGCATTGCGCTTGGCGCTGCAGTCTTTGGGGTGGGCGCTGCGCTCGAGGCCGGTGCGGTTCGGCTGGCGATGTTCATGGTGGGCCGAGTGATTGAGGGGATGGGGTTTGGTCTGTATTTTGGGACGCTAACGGTGTAAGCTCGCCTGTGCCCACACCTCCCTTTCTCCCTTCCTGTCTTGCTGATGGTGGACATTCGATAGGTATGTCTGTGAGATCTCCCCTCCGGACATCCGGGGCCCCTTGACGACAGGCCCGCAGTTTATGATCTGCACGGGGCTGGTAGCCGGGTATTTCACCTGTTACGGGACCGCTCGCATCGAGGGCTCGATGTCCTGGCGGCTGCCGTTTCTTATCCTCGTGGGTTTGTCCATTGTCTTCGTCACCAGCGTGTTGCTCTACCTGCCTCCATCACCGAGGTGGCTCCACCTGCATGGACGAGACTCGGACGCCGAAGCCGCGTGGGAGACACTAGGAGTGAAGCCGGAAGATCGTCAGATCATTGAGGAAGACCTTGAAGAAGGATCCCCAATGCATGCTCGTGACGACGGATCGATATCTTCTCAGTCGCCTGCCCGAGACACGAAGGAGAAGCAGCAGGAGGAAGCTAAATTCTTCGACCTATTCAAGAAGGATGTTCGCGGGCGGACGATGCTGGCTGTCTTCCTCATGGGATTCTTGCAGCTAAGCGGAATTGACGCTGTGTTATATGTATGTGCACACGTTCGTCCCTGGTTCGCTTGGACATGGCTAACGTGGAGAGGAAACAGTACGCGCCTCTGCTCTTCCAACAAGCCGGCCTCACCAGCGAGGAATCCTCCTTTCTCGCCTCCGGAGTCTCGGGCATCGTCCTGGTCGTCGTCTCCGTCCCGGCGCTCCTCTTCGCGGATAAATGGGGCCGCCGCACCAGCACCATCGTCGGCGGGCTGGGGTTGACGATCACGATCCTGCTGATGGGCACTCTCTACGCGGCCAACGCGGTCCACCCTGACCACGGGGCCGCCCGTTGGGTCGTGATCGTCTGCATCTACCTCTACTCCGTGTTCTTCGCCTCCACCTGGGCGGTGAGTATCAAAGTCTACGCGCCCGAAATCCAGCCCCAGCACACGCGGGCCAAAGCGACCGCCCTCGCGCATGGGTTTAACTGGGTCTGTAACTGGTTTGTGGCGTTTATCTGCCCCATTCTGCTGGCGAAGAGTAGCTCGGCAGCGTATTACTTGTTCGGGGGGTGTTGCGCGCTGACGACGATTGTGTGTTTCTTTTTTATGGTTGAGACGAAGGGTAAGAGCTTGGATGAGATCGAGAGAGCGTTCACCTTGAAGAATAACGAAGACGAGGGGATAGGATTGAAGATGGGCGAGGCGATCTTGAAGGTGTCCCAGGTGGGAGGGAGACACAGGATAGGGGGTGACTAGGCGGCGACGGGCGATTTAGATGTCAGAGGCTCAATCTGGGGACGTTCGGGAATCTCAGGGCGACTATGAGCTTGATCTGGGAGTAGATTGAGGTCAGAAAGAAGGAATCAGAGTAAACAGAAATAAGTGGATTTACCTCTGTCGGAGACTACATTAGAGGCCTAGAGTAGCTCAGGAGGCTGGATAATAGGATGGGATGTCACAGCCTTTGAGAGGCTTGTGTTTTAGATTCCATTTTGCCGTCTGTACTTTGTCTGGTAAGTATTGATGATGAATCATAACCCTGGAATACACACAGCAAAAAGAGCTATCATAGCAATGATTGCCTCTGGTGACAATGCCATCTGGAAAGAAAGAAATGCTACGATGTATAAACTGGAATGCTCTATGGAGAAGTCATAAAATTCTTTGCATCTTGTTTCCTGCATCTGTAATCTCCTGAACAAGCTAGTCTTGCACATGATAGGTACCTTCTATGATGCCAAACCCATTCTAGCTTCACTTTGATTGTCGCAGTTTCTTGGTCACAAGACACTCTGTATCTGAGGATCATTGAAGACACTCCTTTTACAAGGATAGGTTTTGCTTGACGTCAAGTACACCATATATACAAGCAAGTAGGCAAGCTCCTCTAATAAGCTAGTACTTGTACTCCAGCACATGACTAATAATTAAGGTAATCGCCCCTCAACCATTAAAGAATTATGGAGCCGGAGGCATTAATAATAGCTGCATATAATAATAGTTATATAGATGGAGCTATTCCTCTATGCTATCTAAAAACACCTTATTATATTCATATTTCTCTATCCACTCCACTGCGTCAGTAAGAACGGCAGCTTTTAAGGAGAACTTATTCAAAAGGTTGTTAAATTCTACTGCACAGAATAAGGTAGTTATAGTAGCTGTTTCTGAGGCTAGAGTGTCAGGCTCGCGCCACTTTCTACTCTAATTTGACAGTTTATATGCGTACCCCTGTTCCTGGCCATGAGTCCATGACTATACTACATAGGTAACATCCAGTCTTACCTGTTCAGCCTTGCACTACTGATTACCCCTCCTCCCCAGGAGTCTGACCTTATAACAACTACTAGATCTTCTTTAGAGTTGCATAACCAAACCGCAAAAATCGAACCCGAACCTCACTGAACCCAGAGTGGTTTGGGTTCAGTGCCTAGCCTAGGGAACCGCACTGGTTTTGATTTCTCTTAGCACTGAATTGAATCTGTTAGGGGAAACTGTTAGTTATGGTTTTTGCAGTTTTTACAGATTAGGTGAAACCACCTAATCTGTTTTACCTAGATATCAGTCATTTCTAGGGATCTTCTAATATTTTTAATATCATTAGATAGTCCCTGATCTAGGCTATCTAATGATATAAATATTAATTTAAAATACCTAGTGGTTGCTGAGATATAGAGGAATAATCATTTTCATCATAGGGTGGTATGAAAGTGGTGTGGATATATATATATATATAACTAATAGTTAATAACCACCATGGTTAAATAATTATTTTTAACCACCCCCCATTCAGCCCTATAGATATTGAATTAAAATTTTAGATATAGATTAGTATGATAATAATTATAATAATTTTTGATTAGCATAGTGATATTATGATAGATAATATAGCATTTAATGAGGCATTAAAATTCAAAAACTATCAAAATTCACCAAGGGGTAGCAGTTTAACCAACTCAAAATTAAACTAAATCTAACCATGGTTAGTTAGTAGGGGCCTAGCTAGGCCTAGCTAGGCCTAGTGGTGGGTTTTTACAGTGAAACTGCTACTAACCCAGATTAGATCTGGGTTAGCTGTGGGTTCTAAAATTTGAACTCAAAATCACAGTGGTTCAGTGCTAACTAGTTTTAAACTCACCCAAACTTGCACCAAATGCAACTCTAATCTTCTTTCAAGAACTAGTTAACTATAAGGGGTGGCTGTTACTAGATTACTTAGTTTATGTACTATATTATCTCTAGCTAATATGTAAGAATAATAACCCTAACTTAAATATACTATGATTATATAGTTACATGGATATGTACCTTATTAGTAGAAATAGCTGCTGCTATGACTCTACTTAATTAAACTTATAATCTGCTTTATTAACTACTAACTAATCATAATCCTTACATACTTGGTAGCATGAGTAGTAAGAATATAATGATTATCTGTCTGCTATATAGTATGTATAGAATAACTTCTGCTATGTCTATAGTAACTTAGATGCTATAAATATTTAGCTTAATTTAATTTAGGCTAATGGTTAGGATTGGAGGGGGCGTGCCTAATGAAAGTATTAATATTTATCTTAGTAATATAGTTATTAGTGTGTCAAATAAAACTTCTAGTAGTGTAATTTAATATAACTATAGGAAGATATATATTAAGGGCTCCTTCTAGTATATAGGTTTACTTAATAAGCCTCTGTAGATTCTATTAACTACTTTATCCTAAATACACTGTGATACTATGCTACCTAGTATATAGATTAGAAGGATTAGATCTGATTACCTATAGAGTAATTAGATAATACAGGAGCCCTTTACCTAACTAGTTAATAATTAGCTTTTCTACTTGACATATAACTATCAGAGCAGTAGTAAAGCTATTTATCCTATAATAGGAGCTAGCTAGTACTGCATGCACCATAGGCAAAGGATAAACTATATATTTATTATAGCTTAATTACATTAGGTAATTAAGTAATAAAGGATACTAGAATATAAGATACTATTACTTAAGAGCTAAATATACTTGTTACAACACCAACACAGCCGCGCTAGTGCTAGGCGGACGTGACAGGCAGAATCCTAGAATGATAATAACTAACCAAACCTTAACTACTGAACCGCGGGAAGACCATGGTTTCTAGAGTAAGAGCTATATATAATTATAACCTTTTTATTATTACCTAGAGTTACTTTGTAGTGCTCTAAGATATAAGGCTAGATTTACTTAAATAAGGATTATATCTAATATATAACTAGGTAGTATATAAATGGTATACTAAGACTACTCTATTAGAGTATATAATATACTATCTCTATATTAAATATATACTAATGTATATACTACTAGGGAGGAATTATGGATATATAAGAATACTTATTATTATTATATCTAGAGATCTTAGTTTAGTTCCTTATATTTAATAATAATATCTTACTTAAATATAAGTTTACTAGTCTAATTTATTAGTTACTCTCTTACTATTAAATATATATACTTAATAGGCCTTACTTCTATCTTTACTATTATTATTCTTATATTATTTCTTAAACCATCCTTAATCCTATTAGATTATTATATTATTAGGCTACCAGGAAGGTAGGCCTTAGGTAAGTATTAGATATAGTCTAGGGATTATATTATTATACTCCTAAAGTTAGTAACTAGTAGGAATAATAGAGATAGATCCTAGGGTATAATAAATTAAATACTATACTAAATAAATTACTTTAGGAGTATTTATTCTGTACTAAAACTATTAGTAACTATATTATAAATATCTAGAAGTAATAAGGGTAAGGTGCCTACTTATAACCTACCTACTAATACTCTAAACTTAGATAATAATAAAGATATTACTTTACTTAAAAGATAAATCTTAGAACTTAAGTTAGCACTTAATGAGTAAGCTAACTATATTTAGACTAATATTTATAATTACTTAATATAGCTAGATACTTAGATTAGGATATTAATATTAATTAGTAGTGTCCTAGGACCTAAGCTACCTAAGGCTAAACTATTTAATAGAACTTAATCTAGACTTTAAGGGTTCCTTACCTAGATAAATATACACCTTAATGCTAATAAAGCTAAGTTACCTAGTTAGGCTAATAAGGTTATCTTTATAGCTACTTATCTTTAAGGATAAGTATAGAACTAGTTTAAACTATATATCTAAGAATATTATAAAAAATAACTATATAAATAGTTAACTATTATATAGAATATCTTTACTAGCTATACTAGATTTAGATAGTACCTTAAATAGACTTTTAGAGATATTAATACTAAAGTAATAGCTAAGAGAAGACTAAAGTAGCTTAGATAAATTATCTTAGTATCTATATACTTCTCTAAATTCTACTAGCTCATCTTAAATGTAGACTAGAATGAAAAGATATATATATCTATAGCTATTAGTAGCTTAAAGGACTATATATAAGATAAATTAGTATATATAGAATAATTAGAATAACTTAACTAGCTTATAGAAATTATAGTTAAGATTAATAATTACTACTATAAGTAGAAAATAGAAAAATAAGAAATTAATATCTAGAGAAAAGGTCATAGACAACTCTAGGGTTTAGTGCCTCTAATTAGTAGGGGAGATCCCAGGGTGCTAGGGCCTCTGATTAGTAGGGTTAATTAAAATATAGGATCCTAATTAGGAAGCTGCTAATTAAAATAATAGCATGTTTAACTATATGGAGATGACTCTCAGGGGTAAGAAGGTCAGATTTTAGGGTCTAATAAGGTCCCTATTTATTAATTATTATGTAGATTAGTGTTTAAGGGGCTTGCTAGCTAGCTTATAGTATATATATTAGTCTAGCCTATAAGGTCTAGGACCCCCCGCGCGCGCTTATCTATCTTAATAAAGGTAGAATCCAGTAAGAGAGATGAGCTATATAAGTAAGTAAGTAAGGAGAATTAATTAAGGTAGAATCTAGTAAGAGAGATAAGTTACATGAGTAAGTAAGTAAGGAGAATTAATTAAGGTAGAATCTAGTAAGAGAGATAAGCTATATAAGTAAGTAAGTAAGGAGAATTAATTAAGATAGAATCTAGTAAGAGAGAGAGCTGTGTAAGTAAGTAAGTAAGAAGAATTAATTAAGGTAGAATCTAGTAAGAGAGATGAGCTGTGTAAGTAAGTAAGTAAGAAGAATTAATTAAGGTAGAATCTAGTAAGAGAGATGAGCCGCATGAGTGAGCAAGTAAGGAGAATTCTATTCTAATAACTTAGTTTCACTCTTAAAGAGTAAGAATCCTAAGTATTTTAATAACTTAGTTTTATCCTTAGAGGGTAAGAAGTCTAGTAAATTTTAATAACTTTAAGTAACTTAGTTTCACCCTTAAAGGATGAAAAGTCTAGTATATTCTAGTAACTTTAAGTAACTTAGTTTTACCCTTAAAGAATAAGAATCCTAAGTATTTTAGTAACTTAGTTTTACCCTTAAAGAGTAAGAATCTAGAGTATTTCTATAGCTTAGTTTTACTCTTAAAGAATAAGAATCTAGAGTATTTCTATAACTTAGTTTCACTCTAAAAGAAAGAGAATCTAGAGTATTTTAGTAACTTAGTTTTACTCTTAAAGAGTAAGAAGTTCTATAATAGTTTGATTTTCATCCCTAGATAGCTACCTAACTTAGGGGAAATCCTGGCCCTAACCCCCTCCCTACAGCCCACCTGACCCCCTTTGATATCTTATAATAATAATAATTTATAAAAATCTTAGCCTCTATAATCTCTATAATAAAATTAGTTATAGTAATCTTACTAAATAAATTATTAGATCTTACTCTATAGGAGTGAAAGTATAGGAGGAGGATTATTAGAAATAGATAGGGAAGAACTTAAAGAGAGAGAAAAGAGAGTAGATATAAACTCTTAGAAATAAAGTAGATATAGACTCTATAAGTAGATATAGACTCTAACTATAGACTTTAGAAGTAGATATAGACTCTAGGAGTAGACTATAGACTCTAGAAGTAGATAGGAGTAGCTATAGACTCTATACTCTAGAGACCTTATAGTCATCCCTAATTAGTATAGTAACTATAGACTCCGTGCATGACACTGTTACTAGGGAATTATGTTAAGTGATACTTCAGTGTTCATATTATTGAAGAGAGTTAATTATGTGTGTTAAGATACAGAGAGGCTGGTAGCCAGGTAAATATGTATATATGCACATGCTCCCAGGAGTCCCAGCCCCTGAGACTATCATAGTGACCGATATTCAACACTCCCACTCACTGATTTCCTTCATAATGAAGGATATTGCAAAATGGCTGTGCGATGCCAGCTGGCCAACGGTGAAGAACTCATCCCTGTTCATGATGAGCTGGATGGACATCCTCTGCAACATTGCTCTTGGCTTTGTTGCAATATAAGGCAATTAGTAAATAATATTAGTTATGGAGTGATAGAATCCTAGAGAAATCCAGTTAATATATGAGGTGGGAGAACCCCACTGCAAGCCAGGACATTACCCTCCCTCAATGGATTTCATACACATAACACAAACATAGAGGCTTCTCGATTTATGACCGTATGCTCGACTCAATTCCCAGTAAATAACCCTTCATTGTCTCCAATGCTTAGCTATTGAGCCTTTCAGAGCTTCAACGTGGTTTATATAATTCAATAACTGAATTCTATCCTGAAGAAGCCCAGTTGAGAGCATCGCTATAGCTTCTGACAGAAGACACTGTGATTGGGCGCCATTATTGTTATTGCTTGTCTCTCAGCAATGGATTTGTAAGAACTGGTACATACCACCAGTGACTCTGTCTGAGATGGATCTACAGATAATATGTATGAATAGGGTGTGTTAACTGGTTGATTGCCCAAAACTTTCAGTATAGTGTCTTGTCATTCATTCAATTATTTGATTACGGTTCGGCAAATTCGCTCTCTTTTCTGCTAGTTATGTTGGTTTTTCAATGGATGGACAAACTTTCCTTCAATCTACTCTGTCACTGCACTTATTCCATCATAACTCATCTTGAACAACAGAAGAGTATTTCGGAATGCAGCATATGGAATCAATGAAGAGCATACATTAGAAACAGACTGCGGTTCCAGATTGGCTCCACCCTACAGTGGTCCATCCCAGGACCCACTTGGATGTTTGAAGTAGATCAGCCCTGTATTGCTAAAGGGGCAGATCGATGGTTTATAAGAATATTTCGAAGAACTACTCATTGTAAGCTTGGAAAATTTGTCCATCCTATCCTTACACTTTCCCTTCAAACAATCTATTCTGCTGGTTTCAGAAATTACAAGTTTACAACTACAAAATGGTTTGCCTCAGACGGTCTCTTGCCCTGGCGGCTCTATCGTTGGCTCACGTTACCTGCGCTCTTCCAGCAATAAACGATGTTTTCTCTCGGGCTCAATCCCCGACCGATCTCTGCGGAGACTATGATTATATTATCCTTGAAAATTCACCATGGATTGTCTACAACATGTTGTACAATGCCGCTCAGACGGTCGGCACGCAATGTACAAATTACGATGGGGTCACTACGAGCGACCAAGGAGGTTCTGTGGAGCAGCGTGACAGACATCAATTATGTCGAGAGCACGTAAGCTTTCGGACTTTGTGTCAACATCAGCCGCCTAACATGGACTTATCATAGGAACAACGTCCCCAAAGGGTACTCCTTTGTCGGCCTGACCCAGAATCTCGAGACAAAACTGTCCGCTATTGACTCAATCCCCGCAGTCTACAACTGGACGCGTACCAATACCAATTATTTTAAGGGTGCGATAACTTCGCTATGTCTCAGATCCGCCTTAAATACTGATAATCCGAGCAGGAAACGTTTGCTTCGATTTTATGACCAATGACATCAAAGGTGACTCGACTTCATCTTCGTCACGCGAGCTCATGCTGTGGCTGCAGTATGAGGGCGGCCAGCTGCCCATCGGCTGGACCAATGGACCGGCTGCCACCATTGACAACCTCTTCGGGACCTCGTGGACGCTATACGAGGATATCAACACCGACACCGGGATAACGGTCAGCAGCCTGATGCCTACCAAACAGTTTGAGGGCTCTTTCTCTGGCGATCTCAAGGACTGGCTACTCGCCATGGCCAATCTGGGCAGGTTTACCGAGTCGACATATGTGAATGTTGGCAATGCTGGGTATGTGTTGTTTGTCCTTATTGTCGCCGTATTCAACTGACAGGTCTGAATAGGACGGAGTTCTTCTACGGAAATTCCGTGATGAACGCGACCCTCGGCTTGCAGATCAACGTTGCGTGAAAATTGATTCAACGCAGGGTAGGTAGCATCTTCATTCATGAGTCCGTCAGAGCTTTCTCGCTCGCGACACGAGATGGTTCCAGTTCTGTGTCTTTATCCTCTACAGTACTCTGAACTCCGGACTCTGGTTGCAATCTATATACTGTAGTGTCCGGACGAGCCGACTCTTCAATATACGGATGAGTTAGGCAATCGTTGGAATAAAACACCACTAGGCTAAAAGGGTGCCCGGATGAAGTACTCTTGAGTCTAGGTTTTGTATCTATAATCATAGCAGCACAATATTTCGCCATCAATAATAAATCATGGTTGGTAAAGCGGCAACAGGTGTTAGCATAAACAAGCTTATGGAGTACCTTGTTATGGATTGACGCAGGCAAGATGGACCCAATGATAAGTATATTTCGCAACTGGGCGTGTAATACTGCCAGCTTCGCTTCGTTACGATAGCCTTACACCTCATTCTTTTCCTCCCCTCATAGTCTATGGTCTCTACCTTCTACCTTCAACGTACAGAGCAACAAGCCGGGGTTGACGCTGTATACTAAATATAACATGAAATGACGCAGGGAGTAGAACCGCCCGACCTTATAGAATCGAGCATTTTGCGCCTCGATGGCCGTGTCTGGTTCTAGAATATGACACGACTTGAGTAGCTGCCCCGCACACCTTCTGGACACCCTCAAGTGTTACTGCTGAGCGTTTGAGATATTCCTTCGCATTGATTTTGCGACAGACCTCCGCAGCTTTCTTACCCATCTGAGTGGACGAGAACGAGGCCCCCACTACTCATGGAGAAAAGATGAGAAATAACCAGTGGTGTCAAGGTGTGGCCAGACTGGTCATGTAGGCCTTTCTTTGTTTTCTTGGCTGGGAACCTTGAGATAGAGCTCATTCACCAGGGCCAACAGTAACAGTTGAGGCTCTCCATACTCTGGCAGAGCGACGATTAGCTGGCCACCGCAATTTTGCATTGGTTTTCTTCTGACCAGGGTCGACATCAACTCATTGCTAGGATGGCAATACAGTTTCGTGGATAAGCCAGGGTTGGTCAAGGGAAAGTTGGATGATTGTACTGCCCTTAACTGACAAGTACGGTTCGGTGACCTCTCTCCAAATTGACCAGGCCAAGATGTCCGACGAGTCGCTGCAGTGGGCATTTCGTAGTTTGAACTGGGCAATGGAGACAAAGAGAAATCCCCATAAGGTAGCACCTAGGGATAGCTATTATTCCTGCCATATGCTCCAAATGCTGTGGGTTTATCGCGGGGTGAAACATCTGAAATGGCCGGCGTCAGTACTCCGTAGGTGGTTGTTGGACTGGTCCACTATGGGTGAAGCAAGGGGAAGACTGTAATTTCCGGCCAGTTTGAGGTGCGGATGCTGTGTGGCTAGGGTCACCAAAACAAGGAGTGGGTCAAGCCATGAAATGCAGGTCCTGTGTTAGGTAAAATGCCCGTTGGAAACCCTCATAGTATGAGTAATACCAGAGGAACGCCTTGCATAAATTCTGTAAATTGCCCTAACTAGACCGTATAATGATACTACAGCTTGTTGTGATTCAGAGGAAGGTTAATTCCTGTTATTCTCATCTGAAAACATGAGGGTTTATATACAAGTTGAATATCAGATTGATTTTCAATCAATCTGATTCAATACGAAATAAATTCCGTACACGAAGCTCTATTGTCTACTTGATCAGACCTTGATTCACAACAGGATTGAACTGCTTCATCTACGGAGTACTCGGAGAGTGTCCGCGCAATTCCTTGAAACGGTCTAGCAGACTTTCTTCTTCTCTACGCTCAACCACTCCTGGTTACCTACTACTGCTGGCTATTCCTCCCAGCAGGTTAGGTTCTAAAGTTAGGGGAACCTAGCCTAACCTGCGAAAATAATAACCCTACTAGAACCTAACTTAGAATACCCCCCTTAAGCCTAAAACCTAGCCCAAGTTGGGTTTGACATACGTTTTAGTTGGGTAACCAAGAACACCTGCCTAGGTCTACTTATACACTAGCATTTACCCATACCATGGCATGTTGCGTGGCACAAGCCACCAAACAAATTTATTTCTTTAATACTAATAACATGACCAGCAAGCACTTAAGCATCTCCAAATTTTCGCACAAGCAGGAAATGTGAAAACTGTAAACTAAAGTCAAGACAGCTGCTACATCTGAGGAACAACATAGTTATGCAGCCTATAATTATCAGCCCATATATGATCAAAAATGGTATTGTCATGCATAACTAGCATAACTGTTCAGTCCCCATTGAAAAATACTTTGATGCTATCCACAACTGCGTCAGCACCATGAATAGGGTCCCTGCCTTCAGCTCCAATCCAATCACCATTACCAAGGTGCTGTCCTTTGATTATGTTTGGTTCACCTCCCTTTCCACCAACCTCATAGTGGCGGGACTTGTTTGTGTCGAACTCAATTGCGTCAACAAAGCCTATATCATGTCCCGCGCGGATGGTCATGCAAGTTATCTTTTCATCATCCTCGAACTCGAACGGTCTGTAGATATTGGGGTTCTGGTGGCCAACAAGCGGGCCCTTATAGCCATCATCCCAGGTAAATTGGAATCCATTGACGACATCATAGCCATCATAGCTCCGTCCCCAGGCGTCAATTTTCTTGATTTTGTGTTGTCCATGTTCGGCCTTGTAGTAGCTGCCTCCATAACCACCGTATGGGCCGTCTTCAACACGTTGCATAGTAGGCATGATGTTATGCAGATGCTCAGCGATACTGGGGAGAAAATGCTTGTTTGTTTGTGATGTTCGAGATCGCCTCGAAAGATAACAAGGTCATAGATGTTAAGAGACAAAAGTGCTGGTATAGACAGGGAATCTTGTTCTATTATATAGGTCCTAGCTGGATTGAATCACTTTCCCCAGAAAAACTGGACTTTAGTGCTGCATGTCTATGACATATCAAGCATACAGTTCCCCAAATCATACCGGCTACTTTGTTGGTTCAACATTGTCTGCGCGTCATACTATAACGTACTGCCGTCACGATGAGATGCTCGATGTTGTCATAAGCACAAATAAACACGAAGCCAAATCCATAATATAGATGGATTTAGAGACTATCAACTTTATCTAAGTCTAGACCTCTGAGAGAAGCTTTATTTCCACAAACGTTGTTGCTCAGATGCATTCTTAACTGAATTTGTATGGGCTAGAGACACAGATAGAGCCTTCCTATAAAGTAACAGTAAACTTTATGCTGATCAACCTCAGAATGCGAGAACAACGGAACAATATAGGACTATCCATTGCCGTTTGCAAATATCTACTAGCAGACAGGCGTTTCCGAAAGTTCTCCCGTTATACAATTAAAGCATCCTTTGATATCATGGACTAGCCTAGCCGTAGGGTTCCATGGCCGAAGAATAATGAATACAAAAATGTCCGGGGACCTCCTGGTATTTCCAGTTCCGCGTACCATGGAAACCATTATAGTGTTAAATTAACTATTCATGGAATTCTTGGTATATATTCCGCGGAGTATATTTCAGGTGGGCCTACGCTGGAATGTTACACCTAGCTCTGATATCCCAGTCAGAGTCCGATTGTTACGTTTGCAGTTACTGAGTCGCCTTTGGAGTGTTGTTGCCACAGAAGAAAAACTCAGGGAAGCCCTTCAAGTGATTGTTCTTGGTTATAGTATCCTTTGGTGTAAGAATCACTGGTTCGTATCCCGCATCTGGCAGTTGAGGTTCCGCCAACTTCCGCTGACAGTTCAAACACCTAGCCAACAATGCATACCTCTCGGATGACCTCTTTTCTTTCCAAGTCATTTTTCCTTTTGAACTATTCGACTCCCTGGCTCGTGCTCGAGAAGATATATTGTGGAAAACAAACATATTTGACAATCTTGGTGTTTGGTTCTCTCGGGCCTGCTTACATGCTTGTGCCACTGTATTTTCCCATTAATGGATATGTAGAGATTAGTGATTGAGAGATTTTTCATTCTGTCTTTTTCGGAAGGTGCTCCAGGAAGAATTGCACCTCCTGAGGAGCAAGCCTGATGAGAAGGAACAGAGGGCATATGTCCACGTTGCTATAGTGCTATATGCGCATACAGTGGGCTCCCTGAATGGCATGCAGTCACAGTGTCTGATATTGGCTTCCTGAGACTGTAGCTCCAAGTTGATTAAGTCATATAATACTATATCCCGCGAATCTTGTAGTACAAATGCAGGTGCTATGACCATATTCTTGTGACATTACCCTAATCTTGCTCTGAGACTTAATAATATTTCTGCTACAAATCTTTTCCAGTTTTTGTAATTTCACCAAAACTTCATATGAAATAGTGCTTCTGGTGACTACATCAACTTGCTGAGAGCTTGAGTTAACATTATAGGATTTTACCCCTAATCAAAATAATTATGGTCAATTAAAGAAGATATTGATATGGACTCAACCTTTATGAGTGCTAACACACCAGTAGTTTTCTTTTAATACCCATTCCACGGCACCACTGCAGCTGGTAGTATGCCATCTTGACAGTGAATTAGTTGTGATGTTCGGCCATAGTGTTCTTTAAATATATTATTGTTGGTTTCTAAAGAAGACAAATTAACTAACACCTTATTTATGTTAGCTTATCCTGCTGGGATAAGCGTTCCCCTGCTTAAATATTTGTGAACACTAAAGTCCTCAAGTTAGTGTCATTTTGACCCATCCGCGTCACCGCGTGCATGAATTAGGTAGGCTAAATTCTCAGTCTAAGGACTAAGACATATATGAGGTAATATGAAACCTTAACATCCCTTGGTAGTTAAGCCTTCCGCATGCATTATGCTAAGGTAATGTTATGACACCAACAGCCAGCCGCACTAGCCAGGGCGGATGTGACTGGTAGAAGCCAAAGGAATTAAAACTTACTAATCAATTCTGGAGTAATCCCTGAGTGTCTTAGAATAATACCTATTTTAGTGAACTTTCACAGAAATACTATTTAATAGCATTTAAGTAAATAGCAAGTAATATTCATGTAGTAAACCTAGAGTTGCATTCAGTCTAAGTTTGGGCAAGTTCAAAACCAGTTGGCACTGAACCACATGATTTTTAAGTCAAATTCTAGAACTTAGAACCCAAGCACTTTTGACAGGCGATAAAATACTGCCATATGGTACCGATATACGAGATGCCATATTGAGTTGAGAAGCAGATGTCGCAGAACCCCAGATCAGGACTAGCACCGATATCTCCAGGCAAGGCGGCTCAGAGAAGCTGCATGATTTCATCTCCCGCGTCATGGAGATACGCCAGCTGCAGCAGCGTATACCAGTCCTGCTCGCCGCCCCACCCCTATCCAGCAGCGGACCGTCGGGTCCGCGCCCCCACTCCAGCAAAAGACACACGGTCTGCGGGTAATTGAGGGTCTAGCCATCGATGTCAACCTTGTTCACGTACTGTTTTTGCTCGGCGGGGAGGCTCACATAGTTTAGAATTGCGACGACCGTCTGGGGCGGCCCGGTGGAGAGAGATCTTCTGCGCCTTGTCGTCTGCCATGAGCATGCCACGGTCGCCCTGGTGAATTGCCTCGAAGTTCTCCAGCCCGTGCGGCGAAGTGGATGGCGGGTCGGTTGAGCAGATCGCGCAGCTGTGGCGGGGCGCCTTTGTAAAGGAGGTAGTTGATTATGCTGACGGCCGCGCCTAGGCACGCGGCCGAAAGTGGGTTGTGGATCCACATGCCACTTAGACAAGCCGTGTAGAGTGGCATATATGATTATGGGGTGTTCAGGAGTGTGTCTTCCGCGGCTACGATTGCTCAGATGCTCTCATCATACCCATTGCGGCTGTTAGGGTGTGCAGCACGTATCCTGTCTGAGGATATGAGTATCAGCACCTTTCCTAAGTGAACCCTGCACAATCCGGATATGGTTCAGTCAGCACGTCAGGTACAGTGGGGATGGAAAGAACACAGTAGGGTTCATGCAGAGGGTTAGGGCTCATCCCCGCGTCTAGAAGGGCATCAATCACGCGCCCCATGTCGACAAATACTGCTCTCCAGAGAACTGAAGGGGGCAGAGAATCCTGTGACTGGTTCAGATACTTGAGCGCAGTGTCCTCGTCCCCTACCTGCATTGCCTCAGAAAGGTTTCCCACCCTGACACGCGGATTGCCGTTTTAACTGAGTAGTTTGTAGAGCCTGAAACTATGGAGCCCCAGTGCGTGAACCTACTCATATTGATTTTACCCTGGACCATATTTATTGGTTAAATGAAATATAATTGAGAATATGAGGTAAAACTAGATAGATCAAGCTTTTGGTGCGGAGGCTCCACAGGCTTGTATCTCTCAACAAAGCAAAAGTTTTCATAATGGGAAGAAAGGTTTGCATGATCAATCTGTAACCTAAATAATAGGCTCCAAGGCTCCCCTTCCACTAATGGGCTTCTCATCCGGTTCGTGCACAAAGCCTTGCTCTTGAGAGCCTTTTCGCCGAGTGGAGTCCACCCAGTTTCCATGTACTTGTGCCTTGACATGGAACGGTAGCTGCACAACTGCAATTGGCTTTTCAAATTGGGCTGTGTCGAGTACGACAAGATCGCATCTGTTAGCAGCCTTTTGCTCCACCATCGCGAGGACCCATCCATCCCCTTCCGGAGCGTCCTCCCTTCTTGGAATAAAGACCGGTTCTTGTACGGCACAGCTATCTCCAGGACAGAAAAATCTGGTTTCCCCCACCCCTGTGATCATGCATTGCCAACCCGTTCAGATTCTGGAATACTGTCTGCCCTCCCAAGGTAGTTTCCGGGATGGTCACATCGAGGAACACAATATTGTATTGTTTGGTCAAGAAACGCTCATCGATGCGGGGGAACTCGCATGGGAGATCGAGGATTACCCGCGGATCTGGTATGGAGGAGCCGGAAGGGGCAGTGAGATCCAGTTCCCAGCGAACAAAATCTCTCTTCGCGTCCGTATCTGGTCTGCGGCCATCGTCGGATGGGAAGAATGGAAAAGCATTCTCAATGACGCGGGAACTTTCAACCCAAATTTTAACGCCACCGTCCTCCTCATCCGCTTCCCAGGCTCCGGCTGTGTGAAGAGGCATGCAGTTTTGCCATTGATAAACCCGACATTTTTCATCCGCGGCCCAACTAGAAGGGCGCTTCGTGCTCTTCCGCCGAGGCACAACGATGAAGGCTGCGGGCCGGCTGTAGTTCCACGCCCAGTGGTGCCCACCGGCCTGCATGCGAGCAAGGCTGGCTTCAAATGGCCCCATAACTAAAACCAACCAGTTTACAGTGAGAGGACAATCGTGGATGAATGCACTCCAAGGCGCCTTGAGCCACTCTTCCTCGACTTTGGTCCCATTGGAATCAAGCGTGTAGGTGACCACATCCAGGCTAGCAAGGCCTGTTGCTTCATAGCCAAACACAACAAGCTCATTGGTGAAGGGGTCGATTTTGGGATGAGCAGTGAAGGTTCTGGAGCGGACCTGGGACCCAAAGGGATCGTACTTGAGCGTGGCAAGAGTGTCTGGATTGGCCGCGTAGGGTAGGGCTATCTCCTTTAGTGCGAGCAAGTGACCCGCCCAGTATACCAGGTTGGTATTGGCTGCGGAGTCGACCGCTCCGCGAACACAGGGGTGATAGGTAAAGGGGTTCCAGTAGAGACCAAACAGCGCCTTTCTAGCCTTTCGTTCCAGCCTGTAGCGCTCGGTCTCGATATACCGCATTTTCATGTCGACTCGTCCAAGATGGAAGCGAAACGCGGAGATGCTGCCGTCGCCATCGAGAGGAATGATTCTTGGATTTGGTGATACAAATGGATCCACCATCACACGATAAAAAGTACCATCGATCTCTTTGGGAATTTCGCCTCGGACGATCATGTCTCCGACTTCTCCTTCGAAGCGACACGGAAGATCCGATCCTGAGAGATCCAATGCAACTGTCCTCCTTGACTCTAAGCCGTATAGCACATCGGAGCCCGATGCTGATTCTTTCAAACTGGCCATCGACTATGATTACGAGCTATCAGCTTTTGGAAACTATCTGCGGCAATGATTAATCCCAGGAGGTGATAGAGAGGAACACGAACAAACCGAGTTCTTTTGTTAATGGGTTCTAGATGGGTGATGCAAGATTGAGCAAACGAAAAGATCCTGCAATTTCCTAATCCGGCGTTGTAGAGCTGGTCTAGAATAGGCTTTCCTTGGGCCCATAATAATCTTGATCAAGGGCAGTAGCGACCCAAACATAAATTGCTATGCTGTGATAATGTTCAATGCTATTTTTAGGGTTATATAACCCAAATATGTACCAACATTGAAGTTAGTCTTCGGGAATTTTGTATGGATCAGCAAGAATATCGGAACCATCACGCCTTACGTATGAGGATAGAACGCTAAAAAAAAGTACTGCATGGTAATTGCTGATTATCTTAATTATAGAGAGCATCTGATTGGGCCTAGTGAATGCAACCCAACCCAGTCAACCAACCGAATTCTGACCGGGAGAATGATATAGGAGATACACTTTCCTACAATACGGTTGATTCTCCGCGTGCATTGTTTTAATTACTGGGTTAATAGTGTGCAGGCTCCATGGGATAGATGCTTACCATCTGGTGACAATGACGATGCCCACGCCCATACAGGGTTTTTCTTCAAGCGTCTGACCCGGCGCCAGGAGTCTCGATGAAACCAAATATGAATTGACATTTTACAAAAATCTAGAAAGGGATATGTGAGTGGTAGTGGTAATACAAATGTTAACACAGTCCCTTTCCAGTCAGGGATGCCGGAGCCATCTTTATGGTCTTAGTTCAACAAAGGGAACATGTTCATACTTGAGATCACCTTCCACCACACATTCAAGTGGACCAAACCCATCGTCTCGCAAATGGTAACAGCGGCACAGAATATTGATTGACTGAGAGGCAGGGAGTGAGTAATTGAGAGGAAACAAATAATTGTGAATTGTTATTGTTGATCCTGCCGGTCCAGCCAAACAGCGTTCTAAACACCCTAACTCTGAAATTCCCTATCGATGGCTTGTACGGCCCTGTCGGAGGCTTTACACAACGTCCCAATGGATGTTGACGGCGGCAAGGGCGGGTTAGCCCAGAGTCACCGCCATCCAAATGCAGGCACAGGGGGATTCAGCGAGGTCCCCCACGCGAGGAGAGCACTGCACAGTCGGACCCGAAGCGCGGTTATAATCTATGGAGGAAATAGACGAATTGACTGATCTGCTAGAGAGAGGAGAAGGGTACGCGGTCCTTGAGACCGCGGCGCGAAGCCTCTCGGAGGCGGCCATAACCTTACCGCGAGAGGGACTGGGCGATCACTAAGGTGGAACTTAGGAAGCCGTCCTATAAGAACTAACACGCCTCCTGCCACAGCATGAGCCGAAAAATACCTGGGGTGCAGTCGCCGTGAGAGCTAACGCAACCAGTTCGCTACGACCGGACCACCATCTGAAATCACGAAGACCGTACCCGAGGGGCACCGGCGCGAAATAGTCATCCGAGCCGCAAATTTCCCTGACGACTTACAGAAGAGGACAGCAAAGGAGACAGTAACAGCTATTAACAGGCAAGCAGTGAGAAAGGGGCGATTATAGTGAGACGCCTACCCAGCGGCGACACTGTTATCACATTCATCAACAAAGGAACCGAATATGGGACACGGAGAACCCTGCAATGGTAAAGACGGCCGTCGGCCGCATAGGTGAGATCCAACAGTGCACTTACGTGGTGATCGCGAAGAGAATCCGAGCAGAGGACCTCAGGAGAGCAGACCCAGCGGAGGTAGCTAAAGAAACAAACTGATTATAGTATATTCTATAAGACCTAGAATATAATCGGCTGTAAACTCCGAGTCTCCCCACTTTGACGAAGAGATTGTCTGGTCCGCACACTCCGCTCCGTTATCTCATCTCAAGCCAGTATCAGGCGACTTAATGCAGCATTATAAGACAAAATACAAATCAATTAATATGACATACGTAGAAGAGTAAAAAATGCCGATATATAAATACAGGACACTAACTGTAGCTCCTTTTTATATTTAATTGAGCGCGAATTTAAACTGGACGCTGGGAATATCAGAGCTATTTTCTTCCATAGAAAAGGTGATATTCCAGAACTCAAAGTTACTGATATTGTTAGCAAAGTATGTTCACTCGAGAGCGGACGCTATCGACTTACTGGATAATACTGCAAGTTCCACCAACCAGTCCACAGAAAGATATCTCTGGAACTGGGTTGACAGTCCCGCCGACTACCTCAATCTGCAGACCATCGACATCGTTGAGCCCATAGATATCCCGCTTCGCACCAAGTGGGTTCGAAGCGAGAACGAATGTAAACTTGCTCGTGGAGTTGCCCAGCGGATATGTCAGTTTGAGTGCGTACGGAGTCACCTCTGCCTGCAACGCGGTTTCGGTCGGATATAGGTTGAAGTAGCCAATTGATTCATCGGAGCGAATCCACTGCACGACTGAAGGAGAGAAGGAGGTTGAGTCCTTTGAATAGCCGCCCACAACGCTCTGGTTGAAGGAATCTGTTCCGATGGTCAGATTGGCTGAGAGCCACGTTGTGATGTTGCGAGGCTCGTAGTCCGCTGGGGGAGCGTAAGCGTGCCCGGTATAGGTGTGCTCGCAAGAGAAGGAGGTCAGTCTCGAAAGAACATAGTCCGGTACGAGCTTCTTATGGAAATTCGAAAGAACGGCGATAATGGGGGAGATCTCAAAGTCGCCTGCGTGTGTCATAGTCCAGATCGGTGAGGTGGAATGCCACACGTTCTCCTTTCCTACCAGGGACCAGATCCAAATCGAGATGATAGCCACGTATTTGTTCATATCATAGCCGTATGAACGGTCCCATGGACCAGCGAAGTTTCTCATATTAGGGTTCCACAGCTGGGACTCATAGCCCCAGATATCCTGAATCACCCGCTCTGCATTCTGCCCGATAACAGAACTAGTCGATGAAAGGTACTTGGCGGCAATGGTCAGCGCATAGAGGGAGACACCGGCGTAGGTTGGGCCGTTGAACTCGGACAAAGTGTGGTTGTGATCAAAGAGCTCGAGGAATTCGTGGGCGTCATTGTTTCCCGAGGAAGTCATGTTGGCGTTGTTCAGGTGGTGCCCGGTCCATGAAGTCACCACCGTCCGCATCAACCAGGCATTTGAATACGCCGGGTACAAGTTATCTCCATCAACGCCACCAACACGATAGCTGTCACCAACGGTGTTGTTGTACAGGCTCTCAATGATCAAGTCCTTTACATCTGCAGGCAAAAGTCTTCCGAACTCCTCATAAATGAGGATCAGAGCGGTACCAATGAAGCCTCTCCAGTTGGGATCCCACGTATGATAGATCTAACTATTTTCAGAAGACGGTCCAAGATGCGGTTTACAAGGATAAGAACTTACACCGGGCGCATATGCAGGGCTGCCAACAGTCGGCTGCTCAGGATAAACAGTGTAGTCGCCATACCATTGCGCTGACGTATTCTTCTCCTGACCGGCAATCACATTCTTGAGGATCTTCACAGCTTCATTGAGGTCATTGCCCTGGTTACGTTGGAGTAGTCCGACAGAGTACCAGACGGTCGACCGGGTCTCGTGTGGACCTGCGGCTAAGGGGAAGTAAAAGTTGTGTAGGTAGGAGGCCGCAGGATCATAAATATCGTCTAGAAGAGTCATCGACTGGTCAAAGAGGGCCTGCGACTGCTTGCTCAACTTGGCTGAGCGCACCAAACTGGCGCCCAGCAGGCCGAGGCTGGCGATCTGAGACCAATTGACATTGAACCGCATCTTGACTTAGTTTGCGAATGAGCCCGAAAATCATCAACTCACCAGTCTTTATAGCCAGGGGATATTACCCTCGGGAAATTAGTCCCGACGATATTTCCCCAGGATTTGGTTCACTTAATTGCGGAGAAAGCCACAAACCCAATTGGCTCTGGTACCAACCTCGTGGTTCGGGGAAAATGACGGGGTTTGTTATCAGCCAACAATTCCCGGTTATCTTGAGAGGGGCTCGATAAGGTTTTTCCCTCTATCGTTGTCGAGCTCCGCAAACTGTGGGCCGGCAGGTCAAGTGATATGCAACGCGTTGATTAACGCAATCAATAATAAATATAATACAGATTGCCCGAGCCACTGGTGAACTCTGCAGGATTCCTTCCCCCCGCCCCCTCTTCCCCCCCAAAACCCAAACAAAACAAAATTAACTCAACTAGCTGGTCCACCCGAACAGAGCAAGAATGGGCGAAATTATCTATGAGAGCTCGACGGTGGAGGCCAAGATTGATGGATCGCCGCCGTAGCTCCCAAAAAGTACGGCGCTTTCTTGAGTTTTCTGACCGGCTGGTTGACCGTCTGTGGCTGTAAGTAGCAAATCCTGTGCCGTGACTAGAAAGCAAAACTGAAAGTCATTGCCCCAGGGATCTTCACCACTGCATCAACAAATCTGATCTTCGCCGAAGTTGGTATGAGCATTGTCAGCCCCGTCAAAGCGTCTTGGATCTCGTCTAATGAAAATTAGTCCAAGCACTTTATGCCCGGCGACTCAACATGCACAAGGGCACCTTCCACATGGGCAAATGGGGCTGGGTCGTCAACGGCGTGACTGTTGGGTGGCTGATCTTTGCTATCATATTCTTCAGCTTCCCTTATGCCATGCCACTTACAGTCGAGAATATGAACTATACATGTGTAGTGGTGGGTGGCTTGCCTATTTTGATTCTAGTGTGGTGGTTCATCGGAAGAAAGCAGTATAAGGAGAAGATCGCTAATGCAAAGGAGAACTAGTTAAATTCTAGTCGGAATATTTTCAGATATAGACTAGATTTTATTGAATCTACATGTGTGTATGAGAGTCTTAACTATCAACTCCCAACTATGGCAGGGAGAACTTTAACCTGGTGCATGGTAATGAGCCAGTGATACTTGGTCCCAACAGGCGCGCTACCTTTCTAGGGCGCATTGTGCGCTTGTTACTTGTTGGCTTGTTTGTTTAGTAGTCTGTTCGCCAGAGATCGGGCTCTTCTTTGTTTCTTTCTAGGTACCCGGATCGTTGTTTTAGGTGTGTGAACCGCTGATTGCCATGCCGGAGGATAGCTGGTTATTGTGTGATTGTAGAGCATTAACTCCCCGCCATATGGTGGGATGTGGTCGTGTCGGTACTAGATTGCCTTCTTCTAAGAGGTTTTCTTCGTCTAGGAGGATGGGGTCGATCAATTCGGTTGAGGGGCTTTGGGGGGCTTGATGAGTTGCTGTTTGTTGTACTGATTGGTGAAGTACGAGGATCGACTATTGTACTACTTTTGAGTCTGTAGTCTTTCTTCCCATCGAAACTGAATCTAAGGGCTGGTTGGAGCCTGTTCTTCATTATGACACATTTGATGACATATATGTAATGTTGATGCCGCGTACACAAGTATGAAAGACCTAGTACCATGATTTCTATAGGTCCATACGGTGATAGACCTTTAAGAATATCAGACTAATCAAACTCCCCTTTCCATCCCTTTGGACCAATATGCCTGGTTTAAAACTGACTAGCCTGCTTATGACCAGAGACCTGAAAAAGCTCTCTTAATATTTGTTTGGTCCAGATTGTATATAATAACGTTTATCCTTACATACCGGTTGAATATTTCATTACAATGCATGACCGTGGATGTATCCTAATTCCTGCCCTATAGACATCTTATTCCCTTGTCTATATAAATGTATTAAGGCATAATACCGAGTGTTACAGCCTACAAGTAGGTCCGCAGATACTCCCCGAGGGCCATGATGGCCATAGCCTGACCGTATGGCATGGACGTGAGAGGGATATCCTTGTAGAACTGGAGACAGTCACCCATAGCGGTGCCGAAACTGGTGTTCTGGAGCTCGCCCTTGTCATCAATGTTCATGAGCACGGAGGTAATTGCTTTCTCAGCAACGCGTCGGTACTGCGCGCCGATATAGCGCTTGCGAACCGCCTTTAAGATACCATAAGCAAAGCCAGCAGTTGCTGAGGCCTCGAGGTAGGAGTCTGGGTGGTCCAGGAGAGTGTGCCACCCACCTGAGGCAGACTGCAATCGCTGGAGAGCCTCGCACTGGGCCTCCAGGGTCTCAATTAAGTGCAGTCGAATAGGATCCGTCGGCTCCAAGTCCAGCAGCTCAATAATCTCTGGAACCACAATAGTGATCCAGCTGTTTCCACGTGCCCACCGCGCGTCCGCAAAGTTATGGCCACCATCTTCAAAAGTCCAGCCGTGGAAGAACAATCCGGTCTTGGTGTCAAACAGATACTTAATATGAGTTAGGAATTGCTTCTTGGCCTCGGCAATATAGTGGGACCTGTTCAGAAGCTTGCCGATCTTGGCCAACGGCATCACGGTCATCATCAGGGTATCATCCCAGAGCTGCTGGTAGTTTTGGTTGTCGTAAGTGATGTGCTGCATACCGCCGTACCGGGTGCGTGGTAGCTCATACATTGCCCACTCAGCCCATGCATCTAACCAGGGCAGATAGGAGACATTGCCGGTTTTCTCGTAGACATAGGCCAGCGTCAAGAAGGGGGCCATAGTGTTGATATTCTTGGTGGTGCCTTCGACGAATCGCGCTGCAAACCAGTCCTCAATAATCTTCAGCAGTTTTGCATCGCCAGTCATCTCATAACACTTCCAAACGCCATACAGGCCAATGCCATGCGTCCACTCCCAGCCATGCCAAGACTTGGTATCAATGATGCGACCGTCTGGTAGGGGCATCAAGAACTTGCCCGTCTCATCTTTGATGTTAACAAGGTTGTCAATCAGCAGGTTAACTACCTGGTGGATTTCGGGTGCGGTAGGTCGGGTCGAAGCCATGATGAATTTCGAATTGTTGGCGAAGAGGGTGCTTCGCGACAAATGCTTGTCTGTCACGGCGCAGGGTAGCACTTAATGAGCACAATCAACGGTTAACTGCTCAGAGACGAAACCTTGAGAATGGGCGAAGAGTTACTTCGATTAATGAAGCATGCTTCCGCACTATTTAACGATAGTGCTTCAGGATTCAATGCTTCGATGTTTAGCTCTGTTTCACTTTTCTCTCCATTCCAGCCTTCTGAATGAATACCCGCCCCCGGAGGTCCAATAACGGGGGGAAATGAGGGAAGAAACTCCAGCTGCCCCTCGCGATCCACGTTTCTCCGCGTGGACCAAGGTTGGGCCTGGGGACCACTGGTCGAATGTCGGCGAATCATCGCCGCCCGCATCTAGCGCTAATCAGCGAAAGCCACTGAGGTCAAGGTGGCCCGGAGCGGTACAGAGCGGTACCCTGTGGATCCTTCGATAGCGTTGAGGGCGAGTATAACTGGGGTGATTGCTGCCCCGGACTGCACAGAGAATATGAGCATTAATTGTACGAAGGACACATCAGGAATAAGATTATTGATTGATTGAATGGTGCGAAGTATGGTCAATGGCTTATCAAAAATACATAAGGGGTCAAAAGTCTGTTGAGAGATAATATTCATGGGCGAGTGTGCCGGCTGGTTCGGGACCTAAATTCCATGCTTTTCAAACTGATCTCCTGTAACTTAAGTAAACCGTCTTTAAGAATATCCAGATAGGAATTAGCCTTAAAGCCTTATTTTGGTAAAAAGTTGTCTTTTTCTCTAATAATTGATTTCAAACGCCCGATGAGCTAAATAGCCCCCTAACCTATCTATAGATATCTTTTGTATCATTAATAAGATTTACGATATCCTTTTAGTTGTGTTCGTTTTTATTCGTTTTTAGAAGAAAAACACGTATTGATGGATTAAATTTGATTTTTGTTTGACGGAATGCTCTTCAGAGAATACCTATTGGCTCTAGCGTTAATTTCTGTGACGAAAGACCTTACATTGGGCGAGATAGGCTGCTTAAGACAAGGGGAGGGGGTCGCTGAAATTTGAAGTAGTACCTGTTACGAGCCAAGACGACAGTTCGAAAACTACCTGCGCATTTAACGAAAGTATCAAGACTGAAGAGGGAAGAAAGAAGAAGAAGGAGGCCAGCAGGGAAGAGAGAGCCTAAATACATGCGCAAACGAGCAAACCTCTCTAATCAAGCAAACAGTCACCTGAGGCTATCGCCACATTCGTCACAATCTCCAGGTTCGTCACATTGAGGTTGTTTAGTAAACATAGCGAAAGTTCGGATTTTCCTAGAATTGTCAGATTAGTATTGCAATTAATCCAACATTCAAAGCGCCTGGTAAGGCAAGTAGAAAAAAAAAAAGAAGGCTCCTTACGCGATCTGTGATGTCCTCAAAAGAATGGGTAAAATCTGTGTCTGCGGCCACCTCCCCATGTTCAACCTTCCGATCGCGCCTCTTATTCTGGCTAATATACCATGTGCGTAAAGCCAAAAGAACGACTTCTAATAAGACGAAGCACACTAGAACTGTCGCTAGGGCAGGGAAATAGCGTGGTGCATCTTTTGAGCGGAAGGTCTGCGGACCAATTGAGTTACCCACCGCCCAAAAAATGAAGTTGCACGCAATCACAACGCTCTTCTTTGTTTGACCAGCAACATTGCGGGTCACGATAGAAATAGCAAGGCCAGCGCAGCCCCAGTACGCTATCATGATGTAGTAAGCGAATAAGAGACCGACGCGCTTGTTGTGCGCAAAGGGAACAGTAATAAGGACGACGACTCCGGCGATTGTAGGAACTACCGAGGCCATCATAGTGAGGATGGTTTGCTTAAAACGCCTATCGATCCAGACAGCGCCCAGCATAGCGGTTAGCTGAACAGCACCTGAAACCATCTGGAGAAGCTGCGTTTGCCAAGTAGTGAAGCCGAATGACTTAACAATAATATTATTGAAAGCACCCAGGCCACCGGAGGGAATGGTCAGGAGAAGTTGGATTAGGGCAATAGCATAGACTGCAGCAGTTAGTATGTCTCGTGGGACGACTCGGAATTTACTGAATTGCTTACCCTGAGGGTCTCTGAAAACCTCCAATAGTTGGTTCTTACGAAACTTTCGATTCTGCAGACCGGTTCTGTTGCGACGCACCCGCTCCACCATGAGCTTTTTGTCATTCTCAGTAAAGCAGTGCGCCCTCATCGGAGAGTCAGGCATCCACCATCCAACAAATGCGCCCCATAACACAGTAAAAATACCGTATGCCATGAACAAGGCTTGCCAAGAGCTGATCGGAGAGGTTGAAGGGATGAATGAAAAGCAAAAGGCTAACAGACCCCCTAATATCTGGTTCAACCCGTTCATCATGAACCTAAATAAGTTCATATCAGCGAACGTGTACCCTTATTTAAGAGCATTCTCGAAGTGAAACGCACCAAAAGGTAACAGCAGCACCCTGCTCTTCTCGAGTATACCACATAGAAGATAAGAGGGTAAATGTCGGCTGGCTAGCGGCTTCAAACAGACCCAGAAAGGCGCGCAAGGCGATAAGACCTTCGAAATTTTTCATGGCTGCCTGGAGTGCGAGGGCTACACCCCATAGAATGATATTCCCTGAGAGCCACTTGGCAATGGGGACCCTCTGAATGATATAGTTTTCCTGTTGATAGGTAAGATGAGCAAGAACCTGATGGATGCGAGGCATGAGCGGATTATTACCGGCAATTCCACCACTAGTATGACCATGTACAATATTGTGGTTAACCAGGAGTACTGTAGAAACCACAACAGTTAGAAATTTGGTCAGGTGAAGTAAGAGCATCATCAGTCTCAAAAATTTGGCTAGGGGCGGGGAAAGGACCTTAGAGGGTTGACATCTGAGAACGAGGAGTGATTTGAAAGATAAAAACTGACTTGCTGGCCCACCAAGTGGGTGTCATTCTGTATTCCCATGATCGATGCATAGGACATGGTACCCTTGTCCAGAGTTTGAACAAGGTACGTGATAACCATCACCAACATCACTCGCTTATCAATAAGTCTTTTGAGTCGACGGCTGGTCGCCTCGTCAACCTCCACGATCGTTGCGTTTGCGTACTCGGCGACCTCCCGATCAACCAAGTCGTAGTTCATATGGTCCTTGACGACGTCCATCTCCACGACCTCCGGGGCCTCGTTTATTTCGGGATTTTTAGACATGACGGTGCTTGACTCGATGTGTATTGTTGTTGAGAAAGGACAGGGATGAGCTTCATCAGCAGAATGTCGCGTTGCAAGAAGAGGCGGCCGTTGAACCCGCTTTATCTTTGCAACTGCCCAACCCCGAGCGGCATGGCTTTCATCCCTACCACAAGGTTGCCTTTGTGTTTCTCCTAGCGTGACCCCCACCCGATCCATACCTACATTTTGTGGGGAGCGGGGAAGTTGCGGGACTTTCTGGGGTTATTATGCGCAAAGCTTATACCAAAATGGGGGAGATTTTCACATGTGGCGTCTTATCGGCCTCCGCACTTAATTTCGTATCAAGGTTTTAAGGTAACCAGAGTAACCGGACACCCTATAATATTCCTGGTTCATATGCCGTGGTGTCGCCGGAGAAGCTAAAATTTCCCTGGTTGTTTTGCCGGTCTCCTAGGCTGGAATTACCCAATTGGCTATTTCTCTCGGTCTGACCGTCTGACTGCCCTCGTTTTGTTTGCCAACGGATATCAGATTCCGACGGGTGGTGCTCCATAGTAATTGAGTCCTTCGATGGTGGATCGTCCTGCAAGTAGGTAGTCGGGGATATGTCAAACGAGATAAATCGACTGATTCTCGGCGCTTTCGAATGACAATTTGCCATACTCGCCATCAAAAATATCACCTTGCTTACCTTGCCGTGGTTCTAAGTCGTGATTTTATTCTTTTGATCGATTTCACCATGTGTTCCGAGGAGAATCAGCGACCTCCGTCGTCGTACCCACTACGAACCGCGCAACCAGTGGGGAAACGGATCGCGCGCTTGGATAAGGATCGCCTTGCACAACTTTACTCGACAGGGCAATGGGAGAAAGTGAATCTTCTTGCGTGCGTAACCAAACCTACAAGCACATGATTGTGTGATATTCATGGTCTGACTTAAGTAGTATGTTGAATGAGGCGGTGTTCTCGGGTGCGCCACATGTGAAGCTTTTTGTTTGGCATGCCCCCGGCAGAACGCGTCCAACATTCCAGGAAGCCATCCACCCCGCCAATGAATACGACGAAACAGCGATTGGGCAAGAGTTTGGCCCATCCTGGTCTACCCATTGGTTTAAGGTGTATCTTCGACTACCTACGACAATCCGCAGCACGGACCATGTCGAGCTACATTGGGAGTGTAACAATGAAGCGACTGTCTGGACGCATGATGGACAGCCTCTCCAAGGCCTCACCGGCCGAGGGGAGCGAGTTGAGTGGATAATTCCCGATTCCTTTAAAGATGGACGTGAACATGTCATCTTTATTGAAATGGCATGTAACGGCATGTTTGGCAATGGCCCCGGAAGGCCAATATTCAAGAACAATCCTGGCGGCGATTCTATTCAACCTCCAGATCAGAACAAGCACTTTATGCTTTCAAAGGCGGAAATTGCCGTCGTTAACTGGGAAGCAAGAATGCTGTATATGGATATGATGGCTATTCATGATTCTGCCATCGAATTTCCCGAGGACAGCTGGCAGCAACACAAAGCATTGACTGTGGGCACCCAAATCATGAACACATTTCGCCTTGGTGACAACAGCTCAATTATCCGGTGTCGCAAGATTGCAGAGGATTTCCTTGGGCCCAATATCAATTCCACGAGTGTCTTCACAGCCCAAAAAGAACAGGAAGTAGATGTTTTCGCGGTGGGCCATTGCCACATCGATACCTGCTGGTTATGGCCGTGGGCAGAGACCAAACGGAAGGTTGCTCGATCATGGCTCAACCAGTGTGACCTCATGGATCGTTATCCCGAACTCACCTTTGTGTGTTCACAGGCTCAGCAATTCCAATGGCTTAAAGAAGAATATCCCAATGCGTGGAATCGTGTCCTGGCAAAAGTTCGAAACGGACAGTTCCAACCTATCGGTGGCTGCTGGATTGAACATGACACGAACATTCCAGGCGGAGAGTCTCTAGTTCGGCAGTTTCTCTACGGCCAGCGATTCTTCGAAAGTAATTTCGGGTTCCGCAGCCGCGTTCTGTGGCTTCCAGATTCTTTCGGCTTTTGTTCCCAGCTTCCGCAACTGTCAAGGCAAGCTGAGATGCCCTATTTCCTAACACAAAAAATATGCTTCAACAATATAAACCAGTTCCCACACACGACATTCAACTGGGTCGCGCTTGACGGAAGCCAGGTACTCAGTCACATGCCACCGACCCGGACTTACACGGCTGAAGGAAACGTTGCGGACGTTCAGCGCTGCATTACAAAGCATCTTTCTCTAGACCAAGACCATACGTCGCTTATGGCCTTCGGTAAAGGGGATGGTGGCGGCGGCCCAACCTGGCAGCATCTAGAACGCCTTCGACGGTGCCGCGGCATCTCAGACACAGTTGGACTGCTACCTAGAGTGCATGTCGGGAGTTCGGCAGATGCTTTCTTTGAAAGATTACAAAGAAAGGCTGGCTCTTTTCCCACATGGTCCGGCGATTTGTACTTTGAATTACACCGAGGAACCTATACCACCCAATCAAAGACCAAACACAACAATCGCAGAGCAGAGTTTTTACTACGCGACATCGAGCAATTGGCTACGATAGTGTCGGTAGCCGACAAATCATATAAATATCCAAAAGCGGAACTCGATACGATGTGGCAAGGTGTGCTTCTTTGTCAATTTCACGATTGCCTGCCAGGCACCGCAATTAAAATGTGCTATGATGACTCGGATCAAGTACGTGAAATCAGACAAATTAGACCAGCTATATCATGGGGGGTGAAGCTAACAATACATGTTCACAGGTCTACGCTAATATCTTTAAAGTTGGCCAAAAGGTACTTCAGACCCTTTATAAGACTTTGGACTTGGAGTTGTTCAGCGGTACCACTCCGGATATATTGAACATGGTTGCCCTCAATACTTCTGCCTGGCCGCGGAAGGAGATTCTTGAAATCACAAGGGGAGCCTACGCTGTAGCTTCGGGTAATGGGAGTACCCTGGCTCTCACGAGACTTGAACCTTCATCAATACAGGAGCCCGTTACTTTCCAGGAGGTGTCGCCGGGAGTTTTCAAATTGCAGAATGGCCAACTATCAATTACCGTTGAAAAGGGTTGCATCACTTCATTATATGATATCCGGGCGGATCGTGAAGTCATTCCGCTTGGAACTCATGCAAATAAATTTGTCATTTTCGATGACAAGCCAATTTACTGGCAAGCATGGGATGTCGAAGTTTACCACCTAGATACACGGCAAGAACTTGTGGGTTCCTCGACATCGGTCACTGAAGCAACACACCACCGCGTGAGTGTAACAACAGAAATCAAGATCAGTCCTCACAGTTCCATTCTGTCAACCGTTTCTTTGTCCACTGCACTTGACGGCACCGACAGCTTTGTGGAATGCACAGCAGAAATTGACTGGCATGAGACCATGAGGTTTCTCAAGGTCGAATTCCCGGTAGATATTCGAAATACAGATGCTGCATATGAAACGCAGTATGGGGTAATCAAGCGACCGACCCATTACAACACTTCATGGGATATGGCCAAATTCGAGGTCTGTTGTCACAAATTTGCTGATCTTTCTGAACACAACTACGGCGTCTCAATCCTCAACGATAGTAAATATGGCTTTGCAACGGTTGGAAATGTGATGCGACTGTCTCTTCTCCGCTCTCCGAAAGCACCTGACGATACCGCTGACATGGGAAAACACCGGATCCGATGGGCCATTATGCCCCATCGAGGCGGGCTGGGGCCCAGGACAGTCCGTGCAGCCTTCGATTTCAATAATCCCCTTAGACTTTTTGCAACGAAATCTCAGAAGCTGGTTGGGAAGGAATTCCCCGTCACGATTGACGGCGACGAAAGTCTGGTCCTGGATACCATAAAGCGCGGTGAGGATGATGAAGATATCAGTACTGGAGAACTGCCGAGGCGAAAAGGGCGGAGTGTGATACTCCGGATCTACGACTCACTCGGCGGCCACTCCCGGGGCGCAGTCAGGACCGTATGGAAGGTTTACAAGGTCTATAAAACGAATATCCTGGAGGACGATGAAGATGAGATTCCAGTCAAAGATGGAAGCTTCTCTGTCCATTTCGGGCCTTTCCAAGTCGGCACATATCGGCTCTGCTTGGCCGAGACAGACTTGTAATCTTCTGGTGTCCAATGTCTTCAAGTTAAGCTCAAGGCAGTCCGGTCGGTACGGACAGGTCGAGGCACGAGAGAGAATGGACAGCGAGAAGGCGAAAAGGATCTAGCAAAACACCAACAGTGAAGCTGCCGTAGAAGAGGCCAAACAGAATAACACGGCCGGTAAACGCCCTACCGACGGTAGATCCAGTCGTCTCGTCAAAAGAATCGAGAGAACGTCATCCTCGACAGCATGACTCCGAAAAAGAGAAAAGAAACTTCATAGAACAAGCTTGTATTCGGCCGTTGCGTCCCTTCTCCTTCCGTCCATGAATGAATGTCTCCTAAAAGCATACGATTCCGCTGATATCCACCTAGACAAACCAATCAAACAAAGCGCAAGGCAAAAACGACCAAGTCAAATAATGTCACTGGATCCCCCACTACAGTAGATGTGCAGGTGCAGATAGCTTCACCAATCTTACCATCTTCATCTCGCTCCTGCTTCTCTTCCACTAACAAGGACTACTTCAAAGAAATCCATCGGTGCGAAACACTAAGAAGAGGCGAGGAAGCTTGTAGGAGGCCCAAGATAGCTTTCCTTCACACCACCAAGGTCTAGAACCATCTTCTCGAGCAGCAAGTTGGAATGATTCAATCGCACTCGGATTATATGATCACCAGCTTCCATATGGCTAAGGATGTGGTCTCTCTTCCAGACACAATCCATGACGGCCTTTAGCCATCCTTCGGCCGGCAATTTGGCTTTATTGGAGTTAGAATCCGGGAGAAGTTGATGAGTTTCGACGGGCTTATTGTCAATTTTCAAATCATACGACATTTTATGAGCAGGGTCAATATCGAGGGTCATGTTGAAATATAATGTAAGCGCTGCTGGTGCAGAGGCCGTGAAGATGTAGACTGGGCACTCAATAAAGGGTACAGTCTTTGCGTCGCTAGGAGCCCAAGTGTTGAGCGTCACCGAACCCTCGCTCAATCGGCCCAGTTCAGGATGATGTTGATAGGGTGCTTTGACGTCCAATACCGAAGCAGGCACGGATACACAGCCATCTGATTCGACAAAACCCGTGAAGTGCGGGGGGGGTCTTTGTCCATGAACAGGCAAATGAACATGTTCAAAGTCTCCCTCCTTTGATGAAATAGCAATTAGAACTTCCTCGGAAAATTCGACGGGAACAATCTCCCAATCAATTGTGATCCAAATGCGTGCGTCGTCGCCATCTGGCTGAAGGGTTCCTTCTTTTTCGGACACATGAATCCATCGATGAGGTACCGAGATACTCCAGTGAATTGTAGGGGTACCTCGGGTAAAAATATCGAACCATCTTCTGGTTGTGCTATAGCGGCTCATCGGACCGAGGGTCAGTCCTGGAACCAAGTCTCGACGACTCGGATGCGTCCTCTCGCTCTCCTCGTTGATACGTCCTGCTCGAACCCCCTCATGACCCTCAACAGCAACCCCCATCTGACCGACAATGAGGTTGCTATCCTGGTTCCGTTGCACATATGCTAAGCCAAATATAGCGTCGCGCGAAGGAGCGTGCCAAGTGTCACCGTATCCCATATGTGGCTGACACATCATGTAGTTCCATTTACCATCTAGTAAGGAGTGAAACTCTTGAGAAAGTCTGAAGTCCGCATCAAACAAATCAAGGGCCTTCCGCAGAAGCTTATTAGTGGAATTTCGTCGTTGTCGGGCGTGCAGTTTGTTCAAAGCCTGTACAACACGTAGCCGAGTGAAGATAGAGCTCGCTTTTACAGGATGAACGACAAGCTCCCAAAACGATGCCCTTTGCTCCTGCGAAACTTTCTCGTAGATTTTCTCGGCGGTGGTCTCTAGATCTTGCCACCGTTGAGCGATTTTGTCTGCTTCTTCATAGTGAAGTAACGAAAAGCTGCCCGGATCAATGTGCTCATGTTTGCGAAGACGGACAAGTCGATCGTATTCGTGCCAAACAGAAACAATATGTGTGCTCAGATTTTCGTCGAAATATTGAGTAGCTATCGTCTCCCAGAAATGAGGAATGCTGTCTGCTTGGACCGAGTTGATCTTCCACGCCATCTCCATTGCGAATGTCAAAGGAACTTCAATGGGCTTGATATCCCCCACATTGAACACCCAGATTTTGCGTGCATTGCGGTTGTAGGCTTCAGACAGCTGGTGATATATTTTCCCCTGTGGCGGTAATAGATTAACCAGGATTCCTCTTTTTGGGTCAAGCGTACACGAACCAGCGAGTTGGAGTTGATCCATTTATAGCTCCGAGGTGAACCAACGTATTCAAAATGGTAGTATATCTGCACCAAATATCAGTACGAGATCTGGTATAATTGTTCAACACAAACTCACTCCCGCACCGCCGTTTCTAGTCTTCTCCAGCCCAGATGGAAGCCTGCGCAAATTTCCAAAGTTGTCGTCTGCGAACAGGAGCGTCACATCATCGGGGACAGTAAACTCGCCTGCCTGGTACAAATCTTGAACTTCTTTGTAGAGAGCAAGTACTTGAGGAACAGCATCTTCGCGACCGTACTCGTCTTTGAAAAGCTCTCGTTGCTTTTGTAGGACATCCCGAACCACCGCGCCGGGGTCATCGGTTGTCATCTGTTTGTCATACTCGCCTCTCATTCCCATGGTGAAATAGGATTCAAGGCCCTTTGCTCGCTGCACACCTTCACGGAAGAATTGAACAATCTCGTCGCGATGCGTGGTCCAATCCCACGTCCCATCTGCATGTTCCTCAAACCACTCGGTCGAGGCTCGCTGCATGGGTTCGTGATGAGAGGTTGAAATGCAGATCCCATACTCATCTGCTATGCGTTGATTTTCGGGGTCATCGAGAAAGAAGACGGCTCCCGGATTAGGGTAGCCTGGCCACATCGCGGGCCACATAAAATTGGCCTTGAGGCGCAGAAGGAGCTCATAGACCTTCTTGTAAAAGTCTGAGTTATACTTTCCGAATTTCTCCAGCACCCAGCCCGTGAGCGCCGGCGCCTCGTCATTGATGAAGATCCCTCGATATTGAATGCTAGGCTCACCATGGAGGGTCATTCTAGGTAACGCGAAGATGGCCGGATGGGACTTTGCTGGCACGTCTGCCCACCAATACCAGCTTGAGATGAGTGTAAGCCAAATCTCCCCTTTTGCTCTCTTTAGAATTTCACTGCCAGAGGACTCACGGAGAAACGCCGATCTGGCTGGCGAGCGTATACGCTCCAAAGATGGCCGCTCGTTTGTCGCTACCGGCAATGACTAGAGCCTTCGAGCAGCCTGGCAGCGGATCATCCACGACGACCGTCATGAAGGACTCCCATTTCCCTCTAATCGCACTCGAATCGATTTTCCCTACTGTTTCCAGGTCTTGTAGGAGCCAACAGGACTCGATACATCCCAGAATGATGGCATTTGGCGCATTCAACGGGCCTTGCTCCACCAATTCGAATGGATTGCAATTTCTCCCCGTCACTCGACCGAAATCCTCAGCCAGCGCTCGTCCTGCATGATGAATACCGGTAAAGTCCGCCGGGTCTGCGAGAATAGGAGCTCCAACCAAGTTGAGAAGACCCGGCGATTCGGTGAAAGCGACAAGAGACTCCTCGAACATCGGCCTGAGTTGGACTGGGGAGTGTCGAAAAGTCGACTGTACTTCGCAGTCCATCGCAATGAAGGGAATCCACGTCTTCTGAATGTCCCAAGCCTCGAAACCTTCACCTACCGCTCCTCGTCTCAAGCTTGGTTCGGACTGGATTGCGTCGGCAATCATTGGGAATGCTCCATTGGCAAGTGGAGGGCCGCGTTCGGGGTGTTGTGGCTCCGAGCAGGCCCTGCGGTATCCGTGGTGGAGCTGGAACTAAGGCTTGATACAGCTATCTCCGTTGCCGATCCACCAATCAGCATGGCGCGTCGGATTCCATGCATTCACGATCTCAGCCAGTCACACGATGCTAGAGGCCCGCGGCGGAGCCTCTGGTTGGTTAGTAGAGTTGGTTTAATATTCTCTCGCCAGTGACTGAAGGAAATTAAATACTATAATCTTACACTATTTCTCTAGTTAAAGCTACTAAATATAACAAGTTTACAATTCCTCTTCTAATAATATATTAATATAGAATTATTTTGCTGGATTATTCTAGGACTAGGTATGTTGAGTAATATGATATATACCTTTGCATCTCCAGATCCTAAAAGTTAAATATTTTGAAAAGAAGGTATTTAGTTTCATATAGCCTTCTTTTCTCGCTTCATCCCTTTAGGGGCTATGTTATCTGTACTATGCCCTGTGACAAAGTGTACACTGTGGGTTTTGAGGCCGCAGAACACGACCACCTCTTACTATTATTTATTTTGACGCATTTAGAAGTTCTCTCTGAGAAATTGAAGAAAACTATCTCCTGGCATTCTTGTTGCAGCAAGCAGAATCCCATATTCCTACTGTGGAGCACCTTCCCTGCCTGGAGGCCTATTGCTTGGCTGAAAACTGGCAATATTGGACTGCTTGTGCTAGAGTTGGTCCGCGTTCATCTTCCTACTTTTCTACCTTCATCTTCTGCTGCATGGAGTTAAGTCAATAGATGAACCGATTTGACCCCGACGTTACATTACATATATATATTTCTTAAATACATGACAAAGAACGTTGACTTGGTCCTTATTTGTTCCGCCGTCGAATTGCATCAAGAATGAATAGAAAAATGCTGCTTTCCAGTCCGCTTCTCCGATCAATGTCATTAATCTGTTTGTATAGCTGCTCCAACTTCCTCTCTTCAAATTCTCTATACATCTTCTCGACCTGTATTTGGTCGAACAGCTGCAGAACTCTGCGTTCAGGAGCCGGATCGTGTTTGCCATAAGAGTCAATCAAAATCTGTCGTTGATCGGCGTTGCACGAATGGAGCGCTTGAATGACAAGCCAGGTACACTTATTATCTTGAATATCAGTGCCAATCTTGCCTGTTGTCTTTGGATCTCCGAAGACATCAAGGTAGTCATCTTGTATCTGAAAGTACTCCCCGATCTGCAGCAGAACGCTTTGTGCTTCTTCTAGATTCTCTTTGCTTGCACCTCTGACGTAATGCAGTCCAAGGGCAACTGGCAAGTAAAAGCTGTAGAATGCGGTCTTGTTGGTGGCAATGAAGGTGTACTGTTCCGCCGTCATGTCTCCGGCTGTACTGTTGCAACCTATGGTCGTGTCACACATCTGCCCAAGCTCTGTCCGGAACCCCGCCTCGTTAAAGAGTTCGATAAAAGCAAGATACTCCGGATGATTGCGGAAATGTCTCTGTAAGAGAATGAAGATGCATGATTTCAGAAGCGAGGCATCATTAATTGCTAGGAGCCCCATGCCCCCTGCGCGATACCAACATGGCTTGCCTCTCCGGTATTCTGAGTTATCCATGATGTCGTCCCAAATGAGGTACGCTGCCTGGAACAGCTCAGTACACCAGCCGAGGATGCTCAAATCCTCATGCTCTGCCTCGGTTAGAGGTCGTTTGAGGAAGCTGAAGCCGGTGTTCACAACCGCCAGACCCCGGTTGAGCTTCCCTCCCGCCGTGTTTTCCTTCAGACACTACGAGATAGCAGTCAATATTAAGGTCCACAGCGATCAGCAACTCCTAGACTTACTTTCTCAACTCGTTCCCTTTGCGCTGCTGGTGTGCCCTTTTGTATTAGGTCCTCTTTCAGTTCAAGAAAGAGCAACTCCTGGACTTCTTCAAACTTTTGGCGGTCGGCCATTGACGCGATTGAGAGACTTCGACGTCTGGGAAGCTGCTACTTAATTGTACATATGAAACACCGCCTAGATAAAGAACAAAAGGGCAAACCTCATGGCTTTAATAAGGGAGACACAAGGCAATGATTAAGCACCGGTTCCACAAACACCGCTCGTTGCGAGGGATATCTCCACAACATCCTTACTACCTTCTCATTCTCCCTGCTAGAGATCTGCTGTCTTAAGCGCCTATTATTGCGCAGTGGCGGTAACAATCCATGGGGCGCAAGCAATCGCCCCTATTTGGCAACACGATTGCATCATAGCACAGCAAGAATACAAAAAATACATACCACATGCATACTACATTTTCTAATAATCTTGTATGATGATTATGGTAGCCCTCCTTGACTACAAGAAAACGCCATCTGAATGACGACCTGTTCTATGATTGATTCTCATTATGGTCCTTATCCTTGCGTGCAACCTAGCTTTAGGGTGGTTATCGAGCCAGGGTCATGTCCAGTTCGTCCAATTGTATATGCGAGGGGGTTGACATGCGAAACTGACATTTGCGCACATGAACTCTAAACTTGAAAACTCGCTGTAACACAATATAGCTCGTCCTTTATGACTCTCTTGAAAATGTCGAGATACCTGAAAAGCTCAGTCATGCGGGAGTTAGCCCACCATGAAGCTGCCTGGAATCTCCTCACTTACCTTATCATTCTATTAATGAAATTGTCTGCCGGAATGGGAGTTATGATCTTATTGCATGTAGGCTTCTGCTTCTGGTTTGGACTGTTACAAACATTGTTTTATCCTTTGGCAGGTAGGTCCATAGAAACCTACACTCGATGATGAAGTTTGCAGAAGGAACATCTGTTGCATATGACATGCCCTTTCTAAGTTCTGCAGAAACTGCAAGATGACATCAGATGTCTGTTTCATCAGCCGCTATTCCCTCACCCAACTGCATGACTCCTAAACTGGCAACTGATTCTACAGCTGCATCCCTGTAACGACGCAATATTTGAGGCCTCGGGTTGATTGATCTTGTCACTAGCTTATGCATGCCGTATCATACAGCTGCCGATCTCACTATGACCATTAAAGCTGCATATTAAAGGCCGGTGATGATGCATATAAAATCAATCAACATATCCTCTGCCTTGCCCTCTACTTTACCACGCCCCATCACTCAGATGTTCCTCTGCGACTCACGTTCTATTGCTCTCTTTAAATCTAGAGAAGTTGTGTGAATACCAAAATGATTGAAGAATCATCTCTCCGCTTGTGGAAGCGGAATCTTGCTCAGCCGAGAGTCTGGGTCCCTGAAATTAGATTAAAAGAATATGGGACCTCTTTGGAGGTAAATGGTTGTTCGTTTTGATGAGGGTCGAGAAGTCGCTATTAACCAAACGACAGTTTCTCCTACCGGATTACAACCTGGAATGTGTACCCGTCGAGAATTGTCCGCAGAACGGCGGCACCACGCATCTATCAAAGGCTTTAGAGGCTGAGGTTGAATTCAAACTCTCACTACAACCCCAGCTCCACCAACATCATACAGACCTCTATCAGGCCGCCATTTCACAGGTCCAGGCTATCAGCTTGATTTTCCCGGACTGTCATGCAGACAACATTTGTATTTGCATGACAGCCTGGGTCGGGACTTTGTGCACTGTTGATGATATGCTCGAAGATATGGAGCCTCCCGAAGCAGAAGCAGCCTTGCAGGAAATGATTAAGGTTTTAGAAGAGAAAGGTGGGTGCAAATACACAGCCGCTAGGGGAGATCGAAGTATGTATATCATACTCACGGCAGTCTAGTTACCTACACTTCGTCATGGTGCGCAGTGGCAGTTATTGTCGCTAAATTTAAAACCCACTGTGAGAAATACCTGCCTGCCGCGCTGTCTCACGCCTTCTTCCGTGATGTCTCTGAGACCTTTCTGGGTCTACAGCAAGAAATGCAGCTCAAGCAGGGCAGTTTGCCTTATGATTTACACACTTATATGAGCATCCGTACCCGAACTATAGGGATCAAGCCATTGTTCACGCTGGCTTTGAGTACATGGAGACAAGACCATATCTGGCCAAATAGGTTGGACAATATTCAAAATGAGGTTAATATGGTCGCCGGGCTTCAGAACGACCTTATTGGACTCGAAAAGGACCTCAAACGGGGCGAGCAAGCAAACGCAGTTATAATATTGATGGGGAGGCGTTATGACCGAACCAAACATCTAGATCGTGAAGCCTTGCAGAAGGTAACCAAATACCTTTGCGAAAGGCACAACTTGGCCATATCACGGCTTATAAAACAAATGGAAGACTTGCGTCAAAGCGCCCACCTTCAAGATCCAGATCAAGTCCTGGAGATGGTCCTTTTGGATATGCAGCTTTTGTTTTCCTTAACCCATTTCCAGTGGTGTACGTCTGCAAAGCGATATAAGGGAGACTAGGCTACATTGGAAGACGATCTTGCTGGTTTCTGAGGGAAGTAAAGCTGTGTTACCTGGCACTTTACCTTCCTAGCAGGTGAGATCATAAATGGCGTCGAGTACTATCTGAAAACTCTGTTTATGCTCCGGTGGGATACTTATAACTTTGCAGCTAGTACTTGAGTGATAGTATTCGCGATGTATTTGTTAGTCTTATCATGCTGACATCCATGTAAGACAAGACTGGGAGTATTATCTCACATGCCGACAACTAGATTGTAATTTCCCTGTTGTGATGACAGCGATTGATAGCTGATCATGAACCGCGACGCAAGCCTCAAAAAATTATCACAGTCTATTATCTGGCAGACAAGTTCAGGGACAGCCAAAAAGAGTTATCAGAGTAACATGTAGATGGGGGGATAAATTAGAATATGCAGTATCCGGTAAGGTGGCATGAATAAGGAAGTGCCAACCATAATATCCGCAGGTAAAATTACCACTTATTGTGAACCTCACGCAGTCAAGAGTGACAAGAAGAGCAGGGTTTGGCTGTAACAGGTCACCTATTGCTGTGGTCTTATACAGGAAACGCATTAGACTGTAGCGTCTGATATGGCTCATACGCGCTCCCTTGTATGGAGGAAGCATGTCTGTATATTGCAATGATTTCTATGTACAGAGGGAAGGTGGGAGGTAGCTTACAGAACCTCACCTCATCAAGTGGGAAATTCATTGTCACTGGATGCCTAGAGCATCTACATAGTCATTCAACTCAAACCAGTAGAATTTGCATCCGCGGTCTCGTGCATTCCATATTGAGCCCAGAGTGATTCGGAACCGCAACCGCATCTGCTTTGAGAATGTGATGACACGCTCACTCATTTCAATTGCCCTTATTCTTGAATCTTTCCTGGAAAGTTCGAAGCAGGAAACCAGATAAGCAAGGTCTATGCATGGGATAGATCGGTGGGTTAATTGGAGTACCGTCTCAAACTCGCTAATAATAGCCTGGGATAGCATGACAGCCTCTAGGTCATGTTGGCCATAGGGATGATATAGCCGATGAATGATCAGCAAGGCGGCAAGACGCAGGACTCTGGACTGCGCCAATATTGCCACAACCTCAGCTTGTGTAAAACGATCGACAAAGTCGACAGGTGTTGACGGCTGCCATTGGTCGACAGCGGCGTGTATCGCATTCAATCTTTGAAGGGTCTCTGGAAGCACTGCTTTTGCGTGTCGAATCGAGCAACTTATCTCACAGATGTCGTAGAAGTAAGTTAATATCGGGGAGCTGAGTCCAAGATAGCGATCGACTCTGTATTTTCCATCAAGGTCAACTCTCATGGTTGGGATGTTTGATCGCAAAAGACACTCAAACGTCTCCGTACAGGCCAAGCACATAAGAAGGTCTATCATGGGAGGGTCTAGTGTTGATAGATCCATACGTTGGGATTTAATGAGGCTCAGTGTATAATGCGAAATGAGATAGGGTTGACCTTCTGCAACATGCATCGCAAAGGTAACCATCGCAACTCCTAGTATCAGTGCTGTTACCAGGTCCTACTCACAGGATATTCTGAAAGAGCGAAGAGCAGAAAGTGCCAGGGCAGCACGTCTGTGCCCTATCCCAACACTTGGCTTGGAGTACTCGGGGAGTTGATCTCGAAAAAAAATGGCAGCACATGCAACTGTAGCATTTCTGACGGTGGATGTCGGTTGTATGATATTCTGGATGAACAAAGAGTGATCCGACTCATGAAAGCTTGGACACACGAGAAATTTGTCCAGAGGTGACGGAGCCCGAATATCTTTCATCAAATTCAAGAAGTGACATTCCACTGGATCCAGATCTGATAATATCTTTGGATTACTCGCAAGTCCAGCATTCCAGGATAGGCTTGGGGTGGACAGTGCTGTTTCCTTGCGCGTTGGAAACGGAGTGAGCGCAAATGAGGCGGATGAGGTTGGCAGCGTATACGGCACTTTTTTCGACATTGTTGATTTCCGTCCCGGCTTTACAGCGCATCGTACTGTCTGGCAATACCGACCTATGCGGGAGCATCTTTCGCACACAGCAGAGGGATCCGAACGTCGGCATTACTCTTTCACTGCATGGCATTGATCGCAGGCACGCTTGGTAGGACCTGTGGTGGCCATGATGCGATTTTTAGCAGTGATACAATTACAGACATCCCATTTGCCTTATAGCTTGAAATCATGGTTTGTTCTTGTAAAAGACTAAAGGAGTTACAAACCGGGCATCAGTATTCTGTTTCGCGGACTAGCCATTACGATAACTTACCGAGAGTATTTAGAGACTTGTTATCAAGGAGAGACGATCTGCAATACCGGCTCTGGTTGCCATATAATTTCAGCTATCTCTAGTTGAAATCTTCATGGTAGTGGGCAGCTGGCATTGGCAGCGAGGAGGAATGGGTGAGCATGGAGGGAAATGTTCCAAAGCTCAGTGTAAACACACCAATGCTGGCGGCCTCCTGGGGGTGGCAGTCGACGGAATAAGTGACCATGACCGTTGTTACCAGCTGGTTACCCACTGCCCCAATGGCAGTGCCGATTATAGGCGACACATTCCAGTGGCCGGCTGGTGACTCCTGGGTGCAGACCAGGAAGACAATAATACCAATGATGGCCAGGGCAAAGCCAAAGTAACTGAGCCACAGCCGGAACTCGGGGTCAGGCTTGCGGTTGATACGGCGGGCGCGTTGGCTCATCCAGAGGTCTGACAGCACACCACCCATCTGCTCGCCAATTACCGATCCAATGATGACACCCAGGAACTGGAGGCCCAGCTGCTCGGCATTCAGCTCAAACTTCTCTTGCAACAGCTGGGGCACCTCAACAGTCGCAAGCACACTACCGAACAAGAAGACCATGGAATACGCACAGGCGGGGATGAGAATGGACAGGTGGCGGACCATGGTCAGAGGTTGGACGAACTCCCACCAGGTCAGCGGGGTGGAATCAAATTCGCCGAATTGACAGATACTTCGTCTTCCAGTTTGCCTCTGGACGGTTGACACCACTACCGACATACCGAGTCTCAGGTCCGAAGAAGAGATACAGGATGAATTGTCCACCATTGATCTGTCACGGTTGTACCTCGTCAGCATGTCACTAACGAAACCAACCCCCCCCCCCCCCCCCCCCCCCCCCCCCCCCCCCCCCCCCCCCCCCCCCCCCCCCCCCCCCCCCCCCCCCGCCCAATCCACCTTCGGGAGGACGTACCATAGCCAGGATCCAGTAGATCCAGTGGTAACCCGTACGGTAGGTGACGAAGCCGAAAAGGAAGGGTCCGATTGGCACTCCCAAAGAGATCATCAGGGTCCAAACATCCATGTAGCGTGCACGGTCTTTCCTGAATGTGGTTTCCATCACCACCGCGCTACCGATGGCCGAGGCAGGCGAGATAAAAAATGCCACTAAAGCACGGCAGGCAGCGACTGAGGCGTAGGTAGTGCTTTTGGCACAGCTAATGTTGCACACCAGACTGCAGACGAGTGACAAGAGGAAGATGGGGCGGCGACCGAAGCGGTTGGACAATGGTACCCAGAACAGGGGAGCGCCTCCCAAGATGGCGATTTGCAATGAAGTCAGATAACTAGCATTTTGCAAGCCAACACCAAATTCCTCGGCGATGTCTGAATAGGCAGGGATGATAGCCGCCGCGGTGAAGGTACCCATACAGGCATGAAATGCCACGAGGATAAGATTGGTCATTTTCTACAATGTCGAGCACCAGCGCCTCGTCACTCCTTACTCCTCTCTTCTTCACAGTCAGTCAATCCGGTGTAGACGGCTACTCACCTTCCACTCCGGCCAGTTGTAAGGATCGTCCGGGCCCATGCCTGGGATAGGGTCCAATTCCAGTGTGCCATGTCGTTGGAGCAAGTAGTCCTGATGGGCTTTGGAAAGACGAGCAGCCACGGACTCGACATAGCTGGCCGCTTGGCCGGCTCCTGCGCTCTCGACGCGGTCCATGTCGCCCTTGGTATCCAAACACTTCGTAAGTTGTTGGGAATGGTCTCCTGAACAAGAAGAGGAGGGTTGCAACTGAAAGGATGTCATGTTGGGACTCTAGTCGAGGGTCGAAGACGACAAGATTAGACACCGCTGTTTGGATGTTTCTCCCTTTTCTGAAGTTAAGAGAGATTAGGAGGTGATGGAAGGATAAATTGAATTGGATAAGGACTGCAGGGCCGGGAGTGTCTGGGGATTTCAACAAACCTGGGGAATCACATTATACAGCCCGTTGCGCGACTACGAAAAGTATGATGGGGTACTTGGCAGGCCGAAGATCGTCGGGGGTGACCGCACATGAGCTACCGTCCGGGAGATGCAGGAGCCGGGGTTATTCTTTGCTGAGCTGATAGACTTGCCTGGAGAGGAATGCGGATGATCTCATGGGTGGCTTGGTCCAATCAGGGCCAGCGAGCACGATGAAGGTGTTGCAACCCCGGATATCATCCCCTTTAGTCACAGCCCATCCAGGCACCAGAGGATGGCACGGTGATGGGCATCGTCCCTGCCGGCATAGCACGGCACAACCAGCTTGTCCAAGTACCGGGCAGCTGAGGACGATGCCGCGTCCACTACTCTGCACAAATTGTCGCATGGCAGAAATAGGGTTTGGGGTGGGGAATGCACAGGGGCCGATCCGTCATGCCAAGTACGCCAAGCCGGCTTGTTTCGCGACACATGATTCCCACTCTTTAGCGAGCCTCCGTCAGCCCATTTTCTCCGCAAACTGGTGCCTGCCCTGGTTGGGATATAGTAAACCCCCCCTGAAATGCAATCAAAATACCCTTTTTGTTTGTAATGTTGTATCAGCCCGACATAGTGCTAGGATTTCAACCCGGCATTGGAGCAAACCTTTGATCTAGGACTCTGAATGGCTATCGTGGACCACAATAAACCATGTGATCATTATGTAGTGTCTCGTTGCGTGTATCATTGAACTGGGCAGGCCTTCGCCTATAGCCAACAGCTCCTGGCTAAGAGCCAGTACATCGTTGAAACCTTCAGGAGGGATACCCTCTGGGGGACTGTAGTTGTCCCATTGGTAAACATTTACCCGACCCAAAATATAAACAGCCATACGCCGGTGTATATATATTTGTATGCGTACAATTCAGTCCCATCAGACTTCCACATTCTACAAGATATATCAAGCTGCTACATGTAGAATGAGCAGAGAGAGGTTCAGAATATGAAGATATTTCATTAATTTGTTATATATGTAAATCTATGTTTACTATTATACAGTGGAAGGAGCTATCTACTAAGTAAGATCATGTGATTAGATCTCTGCTATACTAAGTATGGCTATACACCCCCAGATTTAATTAACAAGGTCATAGCCACTTCCTAATTAGGTAGTTAATCTATAATTATAGTATTAAGATCTGCTATTTATAGCACTCTACTAGGCTAAGCCTAGTGCCTTAAAGAATTAATTAAACTTTAGATAACTAAGTAGCTTTATCATAAAATCTATAATTATCTTATCTATTAAAAGATGCTATAGGAAGACCTGCTTCTTAACTATTATATCTCTAATCTAATAATAATTAATATTAATATGCTTGCTGTGAGTATGGAATTAAGTATTATAGGCTAGGTCTATAGCAGGCTAGCTATTAGTATTAATCTATATAGGGTATATATTATTAAAGCTAATATCTTTAAGGAGATAGGTAAGCTAGATAGCTTTCTTTATAGTATAAATAATAGTAATATATTTAGTCTTATATATAGATAAAGAGATAACTAATTATAGCTTAAAAGCTTATAAAATAGGCCTATTACTAAATATAAAGATATATCTAATAGTTAAACAGTGTATATTAATACATCCTATATAATCTATATTAATATAGCTAATAATAATGCCTAGCTTATATATAATATCTTTTGCATTATAAGGCTTATAGATAATTCTAATATCTAGGGTCTAATAGAAGAATTAAATAAGATGAATAAGATGCTTAAGATATAATTTATTAGGATTTATAATATATCTAGCTAGCTTCCTAATAGTAAAGACAGTATCTAGCCTAGTCTATAGTATTAGATATATAATTAAGCTAACTCCCACTCCATATCTCTTTTTAAGTTTAAGATTATATCTAATAGACTTATTTAATTTAACTAGCTAAGCACCTTCTTCCATAGGTATTACTATAGTTTTAACTAAATATAGATTAAATATATTAATAAGATATTAAAGGTAAGTATATTAAGATAGCTTAACCTATTTTTTCTTAATATCTAGGTCTATCTTCATGCCTAGATAATAGGTAGCTAGGCTGATAAGTAAAATATTAAATAGCTTACTAATAGTCTTATATACCCTCTTAGTGATCTGCTTAGAGGGTCTAGTAATCTCTATATTATTAATATATAAGATAAGGAGCATACTATAGGTATTAAAGAAGAGGTATTTATTAATCTTAGATAACTATAATCTAATCTTAGTAACTCTGCTATAGAAGATAAGATACTAGGCCTATATAGATTACTTTAATCTATATAAAGGAAGTAATAGTTAGTATATATAGCTAGACTTATTATTAAAATCTTATAGTTATTTTATATAGATAACTTTACTATTAAAGAATTTACCTTATAAGAATACAAGCTTAATATCTACCTTAATATAATAATAGCCTAAGATAGCTATAAGTATAAAGAATAGGTGGATAGTAGCTAGCTTTATAGTAGGTAAAAATATCTAGTTAAAGTCTACTCTAGGTATCTAGGTATAGCCTTTAGTAACCTATCTTATCTTAAATTAGATAATCTTATTATCAGTACTAATCTTAATTTTATAGACCTAATGCCCCTTAATAGCCTTATAGCTAGTAGATAGAGCCTTAAGTATCTAGATACCTTACTTAATAAGATTATCTACTTCTACTTTTATAGTATTCTACTAATTATCTATTTTAGGAGAGTTRATTACCTTATAAAAGGAAGAAGGCTTAATAATATTAGTATAATTATTACTAATATATATATACCTAATAATAATATAATTCTATATATATCTTTTTATAGCCTTAGTATTAATATAATGCACCCCTTATTCTATAAGCTAAATTACTTCTAGCTAGGAATATTCTAGAAGGTCTTCCACTAGCTTACTAAAAAGGCCTCTATATAGGAAGTTAATATCCTTAGTAATACTAGGACCTGCCTCTATATATATTTATAGTATAGGGATGCTGTCCTCTAGTCTAAGTAGATTAGGTATAGTTAGATCCTAGCCTTTAATAATATCTTAATCTAAATTATTATTACTAATAACCTTATTTAGATTATGGTTAGTAGGTGGAATAGCTAGTAGATTAATAAATTTACTATAATTATTATCTAGATTACTATAGAGATCTGGATTACTTCCTTCTTTAAAAATAATATTATAGGCATATTTAACTTTATTAGTTACTAATATCTAAATAATATATTACTTGCCTAGGCTGGTATAGCTAACTAAATAATAATAAATAATATATAAATTAATCTTTATAACACCCTGCTTAAATTTAATTTTATTAGTAATAGTAAGATATCTAACTAAACCTAAGATCTATAGAGAGCTGACATCTTGATATTTACTAAAGTATATTTTATATAGAGTTATATTCTTATCTTAAATAGATAAGATATTCTTAATTAGAATAACTCCCTTCATAATTTCACCCTAGAGTTTGTGCAGAATAGTTTTATTATTAATAATAGTATAAACCTTTATTAGAATAGTATGCATAAGATATTCTATAACTAGATTCTAGCTATAAGTATATAGTACTATAAGTTTCTATTTAATTAATTTAGCCCTAGCCTATACTTAATTCTCTTTCTTAATAAATTCTCCTCTATTATTAGTATAGATAATTTATACCTTAATACCTATATACTCTTTTTCTTTAATAAAGAGCTTAATAAGCAGTATTACTTAGTGCCTATATTTAAGTAATTAGATAGTAACCTAGCTATTAAATTAATCTATAATAATCATCTAGTAGTAAGCTCTAGTAATATAGTTATCTAGTATATTATTATAACTACTACTAATATTAATAAAGATGTACTCCCTATATTACTTAATAAGAGATATAGTAATATACCCCTTATAGACTATTATATTAGCTACTATATAAGATTTATAGGTATACTTAGGAATTAATAGTCCCTTAATATCTATTCTATTAACCATTTTAGATATATAAATAATATTAGGAATTAATAAATATATAAAATAATAGTATTAAGTTATTAAATTAACCTTATCTTTCTTTAATACATAAATACTAGTATAATTATTATATAGTAAATCTAAAATAAATATATATTACTTACTTAGGACCTCTTATCTAGTCTAGATATAAGTTTTAATATTAGAATAAGGTTTTACTAATTCTTACTTAGCTTACTTATAATCTTCTTATAGTATATAATCTTACTAAGAGAATAGTTAATTATTACCTCTCTTAGGGTAGTAAGGGAATACTATTAACTATATTTTAAATAGTATATCTAGCTTAGTTAGTTTAACTAGCTTATTAGCCTTAATCACAGCATTACTTCCCATAAGGTAAAGAATATAGGTATTCTAGATAATATCTTTATATCTAATAATTATTTTATCTAATAAGTAAGTAATAATAATACTATCTAGTAGAAGATTAACTCCTAGACCCTTATAGCCTAATTAAATAGTGCCTAGAAGGTTAACTACTACTTTAGGGATGTAGAGAATATTAGTAATAATAATATATCTAGTATATCTACCTAGATATATAAGATATAAGATAATATCTCTAATAGAATTAGAATATATAACCTATCCTATTACTATCTTAATACCCTATTTGCATGGCTTCCTTAAGCTATCTATAAAGTTTATAGATATTATAATAAAGTATTTAGTAGCTCCTAAGTTAATAATCTAGTTATTAGTACTAATATATAGGTATAGAGCTAGATTAATAATAATAATTACTATCTATATATCTTTAATATCTTATTTATTTAGTTTAGAGGTAAGGATACTATCATTATTAATTAAATTATTATTATTAGTAGGGGTAAGGACTCTGTTATTATTATTATTAATAATATAGAAGGTAAGTATTATTTCTTTAAGTATTAAGATAGTTAAATACTAGCTATTAGGTATCTTATTATCTATACCTATTATATAAGTATAATTATAATTATTAGATTAATTAGATAAAGACTTCTTATTAGGCTTCTTATCTAGATTTAATTCCTAGTAGTTAGGCTTCTTATAGTCTATTTTACTATAATAGTAATACTTCTAGTTCTTCCTAGTTTCCCAGGGAACCTTGCTATTAGAATCTTTCTAGTTATTTAAATTAGAATTAGAATTAGACTAATTTAATTAATTTAATTTATCCTTAGAATTACTATTCTTCTAAGCTAGCTTCTTCCCTTTCTATACTTTTATAATATTTATAGATAATATATTAAACTTTATATATATCTCCTCCTAAATAAGAATCTATATAATACTATTAAATATAGTAGTTCTCTTATTATAGTAACTATTAAGGTAAGATATAAGGAATATCTCCTATATCTTACTAAGATTATAGAGTAAGAATTAGATTTTAGTAGATTTAGGAAGCTACTTATCTTTCTTAAGGCTATAATTAAATTTATTAAGTACTTATAATAGTTTTAATATATAATCTTAGACTTTATTATAATTATTATATACTATATTTATAGCTATCTGCAGCCTCTTAAAAGACTAGATATCTACTATTATATTATATTTTATATTAAGATAATCCTAAATAGCTTTAGATAATTCTAAATTAATTACTTTATATCTAATAGTATAAGAAAGAGTAGAATAAATAGTACTATAAGTTTTATTATCTATCTTCTCCTAATCTTAAATTATCTTTTTAATTCTCTCTTACTACTTAGTAAGCTTAGCTTTATTTAATAATCTAGTCTAATAGCCTACTTCTAGTAGCTCTAGCTTCTTATAAATTCTATTTATAGTCTACTAAATACCCTAGCTATATAGGTATATTTTTATAGCTTTAGACTATATTTAATAGAAATCTATACCTATAAGTAATAGTAACTTATTAAGATCTACTTAAGGTATCTTAAAGAAAGATTTAAATAAAAGAATAAGGTTTTAGACACATCCCTTAAGGGAATAAGGTTTTAGATATATCTAAGGATAACTAGAGTTGCATAACTGAACCACAAAAATCAAATCCAACCCTCACTGAACCCACAGTGGGTTGGGCTCAGGGCCTAGCCTAGGGAATTACTTTGGGTTTGAGTTCCCTACCCCAGGCCCAATTCAGGTTTGGTGAAAACCATCAGTTTTGATTTCTGTGGTTTTTACAGATTAGGTGAAACCACCTAATCTATTTTAGATAAAAATCACTAATTTCTAGTATTTCACTAATAATTTTAATATCACTAGATAGCCCCTGATCCAGGCTATCTAGTGATATAAATATTAATTTAAAATACCTAGTGGTTACTGAGATATAGAGGAATAATCATTTTCATCATGGGGTGGTATGAAAGTGGTGTGGATATATATATATATATAACTAATAGTTAATAACTACTATAGTTTAAAAATGATTTTTTAACCACCCCCCATTCAGCCCTATAGATATTGAATTAAAATTTTAGATATAGATTAGTATGATGATAATTATGATATATTTCATATAAAAATGATAATTTTTGATTAGCATAGTGATATTATAATAGATAATATGGTATTTGATGAGGCATTAAAATTCAAAAACTATTAAAATTCACTAAGGGGTAGCAGTTTAACCAACTTGAAATTAAACTAAATCTAACCATGGTTAGTTAGTATAGGCCTAGCTAGGCCTAGCTAGGCCTAGTAGTGGGTTTTTGCGGTGAAACTGCCACCAACCTGGATTGGATCTGGGTTGGCTGCAGGTTCTAAAATTTGAACTTGAAATCACAGTGGTTCAGTGCCAACTGGTTTTAAACTCGCCCGAACTCGCACCAAATGCAACTCTAAGGATAACTGCCAGGCTTCTGCACCTGTAAGGATTCTTAAATATAAGAACTTTTTATAGGGCCCCATTAATAAAGGTAATAAAAGGATAGTTTCTATCTTAGGCAGAATGTCCAGCCTAGATAAATATTTTAGACAGAATATCTGCTAAAAGAGGCTTTTAAAAGTGAAAAGTAGCAAAATAGCTTAAGGAAAGAACTTAGGAATGATTCCCTAGAGCTCTCTAAGAGGCTCCAGGCTTATAACCTATAGAATGAGCAGAGAGAGGTTCAGAATATGAAGATATTTTATTAATTTATTATATATATAAATCTATATTTACTATTGTACAGTGGAAGAAGCTATCTACTGAGCAAGATCATGTGATCAGATCTCCGCCATACTGAGTATGGCCACACTACATACATTGCCTCAAAATAGCTACACAAATTCAAGTCCCGAAGATGACAACTCTCAGAATGAGATTCCTGTTTGTGGCCAGCCTTATTTCCCTTGTCCAGCTGGGGACAGCTGCACAAGGATCCAACTATAATGTCACCAAAAGCTTCGCAGAAGCCCACAGTTGTGACTCCAAGTGCCAGGATGCCTTGAACAACGCGAATCCAATCGATCTCGCTACCTTTGGTGAAAACTTTGACTTTGATTTCTACGAGACCGCTGCCAATTTTTCTGGTTCCAAGCCGGGCGACCGCTTGAAACTCCAGCCGCTGGACTCCTGCAACCCTCCAGATTAATGCAGGGACGACGGTATATCGCATTCAGTACACGTCCCGCGACCTCGACGGGTCACCTGTGCCCGCTACTGGTTTCATTGCTCTTCCATATGCACCCGCAAAGGAGAATTCTAGCACGTACCCCGTCGTGGCCTACGCGCATGGAACCAGTGGGATCTACCGCGGCTGTGCACCGTCCAATAGCCCGAACCTTTACGACTATAACAGTTGGCAGCTCCTCATCGAAAGAGGATATGCCGTCGTCGCCACGGATTACGCTGGCCTGGGAAACAATTACACCCTTCATAAGTATATTAGTTATCCGGCGCAAGTGAACAACATCTATTTTTCCATGATCGCCGCTAGAAAGGCATTCGACATCTTCTCGGACACCTGGATGGCAGCTGGCCATTCCCAGGGAGGAGGAGCAGTGTGGAAGTTGGCTGAGAGCGAATATGTCAAGTACGACAAAGACTATCTTGGTACGGTTGCACTGGCACCAGCCGCCAAGGTCATAGACATGTTTCTGGTCGACAGGGACGAGGTCATTTCCTCTGGCTACTTGCCCCTTCATGCCAAGGCCTATCAACGTGTGCACCCATCGTACGAATTGACTATCCTGTCAGATATCATGCGGGACCGCATGGTCATTTCGGACACAGCGCAGCTTTGTCTGGGTGCTTTGGGCGCCCTGTCCTCTGACTTGACAGTTGATGAGAATATCTCACAGGAGGGAATCAAGACAGACATACCCCTCCTGCTGAAATGGCAGAATGAGATGGCTCCGGCCTCTGGGGGACACAACTCTCAACCCCTCCTGGTCGTTCAGGGTCTGAATGACACTGCGGTTGTGCCATCCGTGACTCGGGCTCTATGGAAACGTTCGTGTGATGACGGAAACGAGGTCCATCTCAGCGAGTATCCCGGGATGAATCATGATCAGATAATTCTTGCTGCCGCACCATGGTGGCTGGCCTGGATGGACGCGCGATTTGCAAGACAGCGCACCTCTGGAAACTGCTATATTGAGCAGAAAAGGCCATTTGATCTGAACCACATGGAATTAGCACCAGGAAGCTAAATGTAGGGAGTGTATATATATAGACCACCGTCTCAGGTTCAGGTCTTGTGATCTAATACTTCTTTCGTACCTTTCTGAATCACTTGGGGTAATATCGCATAGCATGCCAGGGCTCGAGGCATTTAAGATTGCTATACCAAGTTAAATGTTGATTATTATACCCTTGGATATATATTGCTAATCATTGTTTAGATTGACCATACAATAGGCTAAGATTTAAAGCAAACAATTTCTACCGCAAGTCAAAGGCTGTAAATTTTCGCCATCCCGAGTATTTTTGTCCGCACCGTGTTGTAGGAGAATCGTTACATTGTCGACCCAACCAAAGAGCGCTGCCTCCATGAGAGGACTCCTTCCATAATTGTCAGCAGCATTCACCTCGGTTTCATGTTTAATGAGAAGCAACACCATTTCCGAACTCGGCCCAGCTGCTGCACGGATAAACGTTGTTTTACCATCGGACTCTCGCCCTCGAACAAACAACTGGTCCTCGCTAGAAGTATCCAGTTGACACAGTCGCTGATTGCTATAGGAATCCTCTTCTGTTCAAATGGCTCGATGGCGACGACCTCCTTCGAGTCTTCGTGGATATTCACATGTATTTCTTCCCTCGATGCAGTGGACAAGGCAGCATCATACGGTCTCCCGTGGCGGTTCATGGACGGCGGATTTCAAGAATTCATTGTGGAGAAGGTGTCAGATGAAACAGCGAGGGTGACATACATAAGTTTTGAATGCTCTAATCTCCACCCCGGCGGCCAATCTACAATGGATTTCAAGATGTTGCCATGGCTGCCTTATGAGATTCACGTATTATATGCACAACTCCTCTGGCATAATACTGTGATGCAACTTCGTGACCGCACGAAAACATGAGATGATTTTCTTGACCAGCATTATGATAGAGAGTAGTAACTAATAATAAAGATACCCCTCCGCTCATCCTCCTTACTGCTTCATGCCCTATATCTGTACATATCTAGATAGAGAGCCGGTATTTCACTGCCTCGCTGAGCATATCCTCCTAGAATTCTATTCTCGCTAGATATGGTAAATGACTTGGGGGTGATGTCAGCTCACCACTGCGGCGGTGAAAAGCGGACCGCGTTGCCCGCACTCGGCCGCCTGAAGACGACTCTGTTAAACAATAGGTAAAGGAAAAAGCATCGGAATTGTATTTTCCGCCGATAGAGAACTTGTATTATACGCAAGTTCTAGCTCTTACCATAGTAGATATAATTACCTTGAAGTAGCCGGTCATAGTTGAGGGTGTGTAGCTCAACCATCCCAGACAATCGCCCATTTCCACTTTCGCTCAAACGAAGAACCTATCACTAAGCAACATGAGCTCCGATTCCTCAAAAACGGGTGCCCTAGCTGCTTGAGAGTTTCCCAGCCACGCAGCCAGCCATCGAATCAAGGTATGAGAGGTTGCATGTCGTATGCAGCGGTCGACTGACGCTTCTCCAGGCCGGACTCGCCGGTCAATTGCCCTGTGGGGACATTTACACTGGCTCGACGCTTGTCGGTGTCGTGAGTTACCTTCTCTCGAGAACCTCACACGGTCAAAGGGATTACTGACAACCACATAGCCTTTCTCGCACGGTACTATCGAGTCGGTCGAGGGCTTCGAGCCCAAGGTCAACTTCAAGATCAGCAACGGCCACGACTGGTTCCGCATCGATGCAGGTAAGAAGCATGGCCGCCTGGGCATAACGGCCATTGCTACTGATGCTGAAGGCCGGTGCATGCGCGTCATGGCCGACGGCGTCGTCGAGTTGAATGAGCCTACTCTGGCTTTGATTATGGGTCAGCCCAGGTCCTTGGATGCGTCGCCCTTCTCGCGGTAGCCGGAAGCATCTACGAAAACACATCCTTAGCCGAGATAACCCTTCTGCTCCCAGTCGGCACTCCTTCGACATTCGTGTCTGAACTCATTGCGGGTACAAGCAGCTCCGCATTCGCCAGTCTCTCGCCAGAAGTTGCCGGGGAGGTCATTCCGGCTCTCACCAAGAGACTTCGAAACGTTTGGATTTTCTTCCTGTCATCCGGTGCTCCGAGCCTTTGCCTCAGTCTATTCCTCGACGTAAGTACTATCTTCGTGGACCCCAGACAGCTACTTACCTAGCCTTCTGCAGCGCAAACGGTTGAATATAACAGCCAGATAATTGAGGGTTGCAATCACAAGAGCCACAGACTCAAAGTACAATTTATTATATAGCTTTAGGGATAGCGATGGCAGGATTCGGATTAGTAAAAGAGGAGTTAGAGATGCAGTATGTCTTTAAAAGCAATCGCTGGTGGTTATAGTAAATAGTTGACTGTAAGAAGGAGTCGATATAGATGCAAGCTCATCTGTGCCCTTCTGCAAGATGAACGTGCATGAATTTTAATTTTTATATTATATCATAACTTTCCCTTCTATTGTATCATTAAATAATTCACAAATTAATAACCAATCTAGGATTCCTTTCTCATTTCCTCATGTTGATGGGGTGATTGTATCAGGGGATATATATTTGTATACTATATTTGACAAACCAACTATAGAGGACAGCATATGAAGGCCACTAAAGTATGGATGGAACAGGATCAGACATAGAAATCTCTGTTAATTAGCTGACTATGGATATCGCCTATTTACTCCACCTCCCTCTGCACCATAGGACTCAAGAGCGAGCTCTTGGCGGCGATTTTGGCGGCCAACGCAGTCAGAGGATCATTGCTCAGAATATCAAACACGCTGACGTCGGATTTGGCTTCCTTGAACACCCATGCACGAACCTCCACCGCTACCAAACTGTCCACGCCGTAGCTGTTGGCCGGTTGACTGGCGTTGAGATCCTCCAGCTCCATCATCATTGCCTTGGCCAGTTTCTGCATGAGCGCGCGACAAACAATATCCGACGCCTCTTCCATCGTCTGCGCGGCAGCCAGACTCTCGTGTAGGCCCTGGCCCGCGTCCTGGGAGCTGACCGTGAACTCCTGCGTGTCGAAGATCCGCATGTGCGAGAAGCGCCCGTCACTGAACCAGTACGGCTCGTCATGGCCGTTCTGGTTCAGTAAACCTCCCGTGGCCAAACCCGCGACGACTTGCGCAGGGGTGGAATTGTTCATGGCCGCCTCAATGAGGGCGAGCACTTCCTGCTCGCGCACACCGATCATGGCACCTGTTTTGAGATACGAGAGAATCTCGCCTCGTTCGGCCGCGGACCCCACCCCGAGGACAACGCCCAAGTTGATTGACGTGGCATTGAGACCCAGCGCGCGTCGATGGTGGCAGATGGCATCCTGGTAGGTGTTGCCGGCATTGTAGTTGCCCTGACCGCGAGAGCCGACAATGCCGCCCACGGACGAGAGACAGATGAAGAAATCCAGGTCTTTGGGAAGCAGATCGTGCAGGTTGCGCGTGGCTTGCACTTTGGGGCGGATTGCCGCATGGTAGTCCTCGACTGTCATATTCTCGAAGAACACATCCTGCAGGTGCATCGCGCATGTAACAACACCTCTGATGGGAGGAAACTCGATGGCAGCTTCCTGCAGCACGGCATCCAGTTGACTTGCGTCACTGATGTCGCAGGCATAGGCCTTGACGTGCACGCCTTGGGCACGCAGATTGGTGAGAAGCTTCTTGGCTTCAGGCCGCTTGTCGCCGGACCGAGATGTGAAGATGAGGTTGCGGGCGCCTTGGTTCGCCATCCGCTGGGCGAGAGAACGTCCAAGTCCACCGAGCCCACCGGGGATTAGGTAGGTTGCGTCGGCGACAAGCTCGGCGGGGCGAGCCTTCTGAGGGACAACCTGTAATGATGGTCGTTAGTATAGATTGAGTTTCTTCTAGATGTGACTACTAACCGGAACGAGATCGTCATCGTTTGCCTGCAGGATCATCTTCCCGATGTGTTTACCCGTCTGCATTATGCGGAAGACTTCTTCAATCTGGGAGAAATTGAAGACCTTGAGGGGCTTGACCGGATGGATGATGCCTTCGGATACCATCCTCATCATGTCCGCGATGATGCGGCCAAACAGGGGGATATTGTCGCGGCAGATACTGAGCATGTTCACACCGCAGAAACGGATGTTGTTCATGAACGGCGCCATGTCAATTCCGGTATTGCCAACTTTTTCGATATTGTTAGTGAGTTACGGCATGTAGGAAATGGGATGCATGAAAGTACTTACCGATATCCTTCTTGCCCAGCTCGATAAACCGACCAAAGGGTGCAACGGCAAGCCAGGACTGACGAAGAGCCTCGCCTGCCAGAGAGTTGAGAACGACGTCCACGCCGTTACCGTTGGTCATGCGCTTGATACCCTGCGCAAAGCTGAGGTCGCGACTGTTGAAGATATGGTCCTCCGCGATTCCGTATTCCTCCATGAGGAATCGCTTCTTCGTCTCGGAGGAGACGGTGACGAAGATCTCGGCTCCAATATACTGACAGAGGATGATGGCCGCTTGTCCAAGACCTCCAGCCGCAGCATGAATCAGAACAGACTCCCCTTTCTGCAGATGGGCCACGTCAAAGAGGGAGTAGTAGACCGTGCCGTAGATGCATGGGATGGACGCTGCATCTTCAAAGGACATGTCATCGGGGATCTTTTGGAACATTTCCTCGGGGTTGCGCAGGAAGTTACGGAAGCATCCCAGGCGGAAGGTGATCAGTCGATCTCCGACCTTGTATTTGCTCACTCCGGATCCCACGCGCGTCACTACACCGCTGCACTCGACGCCCAGATCGGTGTCGGCAATCTGGCCCATAGCGATCATGACATCGTGGAAGTTCATTCCCACGGCTTTGACCGCAATCTCCACTTGGGCGTGGTTCAACGGCTGGGAGTATTCCTCGTCGTTCACGAACTGGAACGTGTCCAGCATACCGGGGCTTTTGATAGCCAATGCCAGGGGCCGACCAGGCTGTTTGAAGGACATAGGCACTGCGTCTGGCGTTTCGGTGATGGAGGAAAGCATCTCGTTGACGGGTGCATCGGGGTCCAGACGGACCGTGTGAATCAGTCCATCCCGGAGAGCATATTCCCAGTCAGGGTGCTCGACGTTCTTTGCCTCCACGCCTGACTGCAGCACACTATTGATGGCGAGCACTGTGGCTGGATCGTCGATGCCGATTGCGGGATCCAGATCCAGTGTGGTGAGCTGCATATGCGGGATCTCGCCTCTGATGGTGCGACCAAGACCAGCAATGACATTACCCTCGGGCGTAGAGCTCTCTATGGCCGCTCCTCGTGTGAGCCACAATGTGGATTCAGACTGGAGGATCAAGCGTTTAACGGCTTCGAATTCGTCCTGGCTGGCCTGATACAATAGCAGAGAGTCTGCTTCCAAGAACGTGATACAGGTCTTCCCTGCGAGCTCCTGATGGTCCAGCTCCTCCATGGAGATTAGTTCCGCTTGTGTGCCTTTCGCGACAAATGCTTCAATTAGCTTGGAACAGAGATTCGTGACGGATAGGCTAGGTTGAGCAGGCGTGACAAGAACGGCCCTCTCGGGGAGCCCTGATGCTGGTGTCTCTGGAAGAGTGGATGAAAGCATGAGAGAGATGGAGTATTGCTCTTCAACCTGGTGGTCCCGGAAACACATGTCTAGTCCGCTGAATCCGGCTTGTCTGAGTGCTACCTCCCATTCCTTTTCCGATAGTCTTGGCCCGTACTTGCGGCTGTCATTCTCTCCTGCGGATTGTCAGTATCTATGTCTGCAAGAACGTTCATCTGGTTGTTAAAGGACATACCCATCCACCACCCTGGTAGAGTACCGAAGATCATCGGGATCCGAGCCAAGGTGGAAGTGAGCTCGCCCAGAAGCAAAACTCCTCCTCTGCGGGTAAGTTAGAAACCGATGGCGATAATGCGGATTCCAAGGACAAGGTGGACTTACGGCTTGAGCATATTCCTACAGTTCTTCAAGCAGGTACTGATGGAAGACGTCGCATGCAGCACGTTGTTGGCAATGACTAGATCATAGTGACCCATGGGCATCCCCTGCGCACCGGGGTCCTTCTCGATATTGAGGACTTTGTACTGCAGGAACGGCGCCCAGGGTGCAAACTCCTCCGACGCCTTCTCAAAGAAGCCACTGCTGATGTCAGTAAATGTGTAGGAGTGGAGACGCATCGAGGTATCGTGACGGTTCCCCAGCGCCTCCAGAACCACCGAGGTGGTGCCTCCTGTGCCCGCTCCCACTTCAAGAATCTTGAGGTCTTTCTTATGGGACAGCAGCTGGACATATTTGGCGATGATGGGAGTACACTTGTTCACACCAAGTGCGTTGCGGTAGTATTGGGTGAGCAAGTCATCGTCCCGCATGAGCTGCAGTGGCTGCAGCTCGCCTCGAAGAATCTTGTCGTAGTCCGCCCCAAGGCGGCACATGAGCTTTCCATCGACAGTCGACGCAGCTGCTCGAGAAAGAACTTCCTCCTCAAACGAGTCGGTTGTGTTGAGCCAATCCACGTTCGGTATGCTCCGTTGGCAGTTCAGCTTACTCTGCGTGGCCAGATCATATTGATGCTGCATGTACTCGTAGAAAAGGCGATGGTGGTGTGCAAACGCCTGACTGTCATGAGGTCCAAACTGCCGCAGAACACGCTTGCAGAGAATGAAAGACGCCAGCTCAAGAGTCTGGATTACCTCCGAGTCGGCGTCGGGCACCTCCTGCCCGTAACGCCCGAGAAACTCGACTGCGCGATCCAGCGGCAGATGCTCGAGATCGATATCCCAGGTCGGATGTGCACCCAGCTTCCGCAGGGACTTCGTGATGGTTTCAGCCGCCAAACTCTCTGTCATCGGCTCCAACGAGATGCTTCGAAAGCCCTCGATCACAATGAATGGCTCCTCCCACTCGCTGGTCGAGGCGGCAACCATAGCAATGGACTCGTTAAACCCGTATGGCTTCAACTTGGAGTAGCCGTAGAACCGAGTGCCGGGGGCATTAGGAACCTTGGCGGAGATGTACAAGCTCTCGATGAACCTGGGGACTTTGGCCCGGTCTGATTGCACTCCGGTAGGTGTTGAGGCCGGGACCACCATTTGCAGGAACCCATCCAAGCAGGCTGGATGAATCACATGCGGGTATTCAAAGTTCTCAGGCATGTATTTCTTCGTGTCGGGGACCTCCAGCATACAGTGGGCCTCGTAGTCCCCGGAGCTGATATGGACGAGCGTCGTGAATGAAGGGCCCCATTGGAGACCGAGTTCGGCCATGGCCGCATAGAATTGCCGCGGGTCATCGGGCTTGAATCCCGCGTTGGCTAGTCTGTGATACTCGGCCCGTTGGCGGTTCTTCGCTTCCAGTTCCTCATCTGTAAAGGTGGTATTTGCCGCCTTTTTATACTTGACGGAGATGAGGCCCGAGCAATGCTGGGACCAAACCCCCTGACGAGTGCGGCATGAGATTGTGAATTCCCTCCAGTAGGCATCTGGGAGCCGCGATCCCATCCGCCAGGGCCGGAATTGGAGCTTGGTTTCAAGTGGCTCATCCGCCGGCACCATCATGGCGGTTCCCACGGACACATCGCGCAGCTGGAAGCCTTCGATTTCCTTGCTCTTGTCGGAGATCTGCCGGATGCCTTCGATGGCCATGACCACCATTCCCGACAACGGGTACAAGATTGAGGATTGGACCTTGTGGTGCTCGATCCAGGGTATCTCGGCCACTTGGAGATAGTTTCGCCAAGACGGCTCCAAGTCACTGCAATGCTCGCTCAGGGCACCCAGTAGATCGTGGCGAGGAAGCTTGCGCTGGCGGTATGCAGCCGAGATGGGGGATTCGTACCAGTAGCGTTGCGTGTGATTCCAGGCAAACGGGGGAAGATCCGTCAGGGGCACTGGCGGAGTGGCTCTCTTTCCTGGCTTGTTGGCCATGGTCAGATCCACCGGATATCCGTGTTGGTTGAGCTTGCCCAGTGCTTCGAGGGCGGTCCTTGTGGCGTCATTCCCCCGCGAGAGCACAGAGACGTAGGGAATCGGGGTCTTGGTCTTCTCGTGCTGCAGGATCTGTTTGATCGGACCGTGCAACGCGGCATGCGGGCCCACCTCTAACAAGACGTTGATGAAGGCCTCTTTGCGTGCCGTGCGTCTCTTGCGTGCGGAATACAACACGGCGGTTGATACGGCCTGCAGGAAGTTGACTGGACTGATCATGTTGTCCACCCAGTAGTCAGGTCCAAGCTCGTCTGCGTCGACCAGCTTACCAGTGACGGAGGAGAACATCGCGGCTCCTGAATCGCCTGCTTTCATAGTCCCGATATCCTGGAGCGCACGGCGATATTCTTCTGCGATCGCCTTGATATGTGGCGAGTGATATGCCGTCTTCACGTTCAGTCTTCGGGTAAACACCTTGGAAGCCTCGAGCATTTCCTGAACTTGAGCGATGGCTGCCGAGTCACCGGATAAGGTGACATTCGAGGGGCTGTTGATGCAGGCGACCACCACCTCCCCGTCAGTTATCGTATCAAGGTACGGCTGGACAGCAGCTTCGCCGAGTCCAACAGCCATCATAGCCCCATCCCGGCGGATGGTGTTGGAGAGACGACCGCGATGGTAGGCGATTTTCCACGCATCCTCTCTACTGATGGCGCCTTTTGCATAGGCGGCCTACAATCCATCAGCGAGTGCTCTTATTCAAAGCGACCTTATATAGCTTACAGCGATTTCTCCGCTCGAATGACCAATGACCGCCGTGGGACGGATGTTCCATTCTGCGAGTAGATCAACCAGGGCAACTTGGAGCGCTGTACATGTGGCCTGACTGATGGCCGCTTTGTTGATGCAAGACGTGTCCTTGTCACGCACGAACTCCACTGTTCAGGTTAATATGCTGCATCAAGGTAGGGGTAGATTTCATTCTTACGGAATAGATTCCACGTGCATCCCTCGCCTTCCAGGTATGCCGTGGCAGCCTCCAAACTCTGGCGGAAGGTAGCGTAGCAAAGAAGCTCCCTCCCCATGGCGTACCACTGGGCCCCCTGCCCAGTAAAGATAAATCCAAGCGAAGGCACCTGCGATGCTCTCAGGGGCTTGGGGACGCCCTGCTCCAGGATTGAAATAAGTTCTTCTACCGTGGACGCCACCGCATATGTTTTCCAAGACAGCCTGCTGCGACACTCGGACAAAGTATACACCAGGCTATCCAGGAAACGTTCCGGCAGTGTACCGCGCGTCTTATCAAGCAGGTATTTCAACAGCGCCTTGGAGGTTCTCTCGACCCCGCTCTGTTCGTGGGAAGACCAGTAGAGCAGCTTTGGTGCAGGTGCGGTCTTTGGGATCTCCAATGGAGTGGTGCTATAGCTCGTTCGGTCTCTCTCATTCCCATCCACTTTCGACCAGGTGCTATCTTGGCTTGAAGTGGAGAGCAAATCGAAGAGGGGCTCGAGGTCCTCAATCCGACTGTCGGTGACGGTTCTGTGGGCACCTTTCAGCCCACGGCTCGTGAGATAGTTGTAGGCGTCATCCAGGATGCAGTGTGCATTAGTACCACCATAGCCAAACGAGTTGACACTTGCACGACGGAGGCCTTGCGTTGGCCAAGAGGTCAATTTGGTGGGAACCTCAAATACTCGTTTAGCCCTCAAGCACCAGGGGAAGAAAAGGACGTCATCTCACAGTTATGTTCCACTCGGTCATTGGAATGCGAGGGTTGGGCTTCTCAAACCACAGATTAGGTGGAATAACTCCCTTTTCAAGTGCGTACACGCTCTTGATCAAGCCAGCCAAACCACTCGCGCCCTCCATGTGACCGATATTAGTCTTGATCGAACCGATTGAAATTGGGTTATCCTTAGATCTGGAGGCTCCAAAGGTAGCTCCAATTGCGGACGCTTCCAGTGGATCACCGGCGGGTGTGCCTTTGTTTGTCTGTTAGCGCTGATGGCACTTAAGGACTTGACGAAAAGAAGTCATACCTGTTCCATGCGCCTCGAAATAGCTTGTCTCGGAAAAGTCAAGACCTGCAGACTGATAGGTGGTCCTGATCAATTCCTCCTGTGCTTCCGCGGATGGCAAGGTAATGCCTGGGGTTTTGCCATCCTGATTCACTCCAGTTCCTCGAATCACAGCCCGGATGACGTTATTATCTCGGAGCGCATCGGCCAGAGGCTTCAGAGTGATGACAGCGGCACCTTCCCCGCGCGAGTATCCATTGGCTTTGTGATCGAAGGCCTGGCACTTGCTGTCGGGACTGAGGAAATGCAGCGATGTCATTGCAATTTGCATCTCCGGCATGAGGAGAAGGTTGGTGCCACCGACCAGGGCCTTCGCGTCTGTTAGTTTTGGCAGGTATCATATATTGTCTTGTGCAGAATCTTACCGTTTTGGATTCACMACTTCGAAGACTTTGGCATGCCAGGTGCAGCGCAACAAGGGAGGAGGAACAGGCCGTGTCGAGACTGAGACTGGGTCCTTTGAGGTCGAAGAACCATGAAATACGGTTGGATAACAGAGCTGCACCGTTTCCAGTGCCCTCGTACTTTCTATAGCGGGTGTTAGCAGGGTAGTGTTTAACAGTACGGGATGGAATCAGCCTACGGAAAATCCTCAGCATCATGCGAGCGAAGACCTGCATAGTCCCTGCTAAACGAGGCCATGAAGCAGGCCATGGATGAACCGGCAACGTCCTCGATGCGCAGACCGGCTAGTCATTATTAGCGACACTATGTAACCCATCATTTGAACGGGTGGAGTACCGTTTTCCAAACTTTCGTAGGCCACTTCCAGAGCGAGTCTTTGCTGCGGGTCCATCGCATTGGCCTCCTGCGGGGTGATGGAGAAGAAAGGCGCATCGAAACAGGCAACGTCCTCCTGCATGTAATGGCCTCCTCGGACGTTCATGGTCCCCTGTCGTTCCGCATGCGGATGGTAGAATGCATCGATATTGAACCGGTCCTTGGGTACTTCGCTCATGGGACTTTGGCCCTTGCAGAGCAGATCCCACAGTTTCTCAGGGTTCGTAGCTTCGCCGGGAAATCTTCCGCCAATTCCAATAATCGCAATTGGTTCGAGGGCGTCCTTGGCCGTGATAGACGCCATGTTCTGCGGGGTGACCCCATTTGTGCCGTTGGTATCGGGCATATCCAGGCCAGACCGATACGGAGCCATGTTGAATGTACAAATATAAAGTATGGTGGCAGCAGCTTAACGACAGTACTCAGATATAGCGTAGTTAATATGCGCCTATGTTCTCTCAATTCCTGGTCATGTAGAAGATATATCGTATCATATAGGATGATGATGCAACGTTCTCAGCCGCAATGCGTACCCCGAGATTCCGCGCCCAGTAAGCCCAGAATACGAAAGCACACTGCGGACAGCGAGATTGGATATCCTGCTGTCAGACGAAGGATTTCTCGACGGCTTATGCCCCCGGACTTCTTCGGCCGAGCGGCAGTCCGCACTCCGCGCGGCTACACTACCGTACTAAATAGTACACTCTACTATACCATGCCATGATATGCATGGCTGCACAGAATTCTCAGAACCCTGCCGGAAAGAGTTCAGATTTGTTTGCTGTACGTGAAATATATGTCGACTGTCTCTTTCTATACCTGCCCAAATCATAATCCCTCGGTGACACAGCAATACCCAATTCACAATGAGGTTTCTCTGCCTCCATGGCCATGGCACCAATTCTTCCATCCTCGAGGCGCAGCTAGAGCCCATCAGAGCATATCTTCCGAGAAATTGGGAATTTGAATTCCTGGATGGAGAAATGGAGACCGAACCAGCGCCTGGTAGGTGATTTTGATCCGTTCGCACTTCGGCCATCTAATGCTAACCATCGCATAACATCTCAGGAGTCGACGCAATCTTCCCAGGACCCTATTTTTGCTATCATGGAGAGCCAGTCCCCAATGATGTTCAAAATGCGTACGACCTCGTCCTGGAGGTAGTCCGAGAAGAGGGTCCCTTTGACGGGGTGCTTGGTTTCTCCCAGGGAGCAGCCATGGCCTCGACGCTTCTCCTCAACCACGCACGAACCAACCCGACCGAGGAACTATTCAAAATGGGGGTCTTTATATCTGCGATGATGCCATTCGACATGGCATCTGGGAAGTTGAAAGTCACGTACGATCCCGCGCAACGAGAGCTGTTCGCCATCCACCAGGACGCGGAGGGAAACGCAACCGGAGATGATCACATAGATTGGATGACTGATGTTCGGTCAAAGGCACTGATTGACGAGTTCGAGGCCCGACGACCGATGGCTGCCAGCGCCAAAGAAGCGACGAGTGTCGATGTCCTGCTGAGGTTTCATCCAACCACGCATACCCGGCGGATCAGAATCCCGACTGTTCATGTTATTGGGGAGAAGGACCAGTATGCCGACCATGGCAGGGCTCTCGTAGGAATGTGTGAGCCGAGATTGGCACATGTGGTGACGCATGACGGGGGCCATCAGCTTCCCAGGAGAACATCTACGGTTGCAAAGGTGGCTGGCGCGATTCAGACGGCTGTTGAACAGATGCAGTTCCAAACTTGATGCTATCATCTTGTAGCTCTTTACAGTATTCTGCCGTCTCATTCGGTAGTGAGTACGAATACCATGCGCCAGCCGAGGTTGTCAAATGTAGTCAATACAAATTACTCCTCCTGCTCAGCCACGAACTACCAGTTGATTCCATTGGTAACGGCTATTCCAGCAGGAATGACCACTAACTACCACCTCGGATATCGGTGAACCGCACCCCGACAGCACGACGACAGCTCGGCCCGCCCAAGTCCGCTGGGATTTTATAGGATCGTATACTGTCACTGTTTCATTGAACAAATACAGCTGCATCTTCGTACCAGACAGCAAAGCAAATGCTCAAAATGGAGCTATCACTCTTCCTCTCACTATTGATTGATGTTGCGCAGACAGGAGTCATCCGGGAGGGTTTGCGACTGAGTTACGGGGTTATCGGTCGTCTTCCCCGTGTGGTTCCTGACCCTGGGGCGGAGTTCAACGGATACTTTCTACCGGCTGGTGTAGGTTTTGACGTTTCTTTAGTCTTTGGTTATGTGGCTGATTTTCATTATTACTGCCCGTCTTGTAGTCTGTTGTGGGGATGTCCTCCTGGGTTATGCATCGCAACCCAGGCATATTTCCTGACCCCGAATGCTTCAAGCCAGAGAAATGGATGGATCCTGTAAAAGGACGCAAGCTTAGTCGATATCTGGTCAGCTTTGGAAAAGACAGTCGACAGTGCATTGGCATGCCGTGAGTACTATACCACTCTGTCTGGACGACAAGCAACTGACAGATGCAACAGATTGGCATATTGTGAATTATACATCACCACGGCCATGCTGTTTCGCAAATACGGTGACTTGGAGCTAGACGGAACAAAGCCCGAAGACTTGGTTTATGATGATTATTTCTCTGCGTTTAATCCGGAGACGAGCCGAGGAATGCGAGTCCGGAGGAGAAGCAAGTGCACTTGATGGATATGGGTATCTCACCAATTGGCATGTATTTTCATTACAAACTCGGTCATAGGATGGATCAAAGATATCAGTTATCTGAAAAATACTACACCCCCTGCATTTCAGTCAAATTGGGATGTTTTTCAGCGTGCACGGCCCGGCAATGTCCGTCCTTGCAGACAGAGAAACCAGCCTAGGGGCCTCATTGGGCAGTAATAATAGATTTATTTTATCCAGTCTGTCTCGGGGGATCTCAGATGAGACTCCTGTTTTGTTTGCCGCCGGCATGCCCCGAGTTTTTAATGCTTATTGTAGTCTTTCTTCCCATCCAGTCCTTTGTCCGGATCCAGCGCGGGACTACGAAGGAGTGGAATAGTCAACAAGCAGCAATCCTGTATTACAGAGCTGTTTCATTCTCTTGACTCCAATCATCAGCCTTCGAATGTTTTTCACTGGCGGTACCCTACAATCCTCTGCCTAAACCCGTCGTGGCCGTCTCAACCAGCATCATGGCCGAGAGCGGTCCTGAAGTGCGCATACCGCAAGCTATTTTCAAAAAGCACGACGAACCCCTTGTGAGTCCCCTCGATCCTCCTCCGCAGCGGCAGCATCGCGGCTGGCGTCTCTGGGCTGTTTTCCCGGGCCTCTGCTTTGCCATCCTTCTTGCTGCGCTAGACACCTCCGTTCTTGCCACTACTCTCCCGACCATCGTGGACCAGCTGCACTCGGGCCCGCTTTATATATGGATAATCAACGGTTATTTCCTCGCCGTGGCTGTGGTGCAGCCTATCGCTGGCCAAGCGTCCGATATTTTCGGTCGGCGATACCCTATGATCATCTCCGTCGTCCTGTTTGCTCTGGGAAGCGGCGTCTGTGGCGGAGCGAGCACTACGGAAATGCTGATTGCCGCAAGGATTGTGCAGGGACTTGGAGGCGGCGCCATCTTTGTGATGGTGGATATCATCGCCGCCGATTTGGTAGCGCTTCGGGAGTGACAGAAGTTCATGGGTATCATCATGGGCACCTTTGCCCTGGGCACGTTTATTGGACCTGTTCTGGGAGGCGCCATCGTCACTAAAACGACCTGGCGGTGGGTCTTTTACATTAACCTCCCCGTGGCGGGGATTGCCCTGGTTCTGGTGACTCTGTTTCTGAGGGTCAAATGGAACCGAGAAGGGACTCTCAAGGATCGACTCGCTCGGGTGGATTTCTCCGGGAATATGATCCTCTCTGCGGCGATCGTGGCCATCCTGATTGCCCTCACCTGGGGAGGAACAACGTATACCTGGAGCTCGTGGCACACCCTCGTCCCTCTCCTGGTCGGCGCTCTCGGCCTCGTTTTGTTCGGTCTGCATCAGGAATATGTCGTCCGCGAGTCGACGATGTCGCATCGCGTGTACAGCAACACCACTTCTCTGGTGGCCTACATCCTCACCTTCCTCCACGGGATCATCATGTCCTGGCTCTCCTTCTTCCTACCGATCTACTTCCAGGTAATGCTGCGGGCCAGTCCCATGCGGTCCGGGGTGGATATCCTCGCTATCGTGATCCCTCTCATGCCAGCCGGCATTGCAGGTGGCCTCATGGTCGCCATCACCGGCCGGTACAAGCTCACCATCATTCTCGGCTACAGTCTGATTTCCGTCGGGGTGGGCCTTTTCACCCTCCTCACCGATAGGTCCAGTACAGCGACATGGGTCATCTTCCAAATCATCACGGGAATCGGCGGCGGGCTGTCCCTCACCTCCACGCTCCCAGCAGTTCAGGCTCCGCTGCCGGAGAAGGACGTCGCCATCGCCACCGCAAGCTGGGCATTCGTGCGGAGTTTTGGTGCCATCTGGGGCGCCGCCATCCCCGCTGCCGTGTTCAACTCCAAGTTCGACAGCCAGCTGTCCCACATCAGCGACCCGAGCACCCGCGCGCTCCTTGCGCATGGCGGGGCATATGAGCATGCCACCAAGCTCTTTATTGAAGCCTTCGACGACAATCCCGCCCTACAGCGCGAAATCCTGGACGTCTATCAGTCATGTTTGAAGCTGGTTTGGCAGGCCTTGCTGGCGTTTTCCCTCGCGGCGTTTCCCCTTGCCGTGTGCATTCCGCAAGTCGAGCTGCGGAAGGAATTAGTGACCGAGTTTGGACTCGACGAGAAATATGGCGAAAAGAAGAGACGTGAAGCCATCGAGCAAGAGGCGGGAGTAGAACTGGGGAATCGAAGCACTCACAGGGACGACTAAAGTCGTTGGGTTTGAGTCAAAGGCAAGCCACACACTAGCGATATAGATATCAATATGCCATGTTGAATGTACATTATGAAAAATCCATTTTATCGAGAGATCATACTGTCATCTATCTACTTCTATAAAAGAGTCCCTCATTTCGTAGTCCCTTACAGGTAGCTTATTCGGCATCAGCGCCTCCTTCAACCGCAGCCACCCAGGCATCTATCTGTTCCAGAAGTCCAGGACGGATGTGTTTCGGACTGACAAGCTCCTTCATGGCGGTGGCGAGCACACGTAGGCTGTCAATGCAGGGACCCACGTCGAGATTCCCCCTCAGGTCCAGCATCCGCGAACAGGTCTGGATTGCCATAGTCATCGGCCACACAAGGAAGCGGTCATGGTGTATAAAGATCTCCAGCTTTTTGCCTTTCAGCCGTTGGCCTAGCTGGACCGTTATAGCGATGTCGGTGGCAGCGGTGATGCACTTTGTGATTGCCTCGGTCGTGAGGACAGCAGGCAGCTTGTCTTTCTGAACCTTGACCAGGGCCGTCTCGTGTAGAGTGATTTCCACCGCGGCTAGGTTCATCCGCAGCGACAGAGATCGTGGGTCGTCGGAGAAGTCGTCGTTGACGTGGTGGGAAAGTAAATTCCCTCGGTGGTGATTGATGGCTTTATCAATCGAGTAATGCGTCTCCCAAAAGTCATGGGGATGATTCATCTGCCACATGGTGTGGTCGATACATCGTCGGTACAGGGATACCATGATGAGTGTGCCAGCAAAGGGTGACACGGACACCTCAGCAGAGATCCCAGCTTCGATCTGCTGCATTGATGGCATGGCAAAGGTAGAATCCGTCAATTCGTCCAGAGAATCTCTTGGAGATGGGAGACGGATAAACGGCTGGATGCTTCATTAGCGTGAAAACATAGAGTAAGAATGCGCCCGACGCACTGGCATTTCCAAGGCCGATTGTGTATGCGGATGGGTGGTTGATAAGGAATCGAATACATAGAGAACCCAGAAGGTTCGACGCCGCTCTTCCGCCATGACAGCGCAAGAGGCCGGTGGGAGTCGCGGCCGCTGGTCCCATGGTGCAGTGGTCGAATTCGGAGGACTGTCGACCTGGTCAAGGCCTACCATTTTCGCTAGCCTGATAGCCCGCCCGAGAGTCATCCATGCCCGAGCAAAGTTTGGCTGCTTGAATTCGTAGAGGGTCAACAAGGCGAGCGCTTGGAGAGTATTGATGCTCGCCAGGGATTCGCCCGTCTCCTGTCTTTCACACAAGTCCAGGAGGGTGCGGCATTGCTCGTAGCATCTGTCGACGTGACAGCGGAGCTCGGGCACTGAGAAAGATCCCAGTACTGCAATGGCGAATGAGAGGCCTTGAACCCCAATTGACGGTGACATCTCGGATAATTCCGCCTCAAAGCGAGATCGGCAGATCATTGGCATAATGGAATGGAACAGATCAAAGTACCTGGCGTGTCTGCATTCGTCAGATGGGTTTGTACCCGGATGAGCGTGGGGCAGCCTACAGTCCTTGCAGGAGCCCTGGAGACAACTCCGGCACGTTATGGTTTGTTGCGGCAGGTAGCTTATCCGAAAGCATAGGGCCCAAGTCGTCAAATCCATTGGAACTAGGCATACATGGCGCCATCAGAGGTTCAAACGGCACCGTGCAGGCTGGAGGATCGAAGTCGAGGTTGTACGGGTCGTTATAGGCTATGTCGGGCCTGATAGCTCAGCAGACTGAGCAGTGGAACGCACACATGTCGATGTCTTACCAGTCATTCATGGTCTGCCCACCAAGATCGGGCAGTTCTAGTGTCGACAAAAGTGCCGAGTTCATATGTGTGGGCGATGTATTTGACGTAACCGGCCCAGAAGCCGCAGCATCTGACTCCATAGGGGTTTGGTTCTGTATTGATGAATGGAAAGCCAGCTGGGCCTCTGCCTGCTCTGTGGAGAAGTCGGGATTAGCCAGAGTCCGTGTTGCATAATGTAAGGCGACAAGTTCAAGCTCATGGCTCACTCAGACGGTCGTTTATTGTCACTAAATATCGTGATAGATCCAGCTTTGATGGCGTCGGCTTGGAACGACTTAAGTAGCGACATGTAGTCCCCATTTTTGCGCACCTCCCACATGTTGGGTGTTCCCTATCGCATCGGATCTTTCGCCCACGACATGTCCTATGGTGTTTCCTCAAGTTAGCAGCAGGAAAATAATGAGGGAGGGGGAAACCACAAGGAGCTCAGACGGACGCACATGCATGCCAACCGCTTCGAAGCATGGTTGGATATGCTTAACTCTTCAACATGAGGCTTCTTGCTATCGTCAACAGCATCAACAATGCCAAAGCTTGCCATTGATATTGGATACCACAAACAGCAGAGTTAGATTGCAGCAAACAGGATGGATTTCTGCTGAATACAGTTAATCCCTCCTTAATTCTGATCATCAGTATTTATACCAGTTACAGCACCCAGGTTACAGACCCTGGGGGGGAGTTCGGGCTAACCTAAAGTCCACCCTCACTAAAAAAAGTATAACTACTCCTCCCCATTTAATTTATTTCATGCTCAGGTTACAGGTGACACCATCCTTCACTTGATGGGTCACTCACAGCACCCAATATTAGCTTTAGCTGGGAGAACCCCACAGGCCATAATCAATCTGACATATTCACAAACAACCCAATCTTTAAAAGTATCTAGACCATTCATAGGATGCCTTTATGTAAGAATTAAGTAAGCACTAAATTAGCCAGATCGGATCCGGGTTGGCTCCAGGTTCTAAAATTTGAACTCAAAATTGCAGCGGTTTGGTGCCAACTAGGCTTGAACTCGCCCGAACTCGCACCAAATGCAACTCTAATAAAGAGAAAACATACCAATGAATGAGAGGGGATAACTCCCGCCCTATGTTACATTTTACTAGGCAGATGCATGCATATCCTTTTCTGGCCCGAGAACTCACATTATTGACAATATAGCCTGTTCGAGAACATAATGAACACGAGCACGCTGACCCAGCCCTGTTGTTGCTACCTGCATGGCATACAACAAGAGCAGCAATAACAATGGGTACAAGGCTGTGTATTTAGCTTGAGAGGATGGCATAACTGTAGCGAAGATAGTGAATATACACAGACTTAGATAATCTTGCAGAACCAAATTTAACCAGTATATGTTTACATGTACTAAAGGTCTAGTGTGAAGCCCGTAACTGCAAGGGTATCAGTGTCTAAATCACCATCTACCATTATCCATCCATGCACCTTAAGATCATGGTCAACTTGTGTCTTTTGCTTTGACACATGCTTTACTTAATAATGAGTGGGTTGTCTGACTGGATTATAAGCTAGTGCCTGAAGGATGACAAGAAGCAGTCCACGGGCGGCCGATATCACATTAAGGATGATAGGGCGCTTACCGGCAGCGATCACGAGGCCCGGTCACCTAGACCAGCAATCGAACGTCCAATTACGAGTGCGGGAGAGTTTGGCGCAGAGCCGCGCAGGCGGCAAATCCGACCAAGACGAGAAACACGGATTTGCTGTAAGTCTCTCGTACAGAGTGCCAGGCAATGAGCTTGCCGAAGGGAAGCTGGGAAGATAGATGATCATGTCGTCCTGGAAAGGGATTACCAAGTCAACATATGTTACTTAGCCAGAGATGTGGCTCTACGCAAGCAAGACCTACCATGGAGATGAGGAATACTCCGGGACACAGTCACATAGGATCGCAACGGCAGGGAAATCGGATTCCTGAAGAATACTAGGCCGTCCCCACCGCCGTTTCTTCAGGCCCCGAACAGATCCTTCCGGGTCCGCTTCAGATGAGACGGTTTGATTCCTCTCTCATTTGTGCTCCTCAAGAGACTTCCCATCTGGCGGCAGATATGTTGCAAAGCGAAAAGTTCTCAGTTCTTTCCCATACTTGGTCACAACGTCACTGCATAGTTTGACTAAAGTTGCATAACTGAACCAGTAAACTCGGAACCAACCCTCACGGTGAATTGGGTTCAGCCTAGGGAATCACACTAGTTTCGGTTTCCCTATCCCCGGAGGGCCCGAACCGATTCAGGCTTAGTGAAAACTGTCAGTCACAGTTTATCAGTTAGTTCAGTTTAGTAATGATTTCTAAATTCTTGCATATTAATCACTAAACTTTAGGATTCTTCTAGCACTTTTGATATCACTAGATAGCGACTTATCTAGTCTATCTAAATATGACATATTGATTCAAAATACCTCGTGGTGGCTAAGACAGGTTGTGTACACTTGGAGCAACGTAGGGTCAGCCGAATAAGTTGGACTTTTAGGAAGCTTAAGGAAGATGCTGTGGGCTTTCGAATATAGTTTCGCTCCGAAGGATCATCAACGCTGATGACCAATGGACGGGGCATTTGATTTTGCTTGCTCCCACATCATCTGCGGGTGGAAGTAGGACGTTGTTGCCTGCGACTGGCCGCGGAATCCATGTCTGCCGATTGTGTCGGCGTTGACTGTTTCCCAGACCGAATCCCAGCCAACACAGCTGGACGGACACCTCAAAGACGTAGAAGAGATAGCTTACCTAGGTCCTTGATAGACTGAGGTTTGTCCCGGTCGGGAAGGAGCGAGTAGAATTGCCGCCACGACCCATCTTGGCTACTGCTAAGCGTCTCAACAATATCATCGAGGCATGGTAGGTTCTCGTATTTGAGAGCCTCTCGGAAGGCGTCATCGACCAAGGCTGATCCCGGAAAAATTTGGATATCATAGAGACGCCGCGTGCTTGAAACACCGCGTCTATCAAGCTCGTGCAGGACTGCGCTCTTAAGCACACCTGTCAACTGCTGACTGCGGAGCATAATTGCTTCGATCCAATCCATCACCTCGCATGGCCTATAGCCTCTGTGTTGAAGTCGGTCCTCAATGCTCTGGTAGTAATGCCAGGTTGGAAGATCCAGTATGATATTGAGTGGCCCGTGGCACTTCCCATCGTACTTGGAGAAGACGAGAGCTGCTATACCTGCGATAGCGGATATTGTGATTTAGACACTCGTGTATTTTTGCCAATTTTTAATGAAAAAGAAAGTTAGTGGGGATGATTGCCTTGCAGAAATATGGTAATGCTCGCGAATCTCTCTGGCCTTATGACATAGCACGTATTGAGAGCCACGCCGCGGCGCCCCAATGCAATAGGAACTATTAATCATGCTTTATATTCCAAATTCCGTGGAGGGTATCCATGGTGCTATTAATAGCAAGTGGGCGATAGTTATTGGGTGCATTTGTTTTTCGAACTTTAAGCAGATCCAGCAATATACTTATCAGACCAAATTCCAATGCCCAAAGCGTCCTCATACCGAACTGGAGGACACTCAGTGACAGCTATAGCCTACGATGATGCTACTTAGAACTTCAAACTTAAAGATTCTTAGACATCGAGCTTCGGCACTCATGGATATGGTTTTTGCCTTATGCCTATGTCGCCGTACCTTATGCCTATGTTGCCGTACTGGCCTTTCGCAGGCACTGCTGCGCTGTTCCACGCCTGAAACGCCTACATTGAGGTAGTATCAGACTGTTGGATCATCGAAAGTGTTGAGTTCAAAGTGACCACGTGGTGCTGACTTGGGGAAACACCCCAAAGGGCGTTCAACACTTCAAATTGGGAATTGTTTGATCTTCTTTTGGAGAACACTATGGATTTTCCACCTATCCTTGCTATTAACATCACGACCACAGGTCAAAAATGATGTCTAAAAGTAAAGGTTGTTTCTGTGCTTCACATCTGGATTAGGATCAGTATGATCTACATAGTTGGGTATCAATAAGCAGGCAAATTTATTGCTCGAGGTCATGTCGTGGATGAGCTCCAGTTACAATGGTTGATCAGCTTTGCCTCATGAAATTATGTTTAATGATTTCCGATTGATCCCCTATGGTTGTATATTAATAGTGAACCAAGGATAAACACCTTTTGTAAAGCATCAGGTTTTGTTTCCATAAGACTTGCAGAGCCATGCAGAAGATCAGCAGATCCTGAATGATCCTTTTCCCTTTTCACTAGAAATCTGGCCACGTCCACAGAAGAAGGATTCTTATAGGACAATAGTGTCTAATACATCATGCACGCCATATGTTGAACAGTTAGGAGGATGTGACTCCGCTTTGTTGGCGGGATTTTAGACCATTTGAACCATGTAGGCATAAGTCCTGTCACTAAAGTGATGGTTAACTCTTCCTTATCCGGCGAGGTCGCCTTGTTTTAATTCCAAATCCAATTTCCGTGGTTCTGACAGTAGGTAGAATCGTACAAAGCTTGATATACATGTCATACGATGAACCCAAAATTTAAGCTTCGCATGGTTGTTGCAGCTGACCAGTCTGTAAACATGCTTATCGGGGATCTCCAGAACTTTAATTAAATAGTCAGAACTTGTCTACTGGTCTGGATTCAGGTAGACCTTCGTTCCAGCTTTCAAATCGCGCCTTATAAGCCTAACTCTTTGATCTGTCAGGATCCAACATTCAATCACTGGGCTGACAGATCTAGCATGGGCAAGTTGTATCCGCTTTCGTTGATCTCAAGTGGAATTTCGACACTTTTTTGCCTCTCTCTGTATGCAGCGTGAGGTAAGGTACTATGTAGTCATTCCTTAATGTGATATGAAGCCAGTAGAACTATGATCTTCCCAGGTATCTATATAAAGATCCAGCCGTGTCTTCATGCTTCCTTCATTTCCTGCCCTCCGCCAATCCAATTACTATCAGATCATTAGTTTTTATACAGTCTATCTTAAAGGAATCATTATTCACTATGTCGATGTTGATTGAAGCTTCCGATGGCAACTTGCAATTTGTTGCTTACAATGAAGAAGACAACACCCTTACCCATTGGTGGCGCAATGAATCTGATCCAAGCCACCCCTGGGTGGGACCAACTGCAACCATTTCCACCAAAGCGACTGGACCTGGCTGTATCATTCAGAGTACCTATGGGACTCCCAACAATCCCGGTAACTTTGAGGTAGTAGTCCCTGAAGGCAACAACCTTGTCCACTACTGGCGTGACAATTCTGCCCCTGGAAATCCTTGGGTGGGACCTACGGCTACCATTTCCACCAAAGCAACTGGACCTGCGTCTCTAATTCAGAGCACTTATGGGACCCCCCAACATGTTGGCAATTTTGAGCTCGTGGTACCTGAAGGTAATAATCTTGTCCACTACTTCCGTGACAATGACCCTGCCCTTGGCCCGAGTCCCTGGCGTGGTCCTACCGCAACCATTACCAACCAGGCGGCGGGCCCTGGTGCCCTGATCCAGAGTACCTACATGGCCTCCGGTGCAAAATATGGCAACTTCGAGGTGGTCGTTCCAGTTGGCGGTTCACTTGTTCACTTCTCCCGCGACAACTCGAACGGCAACTGGAGTGGGCCTGCCACCATCACATCAGGAGGCACATGGCCGTCTCTAATCCAGAGTTCTTACGGTACTCCCCAGAACCAAGGCAACTTCGAGGTCATAATGATCCAGCAAGGAAACCTTGTCGGCTGGGCCAGAAATAACACCGGCGGAATGAAATGGGGACCGACTGGAACAGTTTGTTCCAATGCTGACGGCCCTAACGCGCTTATCCAAGGTAACTACGGAGAGGTCAACGGCTCACCAGGCAATTTCGAGGCTATAACGAATATAGGTGGGAATTATACACACTACTACCGTGTGAACTCGGAGCCTCAAACCCCTTGGCTTGCTGGGCCAGTGATTACGTCTGAGGATGAGTCTGTCAAGGATGGACCAAGAAATAAGAATGTGCCTTGCTAGGCAGCTTTGGAGGTTTATTTATTTCTATTTATTCTTTTAATTTCTGTTGCTTTCTGCCTATTACAGGCCTGCCACACGATGATACGCATTGAATAACTGTTTTGTCCTATGGAATCTTGTATCTATTGTAATGGTGGAATAAGTAATATCATCTGGGAAGGAGAAGGGAAATTGTATCTTCCGTGAGGAACAGTATTCTCCTATTTGTGCCTCTCGTTCAAACATATTTGTCGATAATAAGTTATTCGTCTATTTACTCAACGGAGATATTTGGTTTCCATGAGTTAGTAAAATGGAGCCGAATGCTACCAGTAATGAACACAGCCAAGGACCTTTAGTACATGTAAACATATACTGGTTAGATTTGGTTCTGCAAGATTATCTAAGTCTGTGTATATTCACTATCTTCGCTACAGTTATGCCATCCTCTCAAGCTAAATACACAGCCTCATACCCATTGTTGTTGCTGCTCTTGTTGTATGCCATGCAGGTAGCAACAACAGGGCTGGGTCAGCGTGCTCGTGTTCATTATGCTGAGATCAGTGATCACCAGCCACTGGCCGCTCATTAAGTCCAGGATGTGGCCCTCAACCGCGTAGTAGCCATGGGTACATTTCGCCTCGCTGCAGATGCTCACCGTTCAAGTGCCCGTTGCGGTGACCGTTGCCACGGTTGTCGTGATGCGGTCAGGCCGGCCCCCGCTGACCAACTGGACAGATAGTCCGAGGCATAGTCTGTCTCAAAGGTCACGCTGAGGATATGGGGGGGTTCCCTTGGAAAGATCGAGGTTTGTGGGCGATGTCGCCAGTGGCTGAAACTGGATGAAAGCTGCTCTACGTAATAGTTTTCATGTCGTCTCCAATCAGGCGTGGGACTATACGCAAGACCTAGCTGAGAGATCTGCATCAGAAACCTGCATATCAAACCAGGGTATGAGAGTGCCCTGTGTGTAGATTTGGCACGGACGCCGTACGAGATACAAGTTAGGAATTGAGACCGCGGTCTCCAAAAGTCAAAGGTGCGCCTCTCTTGAATTCTGTTGTGTATGAGAATGGTAAGTTTAAGACAGATAACTCATGTAGATTGATATGGCGATGATTAGAATGGCAAATATCCACATACTACGCGGTGGCTATGGTCACTTCCACCCCGCCATTGGCCAACTGCACTTGCCATCCTCCGCGCACTGACTTCGCCTGTGAGGTGACTTTGTACTGAGTGCTTGTGCCAGGACTCTCAACCCAGACTATTGCTGATGTAGCCTTGGACGGCCCGGGGACAAGCCGCACCGTCACTTGCTTGGCGTTCGTTCTCGCGAAAGAAAACTGGTCAATCCAGCCCGCACTGGCGATGATGTAGACCCCCATGGAGGCTATGTACACCCGCTGGCGAACGGCATCGCGAGGCTGTACTGTCACCAACTGTCCATTTACTGCGAGGTTGCCGCCGTATGCAACTAGCCCAAGATCCGGGTCCTCGACGACGTAGGTGGCGGACGCGAGCATGACCCCTAAGAAATTCGGCCCGTAGTCGCCTGAGTAGTCATCGCCCGCGAGAGTGTCGGGAAACGAGTGGAAGGCGTTGTACATGGACCCGTCCTGGCGAATGTTGGTGAGGGGACCAGAGACGCCACCGTAGCCGACGCGCAGAAGGTATGTATCCTTGGGCTGCTGGCGGAATTGTGCAAGGAGGGGGATGTCATTGAGACTGGAGCCATAGTGGTGGATCATGCGCTCGATTCGCTGTAGCTTTCCCGCGTAGCTAAAAGAAACCCTGTTATGTCTTATGCTTGGTAAAAAGAGAGCAGAGCATTGCATACATAAAATCCCAATAACGCCGGGCATTGCCCGTTCCAGCCCCAGTGGGACACAGTAGGCATATAACCCAGAATGCTATTAATCGTCTTGGTCGCGGTGTTGGTGAGTTTGAAATAGCTTCGCAAATTCATATCATGAGCTTGTGATCCTTTCAAAAGAGAGCAGAAGTGGCTTACTTGGTCCAGTAGTACACACCCTCCTGTTCCGTCGAATCCCATGCCATCTCACTGCCAAACGGCTCGGGCTGCGAGTTCCACAGCTCTGCACGACGTTTCATGGACGCCTCGACTGCATCCGCCTCCTTGGACCACCCTTCGCGGCGCAGATCCTGGAGAAGTTCACCGACCACTGTCTCGCCCATCTGGCCCACGCGCGAATATTGCACCGGCTCCGTGCCGGAGGAGTCGGTTGCAAAGCAAGCAATGGTGGTATTGTAGGCGCGGCCGAGATACCACTGCCAGGTATTTTGTTTCAGCAACCCCGGCTGGTCACGACCGGCGCGATACAGTGCCCAGTACGAGGCGATGACGTGGATATAATCATATGAGCGTTGGGTGGAGTAGGAATCGGCCTTGTTCCACGACCACCAGTTGCCCCAGTCGATGGACTTGCTGTAGGAATACCCTGGCACGGCGGATGGCTCGTAGAAAAATATGCTTTTGCGGACCAGGTCGCCGCCGTTCTGGATAGTGGGGAAGAGCACTTTGGATACGAACTCCTCCAGCTTGGCGATCTCGTTGGGATCCGGGTGGGCAGACTGTTTCATCGCCGTCGCCATGTAGATGACTCCGCCTTCGTCGCTCAGTCCTGCAATCCAGACCCGGGGATCCTGGAGGACGGGCCGGCCGGTGGAGGCATCGTATGACATGATGGAAGGGGCGCGGCCAAATGGATCCGACTTGTCATTGAACCACATTGTTGAGGTAGAAAATTGGCCCAGACGGGCGACGGCGTCTGGGGCTGACCCTGTAATGAAGTAGTGGACCGTTTGAGTCTTGCCATCGTCGTAGGTGATGGTGAGCCGGGTTCGGCCCCAGGCGGAGCCTGTGGGAGTCAGCGAGAGGGTGTTCTCCTGCCGGGCGATGGCCAACGCATTCCCCTCGCTGACCACCGAGGAGACATTGGCTGGAGCGAGCATGTGCAGCTGAACGGTGAGGTCTCGGGGCACCACGTATCCCGTTCCAATTGCTAGGGGGGTGTTGGTGGCTCGGACCGCCTTCTGGATACCGCGGATGCCGCCCTTCACCACGGAGAAGCGTAGACCAACAGTTGCAGACTGTCCGGCGTTTAGGGCGAGCGAGGTGGCGGGATTCCAGGGTTTGACCTTGGCCCATTCGTTGTCGGCGTAGGCCTTGGAGTGTGCCTGCCACTCATAAAATCCCTCGAAGGTCTGGCTCCCGTATGCGGTGGAGTCAAAATAGGGCTCATCCAGATTGTGCCACGCCTCAAACGGGGTGCTTGTGTTGCCCAAGGGCGTCACAATTAAGGCTTCCCCCGTACCAGAAGTTGGTGTGACCTGCAGATAACCAGCGTCCATCCCAATATAGGGGTCTGTCAGTGAGCACTTGGCAGCCATCTCCTCCGGGATGCGGTTGGTGAAGATACTGTTGAACTCAGTCGGGAAGCCCAGACTGCCAATTTCGATGCCATGCGTGGCGGTATTGGTGAGAGTGAAGGACAGGCCGACGTCGCCGTCGACATCGACCCATTTGCGGATGATGCGGAGTGGCGATCCACCAGGCAGAGTCGGGGTCAGGTCGGCGGCCGCCAGTGCATCCTTGGCCTGGACGCCGGTCACGGCCTTGCGAGCCTTCGCGGAGTCTCCTGCAACCCATTCGGTCTGCCCCGTGGCGCGGTAGCGGAAGGTGATATCCCCGTTGTGATATTGCCCATTCTCGGTACGGTTGGGGAGATAGTCGAAGGGGAGAAAGTCAAAGGAGTTTCCCTTGGGCGTGAGAGATGCAAGAACCTGAGCATCTTTAACAAGCTTCAGGTCCCAATTGGCCGTGGAGAGGGAGATGTATCCATTTTTGAGGCCGAGGTTGTCCTCTTGGCCGCAGACGGTGAGGGCCAGCAGAGAGATGGCAACGCACCAGGTTGTAGAGAGACTATGCCAACCCATTTTCCTTATTATTGCATATCATGGAAATGAGAACATTGAAAGGTCGATCTTTCTCTGGCTTTTTCTACTCTCGTCTCTGCCTTTCAGCACATGGCCAGCTTTGTATTTAATATTATCTTATGCTTGACAATAATGATCACTGCCCTTTCCTTCCGCGGACATTTTGAAATTGGAATTATCAAGGTTATCAGGTCCATCCCTGGTCTGGTTAGGGTGTCCTGAAGTGGTCTCTGCGTGTCGATCCCTCCAGGTTATGGCTCTCGACCTTCCGGTTTGGGTATAAGACCGGCGGACGACGGGGAGAAGGTGGGCTTCATCAAACCCCGCTTGAGCTAAAAAGAAACAGGTGAACTCCCCAGTCGCGGAGGCATTGCTGTTACGGAGTAATAAAGGATGCATTAGGTTCATTTACCTCGACGCCGAGCGCTCTGGCATTACATAAAAAAGAGGATACCCTAAGCATAGCTTCTAACTCGTCCCCAATCCGCTTATCGTGAATATATTACCCTGAAACATCTCCAGACATCCGTCAACTTGTCTGCAACTCAGTCGCCAATGCTTCCCATTCCTTCACGCCAACACCGGCAAACTGTCCGCCCGAGCCGGATGCGATCAGGGTGGCATGGATGGAGGTCGTGCGGATGGTCTGGAATCTCACCACGTCCGGGGTATCGGTCACCTTCAGGGGATACGGTGTGCGGTTGACAACAGGCCGCCAACTGGACGACTGATCCAAATATTCGACGAACCATTTCTTTGGGGGTGCAACTCCCACGTTAGCCCCGGCGTCTTGGTCGGCGAAGAAAACCATCGACGTCCCGTTCAGCTGCACCGGTTCTTTCCACACATAGGTAAGCACGCTGGTCTCTCGGGACTTTTCTGCCTCGTAGGAGCTCCAGTAATCTGGGGGCAGCGGGTTGACCCGAACGATCCCATCGTTGATGGCTTTTATCCAGTACTGGATCCCTGAGGGATATTCCGAGCTGTCGACGGCTTTGGGCGCGACATTGTATGTTGGAGGTGCCGGTGGCTTGGGCCCAAACGTCCGGACAACCTTGCGGATTGCCGGGGGCGACTGACTATCGTCCCAGCTGAGCTTGTCCAGCGCGATAATGCAGCGGAAATGGCCGCCTCCCTTGGCGTCCGCCGTGTGGGCGAATCCGGGCCTGCGTTGTTGGCTGCGAACAACAGATAATAGACGCCCTGGCGCTTCATCAGCCACGGGGCCTCGAAATACCCCGGCAGTCCGTCAACCTGAGTGACGGACGACTGCAAGGTGACCATGTCCGCGTCAAGCTGGTATGCGCGTAGTGCGCCAAATGTGCCAAAGTAGATGTAGACCTTGCGGATCGATGTTCTGGATGGAATTGCCAGGCGGAGGCACTGATTGCGAAATGATTGGGCCCGATGGGTGAGCGTCGACGTAGGGCCCGGTAGGAGAGTCGGATACAGCCACCCCAATAGCAAACGGATCAGCATTTTGGCTATTGGCCTGTGTCACCGGAGCGTACAGGCAGAATCTGCCGTCGCGGCCTTGAACTACTTGTGCCGCGTATGAGGTCCCAGGAGCAGCCCAGGCGAACACCGTGTGCGGTTCTGCGACGTTGGGGTACAGCATCCATTCGGACCCAGCAGGGTTTGGTGTCGAGGAGACGAACATTCCCCACTGCTTCATGATAAAGCTGTTTTCATCTGGAGCAGCACTGTCGCGTCCGGTGAGGATGTAGAGCGTGTTGTTGACGACCAGCGGCGCAGGATCGGCCGAGTACCACGAGCCATCTGAGAGGATTGGGTTGCCCCTTGAGGTAAACGAGATGGGCATGGATCCCGTTGCTTGGGCTAGAGCAGTGGCGCTGAATGCCAGCGCAGGCCAGAGGATAAGCATCCCGGGTTGTAGATAGTAGCGACGGGAATAATGGAGGATCCGGGATGACGACCAGGCGAGTGTTCTACCGGTTCACTCCAGGTGTTAATAGTTTTAGGCAGACAATTCCCTTACTTAAGGTCAGCTCCGTATAGTTCATGGTAACATGTAGAATGCAAACTGCGGGCCTAGCTTCTGATTTGAGCATTAATCTGCATCCGCCGCGATGCCATGCATGTTTCATCCTGATCCACATGCCCCGTACCAAGTTGAGTCTAGTTGATCAGGACGTTCCGATTGTATCAAACAAGCGGAGTCTTAGGAATAAATTCCAATCCGCAATGTCCGAGGGCTGCGGACGAACACTGATTTTGAAAGCCTGGTGTAGTTCGGAGGATTGTCCATAGCAATCACGGAAGGACAATGTCAGCAAGCTGTAAGTTTCCGCTGGACCCTGAACGGGGTTGGCTGTCGTAAGTCTCTAAGTCCCAGCGGTAGACGGTCTATAAGCAGAACATGGGTTCATAGCTACCATGCTCGTAGAGTGCTGATGAACAAAGGGAGTGATGGGCCGAACTTAGAAAGGACTGTACAGTAAAACAGCATTATAGAATAGGGAGAAGGTCTAAGCATAATAGAATAGCGTAGTATCCTCAAGAGACAGTTGAGCACCAGAGCTTATATAGGATTAGCATGCCTTCTGCAGCATCAGGGACGACTTATTATTACCCTAAGCATTCATACAATCATGACTATCATGCTATTCTTACGCAACGTCTCTAATTGCTATCTCATCACCCTTGCCATTACTGAATAGATACAAACATGCAAGCTTAGGTAAGGAATTGCACTTGACAGGCCTTGCGTATGTTCCTGATAGCAATACAACTTCGTCCATCACAATTCTCAGCATTTCCACAGTCTGTATATTTCTATTTACCGGCGCTGTTTCAAACCATAAGAAGCAGCCCGGTGAACCAACTAAGGACGATTCCAATCCATGGTTCTGAGGCAGCTGGGGCTTCACCACTTTGGATAGTTGTCGTTGGAGTCACTGCTATCCCTGAACCTAGTGCGGTTGATTCTGAAGAAATTGAGACGATCTCAGTCATCGTCGCCCTAGACGAGGATGAAGTGCTGGAACTCTCGGAAGATTGTGTGAAGATATTAGAAACTGTGACGGTGTGAGTCGTTGTGTCATGGGTTGCCGTTGGAAAAGTCTCGGTTGGAAAGGTCACGGTTGCAAAGGTATTGGTTGCATGGGTTATGGTTGCATAGGTTATCTTCGTAAACGTTGGCAGTGTAAAGGTATTTACAACTCCCGCGCTGCAGTAGTAGTTGCCAGCTGACAGAACGCATGCTTCCCCAATGCTGCAGCATAGGGCATTGGGACATATTGGGTCAGCAGCGCCGCAGGTCCCACCACAGGCAGGAGACCCATGAATTACCGCGCACGGTTGGCCACGAGGACAGCAGACATTTCCGTCTGGACAGGCGGTATCGGTTGCATATTGACACTGGTCAGCCTGCCTTGCGTTCAAGTCATGGAGCCTGGCAGCGGGGGTGACCAAGGCGCCTCGAAGATGGTAACTGGCATTCGCAAGGTGAGTGCCTAGTGGTGGTGATGACGAGGACAAACCGAGCGTGCATGATGTGTGGGTTGGAAGAGGTAGGTAAATCGACCCAGAGGGGCTTCTGTTCAGTTCCAGCCCGAAGCTCAAGAGTATTTATACCACGCTCGTGTACTTCTTGGCTCCCCACACAGCGTACACTATCGAGGCCAGCCATGGCTGTGGCCTGGGAGCTCGGGCCTCGTACAAATCGAGCGCCGCTCGGACAGGAGGTCAGACCCCCACTACTTGCTTGAGCAAAACTTGCCTATTCTAAACAAGCAAACAAGCATTATTCAGGTACATGGCTTATGCTCATAGGAGTATCCGTAGCCTTCTTTTGCGCTTTGGTCTCAGCCCTGCCCTGTGTCATGCGCTTAATACGAGGGTCACATGACTTGTGTTCAGGCACTTCGTTCTTTCCGTCATACCCAGCCGTAGGTCGGGTAGGTACGGCAAGCCATTAGGACAAATCCGAAAAAATGTCTGTAGGTCTGTGGGTATGTAAGACTTTTGATATTTTCTGCCAGTAATAAGCACCCAACTGTTTTTAGATTTCAATTTTACTTCCCTTAGGTATATTAAATGATTTGAATTGCTATATGGTAAGGATATTGAATCATCATATGGTAGGGATATTGAATCGTCATATGGTAGGGATTTGAATCATTTGAATAATTATATTATTCATATATTACTATACTTAGGTATATATATTTTAAATATACAGTGTTAGCAGGTGGGTTCTCCTATAACCTTCTATATATATATATTCTACCTATATAGGGCACTACCTCAGCATATAAGGATTTGATATCCCTACCATATGATGATTCAATATCCTTACCATATAGCAATTCGAATCATTCGATATCCGATTCGAATCCCTACTATATGATGATTCAAATCATTTAATATCCCTACCATATGGCGATTTGATATCCTTACCATATGGTGATTCGAATCCCTACTATATGACGATTTGAATCCCTACCATATGATGATTTGAATCATTCAATATCCCTACCATATGGTGATTTGAATCATTTAATATACCTAAGGGAAGCAAAATTGAAATCTAAAAATAGTTAGGTACTTATTACTAGCAGAAAATATCAAAAGTCTTACATACCTATAGACCTACAGATGTTTTTTTGGATTTGTCCTAATAGCTTGCCGTAGGTAGGCCTTTATGGCAAGCCATTGGGACAAAACAGAAAAAATATATTTAGGTCTGTAGGTAATACAGACTTTTATATTTTCTGCTAGTAATAAAATTTAATTTTATATAAAATTAAAATAGTAATTAGTAGTAGCATATTACTACTAGTACTAGATAAGGTTTATATAATATTTAGGATATTATAAATAAATAATTAAGTAAATTTAATATATAGATAATATTCTATAAAGTATAGCTACTTAAGGTCCTAGGTAAGGTTAGTATTCTCTAGCCTATATCTAGACTAATTTAATACTATATATATATAGGTATCTATATTTTCTCCTTCCTATTTATATCCTATATATATACTATTCTAGTAGCTAGGTAGATAACTAGAGCTTTTAAAAACCCTTCCTCTATGCTTTATATAATATTATTTAAAGAGAATAATACTATATAAAGTAATTAATATTACCTAAATATATCTTACTTTACCTATATAGAGCTAAAAAGAGGTTAAAAGCTATAATAAAAATATAAGGGAATACTTATATAATTAAGAATTATAGTATCTTTTTTAATTATAAACTTATATATAGGAAGGGTCTAGGCTACCTTTTATTTTAATATAATATAAAAATTAAGGAGAGCTAGATTTCTAAAAAATATAAGTTATATAACTTAATAGTCTCTATTCTCTAAAATCTAAAAAAACTTCTTTACTAAGGCTCCTTCTCTGCTAATAGCTATAATATTATATAGGGTAAGATTAATAAGCTAAAGTTATATCTAAAATCTAATTATATACTTAATCTCTTTAACTTCCTTATTATTAACTAGGGTTGCAGAGATAGTATTAATATTTATATATAAAGTTTTATTAACTTTATTATCTAGTAAGGAGATGACCTTATAATATTTATATAGAGAGGGAGGATTATCAGGCTTATAAATTAATATAGTAAAGTAAGGATAAGGTAATAAGGTTTATATAGAAGAGATAATTAATATAGAAGAAGAAAAAAAGAAAATAATAAGATTAATAAAAAAGAGAGAGAGGCCTTAAGGTTAGGAGGGGGTTAAGGATCTTTATATATTTAGAGATCTTTATAAAATATTTACTATCTAGGGTTATAAAGAATCTTATAAAATTTAATAATATTAAGAAGTAAATATTATAGAATTTATTAATATTAAGAAGTAAATATCTTCTAATTTAAAGATATTTACTACTAAGATAGTTAAAGATATTTACTACTAAAATAGCTCTAGTAGTTATAATAGAGTCTTTCTTATATTTATATAGGATGATTTAGATAATAATTACTAAGATAGTCTTTATTAATATAATAAAGTCTTTATACTACTTATATAGAATGATTTAGAGATAATTACTAAGATAGTCTTTATTAATATAATAAAGTCTTTATACTACTTATATAGGATGATTTAGAGACATTTACTAAGATATTCTTTATAGTAAATATTAATTTAAAGATATTTACTTCTTAATATTATTAAATTCTGTGAGATTCTTTATAATCCTAGATAGTGAATATTTTATAAAGACCTCTAAATATATAAAGACCCTTTATACCCCCTTTCTACCCTCTCTTTTACTTTATTATTCTTATCTTTTTTTTCTTACTCTATATTACTATTAAACTCTTATATAAACCTTCCTATAATATTACTATACTATTACTATATCTACTACTCCTAATAATCCTAGCCCCCCTAAGAATAAGGCTACTTTAGCTAAAAATGCCCTTATATATATTAATATAAACTATATAATCTATAATCCTTCTATAGTTAGTTAGACTAGTCCTCTTTAGAAGAAATTACTTGAGTATACCTACTAGTTTAAGGTTAATAGTAACTAGTATAAGACTATATAACTAACTATAATAGGTAATACTACTTTATACTAGCTATACTATACTAAAGATTAGAAGTTTATTTAGCATTTTCTAGTATATCTATTTACTATATAAAGAGAAGTAATCTCTATTAAGTAGGTAAGTACCTTACTCTTATTTTTTATTATTATATTAATATTACTAGTTATATATAGGATATCTATTCTATATTAATACTATTCTCATTACCTCCTGTAGTATGATTTAGGATTTTCTATACTAGTATAATACCTAGTCTATTTTTTTTAACTAGGTTCACCTCCCTAGCTACTAGAAAGGCTATTATATTAGCTATAAATAGCTAGATTATATATATTACTGCTTATATACTAGAGATAGAGAGAAAAAATATATCCTAACTAGCCTAGTCTCTCTGCCCTATGCTATTATTAAAGAACTTAAAGATTAGGGAGAGGGATCTTATACTAGTATATATAAAGAATAGGGATTTACTAGAGCTATTTTTATTTAGTTTTTAACTTACCTAATACTCTCTCCTAGTTTTTAGGTAATAGATAAATAAAATAAATTCTAAGTACTCTTTATAATTATATAGAATTATAAATAAGTTATATAATATAGTAAGTATATAATACTATTAAGTATACTATATAAATATATATAAGGATACTATTATATAAGAGTAAAAACCTATATAGTATAATTAGTACTATATATATATATATAATAAATAATAGTAATTATATAATTATAGAAGACTTAGTAATAGTTTAACTTTTATTTCTAAATATATAATAAAATTTAAAATAATAATAATACTTATATAAATAACCTAACCTTATAGCCTAAACTCTATAATATAATTAAGATCTTCTTATTTTTTGGAATCCTGGGTCCTTATATAAATACTAATAGAAGTTAGGGTTTTATTATACTTCTATATTATAGTAGTAATAATATTATCTTCCTTAGTCTTTATCTTACTATTTACTACTAAGAATAATCATTTCTTTACTAGTTATTATATAGTAAGTTTAGATTTAATCTTAGGAGTTAATTTAATCTTAATCTTTAATCTTTACTTTAGCTTCTTCTTAATCTTCTTCCTTTCTGGCTTCTTATTAGGTTATATAGCTAGTGGGTTAGATATAGCCTAACTTAACTAAGACTATTATATAATAATAATATAGATAAGAGAAAGACTATTTATTAAACTAGAGTAGTACTATTCTAATAGGAGATCCTTAATCTATTATTAATTATTAGAACTTTAAGAGATATATATAATCTTACTTTAACCTTAAATAACTATAGTAGCTAGGTGAAGTTTATTAGAAGGTAGTTATATAAAGTTATAATTCTTATTTATCCTAGGAAATAGGTTATTTATAATAAAGTCTTTAAAAGACTTAATTATATAAGGCTTAAGCTTAATTATAACTTAATCTAATTTAATATTAGTTATTATATTAATATATAGAACTAGGATTAATAATATACTAATTAATTTATAGCTTAAGGGTATAGAAAACCCATCTTTATCTTTAATCTATATTAAAAAAAAAAAAGGTAATATTTATATTAATAGTAAATCTAGGAGTTAATTCCTAACTTTCTTTCTTTATATAAGTAATTATAGTTTAATATAGTTATTCTGCCCTATATATATAATTAAAGAGAGTAAATTTTAGGGTAGTAAAGACTATTATTACTTTTAGTAGAGATAATAAGTCTAAAAGTTAAATAACCTTAGTAGTAGATAATAAAGAAGGGTATATTATAAGATAGAAACTATAAGATAAAGTATTATAGTAATGCCCTATCTTTATATAAAAAGGTATCTACTTAGGGGATACTATTAGACTAAGAGTTTTTTTAGTTTTATCTTTTCTTTAGTTTTATATAATAATAGTAAGATATTTATATATAACCTCTTATATAACTTCCTAAAAGTATATTAAAGAGTAGTATATTAGTATTCTTTATATAAAATTAATATTCTACTTTACTACTATTAAATAGGAAGTTTAATAATATTACCTATAGAGAAGAATTAATAATAATCTATATTTATATAAAGATAAATTAATAATAATTATTATTTATTAAACTTATTAGTAATCTATACTTCCTTAATTTCCTAGCCTAGATTCTAATTAAAAGCCCTAGTTAGCCTTATTAATAGATAGAGAATAGGCTTAAGTTATTATTAAATATATATTATAATCCTTATATAGAGTCTTATATAGACTTCCTAGTAAGGGGTAAATATATCTTTATTTAGAAGATAAATAGATATTATAGGATTAAAGTTTATCTTTTCTAACTACCTAGTTACCTAGTTATAAGTCACTTAAGGGAGGTACTTATTAGGATCTATTATATAAAAACTATTAGTATATAGTTATACTTTTAATAGAGTATTTAGGAACTTACCCTATTCTATAATATCCTTATATAATATATAGAGAAGATCTTAATTAAACTTTAGACTATAATCTTAAATATCTTTAGGAGAATAGTAATAGTTTATAAATAGCTTTCTATATATTAGGTATAGATAAAGCTTTTATTTATAAATAAAATAATTATTCTATATTTATATAAATAATATAATCTTAATTTAAAGAATTAGTATATAGACTACTAATAAGATAATCTAATTTATAACTAAGTTATAAGAGTAAACACCCTACTCCTAAAGAGTATAGAAATAATTCTATATTAATATTAATATAATATATTTTATATAAGAAGATATAATATACTCTTTATCTAAATAATAATTCTTTAGTTAATTAAAGCTACTAGGCTTTAATCCTTTAATTTAATATACTTATACTATAAAGATAATATTTAGAAATTATTATTTCTAGATATAATAATTATTAAAGCTTATAATAAGCTTCTACTAATAAAACTATTTCTATGCCTTAGTTAGATTATATAAATTAAGATTATAGTTAAGTAACCTCTATAATATTAAGAAATTACTATAATATACTAACTACTATATAAGCTATAATTCTAATATATATCTAAATAATATAGTAGGAATATATATTAATAGTAGTATAAACCTTAATACTATATAGTATAAATTTTAAGTATCTATTAATTAACTAAATAAAATTTAGTTCTAGTATAATATAAGTACCTTAATATTACTATAGATCTTAGAGTTATCTTTATATAGTAGTTAATAAAAGTTAATAGTATAATCTAAAGAGATAATCCCTAAGAAAATATAAATTAGTAAATATTAGAGTCTTTTATATTAGTATACCTACCTTATAATAATAGATCTATAATTCTAGAAGTATTAATAGAGTAGTTCCTTTCTATAATCCTTAATCTAACTAGTTTAAAGTTCTATATAAAGCTCCTTAATCACCCTATTAACCTAATTTTATATTATAATAGGATTAACTATATATTAATATAGGCCTAATTAGTAATAAATATATTTTAATATCCTAGGACTAATATTAAAGCCCTTAGCCTTTAGGATATAGAAGAGGTCCTTTTTCTCTAAGCTAACCTAGAAAAAAAGAATCCTAATATAAGTATATAGTATAGTATTAGTATTTACTATATAATTTTACTTCTTAATACCCCACTTCTATAGGCATATTTTAATTATATATATAGTAAGCTTAATCCCATGCTAGTTAAGAAGGAATATCTAGAGAGATTAGATAGAGGTACTATTTTAATATAAATTAATTAGCTTAGCCTTATAAGGCTTAAGGTTAATAGAAGGGTAAGGCATTATAGTAATGCTTTATTATATAGATAGAAAGATTAGAGTTAAAGGGTTGATAAGATGATAAAAGGAGATCTATAAGGAGAGATAAATAGATCTTATATAGGCAGAATTACTAGCAGTCTATATTACCTACAGACCTAAATATATTTTTTCTGTTTTGTCCCAATGGCTTGCCGTAGGCCTTTAGTCTTCTCATTTTGACCGCCACGGACAACGGCAAGTGGCACCTATGCGGCTCGACGGGAACGGCTCCTTCCAGTACCTTGGTGCAAGGCAGCAAGTGTAAGCAAGCCAAGCTGCCGGGGCGACGCATGAATCTCACCCTTGTGGAGGCTCAGGTCTTGCCATTAGATAGAGAGGTAGTCAAACACGGGTTACTTGGCACAAGTGTAGTCCTCCTTCAAGTGCGGCATTGTCAGAATCGCAAATATTACAGGAGTTAATGGATACTAAGTTTGCATGAGGAGATTCACTTTTGTAGTTGAGACCTGACAGATAGGAAATGTCTTAATTTGAAGCCATGTATGCGTCTGCTACTCAGGAGAGAGAAAAATACGATACATTGTCGCTGTCTTGGAGGCAAATATTGATGATGGACCCACAACCTTGGATATCGAACAATGTACCTCGGGACAGCTACATAAGACATTCCTGGTTCGCCAACCATTTATTGCTCAGTGTCTCGGAAATTCCGCACCCAAAGTTCCATTCTTAGTGACAACGGGCTGGCACTCCGACATGACACCAACCATGCGAGACCACTGTCTCTTGCTGGGGTTGCGCCATTTGTGCAACGTAGATCGCTGAATTGTCATGTCCCCGGGCTTGATGATACGCGTTTCACCAGAGGACAGGGTGAGTTCGATCTCGCCCGCGACCTGGATGACAAAGTCCAGGCTCACGGTCCGATGCATAGGACTTTCCGAGTCTGGAGGCGTATCGATGTACCAAACATTGGCTCCGCCTCCCTGGGTGATCAGCGGATGAAGCTCGTTGACCGATGTCTCGTAGAGCTTGAGGTCGGTGCCATTTGTGAGCACCACAGGCGGCTTGTCTGTGGTATAGCCCAGACGCGCGAGGGCTCCGCCGAGATCCTTCACGACGGGATTCACAAGTAGGTAGACTTGATGCCTGCAAGCGTCTGCATGCAATTATAGTGTGCAATGGGACCTTGATGAATGAATGTCGAGCGTATGCATCAGACTGTAGAATGAGCAGAGAGAGGTTCAGAACATGAAGATATTTCGTTAATTCATTATGTATGTAAATCTATGTTTACTATTATATAGTGGAAGGAGCTATCTACTAAGTAAGATCATATAATTAGATCTCCACTATACTAAGTATGGCTACACACCCCTAGATTTAATTAATAAGGTTATAGCCACTTCCTAATTAGGTAGTTAATCTATAATTATAGTATTAAGATCTGCTATTTATAGTACTCTACTAGGCTAAGCCTAGCACCTTAAAAAATTAATTAAACTTTAGATAACTAAGTAGCTTTATTATAAAATCTATAATTATCTTATTATTAAAAGATGCTATAGGAAGACCTGCTTCTTAACTATTATATCTCTAATCTAATAATAATTAATATTAATATACTTACTATAAGCATGGAATTAAGTATTATAGGCTAGGTCTATAGTAGGCTAGCTATTAGTATTAATCTATATAGGGTATATACTATTAAAGCTAATATCTTTAAGGAGATAGGTAAGCTAGATAGCTTCCTTTATAGTATAAATAATARTAATATATTTAGCCTTATATATAGATAAAGAGATGACTAATTATAGCTTAGAAGCCTATAAGATAGGCCTATTACTAAATATAAAGATATATCTAGTAGTTAAATAGTATGTATTAATATATCCTATATAATCTATATTAATATAACTAATAATAATATCTAGCTTATACATGACATCTTTTATATTATAAGGCTTGTAGATAATTCTAATATCTAGGGTCTAATAGAAGAATTAAATAAGATGAATAAGATACTTAAAATATAATTTATTAGGATTTATAGTATATCTAGCTAGCTTCCTAATAGTAAAGGCAGTATCTAGCCTAGTCTATAATATTAGATATATAAYTAAGCTAACTCCTACTYTATATCTCTCTTTAARTTTAAGATTATATYTAATAGRCTTATCTAATTTAACTAGCTAAGCACCTTCTTCTATAGGTATTACTATAGTTTTAATTAAATATAGATTAAATATATTAATAAGATATTAAAGATAAGTATATTAAGATAGCTTAACCTATCTTTTCTTAATATCTAGGTCTATCTTTATGCCTAGATAATAGGTAGCTAGGCTRATAAATAAAATATTAAATAGTTTACTAATAGCCTTATATACCCCCTTAGTAATCTACTTAGAAGGTCTAGTAATCTCTATATTATTAATATATAAGATAAGGAGCATACTATAGATGTTAAAAAAGAGATATTTATTAATCTTAGATAGCTATAATCTAATCTTACTAATTTCACTATAGAAGATAAGATACCAGGCATATATAGACTACTTTAATCTATATAAAGGAAGTAATAATCTATATATATAGCTAGATTTATTATTAAAACCTAGTAGCTACTTTATATAGATAACTTTATTATTAAAGAATTTACCCTATAGAAAAGTAAGCTTAATATCTACCTTAATATAATAATAGCCTAAGATAGCTATAAGTATAAAGAATAGGCAGATAGTAGCTAGCTTTATAGTAGGGGAAAATATCTAGTTAAAGTCTATTCTAGGTATTTAGGTATAGCCTTTAGTAACCTATCTTACCTTAAATTAGATAATCTTATTATTAGTATTAATCTTAATCTTATAGACCTAATACCCCTTAATAGCCTTATAGCTAGTAGATAGGGCCTTAAGTACCTAGGTACCTTACTTAATAAGATTATCTACTTCTACTTTTATAGTATTCTATTAATTATCTGCTTTAGGAGAGTTAATTACCTTATAAAAGGAAGAAGGCTTAATAATATTAGTATAATTATTACTAATATATATATACCTAATAATAATATAATTCTATATATATCTTTCTATAGCTTTAGTATTAATATAATGTACCCCCTATTCTATAAGCTAAATTACTTCTAGCTAGGAATATTCTAGAAGGTCTTCTACTAGCTTACTAAAAAGATCTCTATATAGGAAGTCACTATCCTTAGTAATACTAGGACCTATCTCTATATATATTTATAGTATAGGGATGCTATCCTCTAGTCTAGGTAGATTAGGTATAGTTAGATCCTAGCCTTTAATAATATCTTAATCTAAATTATTATTATTAATGACCTTATTTAGATTACAGTTAGTAGATAGAATAGCTAGTAGATTAATAAATTTACTATAATTATTATCTAGATTATTATAGAGATCTAGATCACTTCCTTCTTTAAAAATAATATTATAGATATATTTAACTTTATTAGTTATTAATATCTAAATAATATATTACTTACCTAAGCTGGTGTAGCTAACTAAATAGTAATAAATAATATATAGATTAATCTTTATAACACCCTACTTAAATTTAATTTTATTAGTAATAATAAGATATCTAATTAAACCTAAGATCTATAGAGAGCTGATATTAGGATATTTACTAAAGTATATTTTATATAGAGTTATATTCTTACCTTAAATAGATAAGATATTCTTAATTAGAATAACTCCCTTTATAATTTCACCCTAGAATTTGCACAGAATAGTTTTATTATTAATAATAGTATAAACTTTTATTAATATTATATACATAAGATATTCTGTAATAGAGTTCTAACTATAAGTATATAATACTATAAATTCCTATTTAATAGATTTAGCTCTAGCCTATACTTAATTCTCTTTCTTAATAAATTCTCCTCTATTATTAGTATAAATAATTTACACCTTAACACCTATATACTCTTCTTCTTTAATAAAGAGCTTAATAAGTGGCATTACTTAGTGCCTATATTTAAGTAATTAGATAGTAACCTAGCTATTAAATTAATTTATAATAATTATCTAGTAGTAAGCTCTGGTGATATAATTATCTAGTATATTATTATAGCTACTACTAATATTAATAAAGATGTACTCCCTATATTACTTAATAGGAGATATAATATTATACCCCTTATAGATTATTATATTAGCTACTATATAAGATTTATAGGCATGCTTAGGAATTAATAATCCCTTAATATCTATTCTATTAACTATTTTAGATATATAGATAATATTAGGAATTAATAAATATATAAAATAATAGTGCTAAGTTATTAAATTAATCTTATCTTTCTTTAATATATAAATACTAGTATAATTATTATATAGTAGATCTAAAATAAGTATATATTACTTACTCAGGACCTCTTATCTAGTCTAGATATAAGTTTTAATATTAGAATAAGGTTTTACTAATTCTTACTTAGCTTACTTATAATCTTCTTATAGCATATAATCTTACTAAGAGAATAGTTAATTATTACCTCTCTTAGGGTAGTAAGGGAATGCTATTAGCTATATCTTAAATAGTATATCTAGCTTAGTTAATTTAACTAGCTTATTAGCCTTAATTACAGCATTGCTTCCTATAAGGTAAAGAATATATATATTCTAGATAATATCTCTATATCTAATAATTATTTTATCTAATAAGTAAGTAATAATAATACTATCTAGTAGAAGATTAACTTCTAGACCCTTATAGCCTAATTAAATAGTGCCTAGAAGGTTGACTACTACTTTAGGAATATAGAGAATATTAGTAATAATAATATATCTAATATATCTACCTAGATGTATAAGATATAAGATAATATCCCTAATTAAATTAGAATATATAATTTACCCTATTACTATCTTAATTCCCTATTTATATAGCTTCCTTAAGCTATCTATAAAGTTTATAGATATTATAATAAAGTATTTAGTAGCTCTAGAGTTAATTATCTAATTACTAGCACTAGTATATAGGCATAGAGCTAGATTAATAATAATAGCTACTATCTATATATCTTTAATATCTTATTTAACTAATTAAGAGGTAAGGATGCCATTATTATTAATTAAATTATTATTATTAGAGATAAGGACTCTATTATCTTTATTATTATTAATAGTATAGAAGGTAAGTATTATTTCTTTAAGTATTAAGGTAATTAATTACTAGCTATTTAGTATCTTATTATTAGTATCTATTATATAAGTATAATAATAATAATTAATTTAATTTAATTAATTAGATAAAGACTTCTTATTAGGCTTCTTATCTAGATTTAACTCCTAGTAGTTAGGCTTCTTATAGCCTATTTTACTATAATAATAATATTTCTAGTTCTTCCTAGTTTCCCAAGGCACCTTGCTGTTAGAATCTTTCTAGTTATTTATATTAGAATTAGAATTTAACTAATTTAATTAGTTTAATTTAGAATTAGAATTACTATTACCCTTCTAGGCTAGCTTCTTCCCTTTCTATACTTTTATAATATTTATAGATAATATATTAAACTTTATATACATCTCTTCTTAAATAAGAATCTATATAATACTATTAAATATAGTAATTCTCTTATTATAGTAACTATTAAGATAAGATATAAGAAATATCTCCTATATCTTACTAAAATTATAGAGTAAGAATTAAATCTTAATAGATTTAGAAAGCTACTTACCTTCCTTAAGGCTATAATTAAATTTATTAAGTGCCTAAGATAGTTTTAATATATAATCTTAGATTCTATTATAGCTATTATATACTATATTAATAGCTATTTATAGACCCTTAAAGGACTGCATATCTACTATTATATTATATTTATTATTAAGATAGTCCTAAATAACTTTAGATAATTCTAAATTAATTACTTTATATCTAATAGTATAAGATAGAATAGAATATATAGCTCTATAAGCCTTATTATCTATCTCCTCCTAATCTTAAATAGCTTTTTTAATTCTCTTCTACTACTTAATAAGCTTAGCTTTATCTAATAATCTAGTCTAATAGCCTACTTCTGATAGCTCTAGCTTCTTATAAGTTCTATTAATAGTCTGCTATATACCCTAGCTATATAGGTATATTTTTATAGCTTTAGACTATATTTAGTAGGAATCTATACCTATAAGTAATAATAGCTTGTGGAGATCTACTTAAGGCATCTTAAAGGAAGGTTTAAATAAAAGAATAAGGTTTTAGATATATCTAAGGGCAACTGCTGGGCTTCTGCACCTGTAAGGATTCTTAAATATAAGAATCTTTTACAGGGCCCTATCAACCGCGGCAATGAAAGGATAGTTTCTATCTTAGGTGGAATGTCTAGCCTATTTAGTTTTAGGTAAAATATCACCTAAAAGAGGCTTTTAAAAGTGAAAAGTAGTAAAATAGCTTAAGGAAAGAACTTAGGAATGATTTCTTAGAGCTCTCTAAGAGGCTCTAGGCTCATAATCTATAGAATAAGCAGAGAGAGGTTCAGAATATAAAGATATTTTATTAATTTATTATATATATAAATCTATGTTTACTATTATACAGTGGAAGGAGCTATCTACTGAGTGAGATCATGTGATCAGATCTCCACCATACTGAGTATGGCCACACAGACGAGACAGGGCCTGCTCACTGCCAGCCAATTGAGGGCCCTTCCGAGGATCATCAGTCCCCGACATAGCTCGGAATGGCCAATGATTGGTTATATGTCAGCCACTGTGGAAGCTGCATGGCGCCTTTTCCCGCTGTCTTCCGTTCTTGGACACCATGTATTTTCACATCTTAACCTGGCATCTTAGGACTATCCGACGGTAGCACTGCAGCTCGGCGTATGGCAAGCCTTTCTACCTCACAGGCCAACTCTGTCTGCAAGATGTCCTCGGCTTCCCCGGCCCAGCCGCATGTCTCCTTGCGACACAGGAGATACAAGGCCGCCCTTGCCTGCACAACCTGTCGTCGTCGCAAGGTCAAATGCGACGGCATCCGTCCAGGTGCTCCCATTCTCTTCTGACCCGTAGCTTCCGATGTATTTCTTCTGTCCCAAGTTGCAAATGCTGATTACGGTATTTCCAGTGTGTGGGAGATGCCAAACCAAAACAGAGCTTCAGGAAACATGCACGTACATCCCGGCGTCAGCTCGCCGTAGCCGTACTGTCAACGTTCCTCTTTCATCAGCTGCAGCATCTTCACAACTACCGACACCTGGTACATCCGCTCAAACATGCTCGGAGCAATCGGATCTCATCGGCAGTCCAGGCGCTCAAGCCGCCGGTGACCCAGGAGAATTCTCTTTCGAGGTCAAGGCTGCTGTGGAGGCCAAATTGGGGTTGCCGTCCTCGAAAAAGCGATGCCCTATTCCTCTGACGGATGCCCCATTATTTGGCCTGTTGTCTCTTCCAGAGATTATAGATGTCGCTGCAAATCCTGCGGACAATGTCCTTCCCCCGCGCAAGCATGCCGACCACTTGGTGAGCCTGTACTGGCGATGTCTCGATCCTCTGGAGCCGTTGCTCAATCACAGATCGTTCTGTACCGCGTACCAGGCCCTAGTTGACGGCAGAGAGATGGAATGCAATGAACAAATCTCTCTCTGCACGCTCAACCTTGTATTTGCTTTATCCACTCAATTACAGGAATCGACTCCTTCGGAACAGAGAGATAGCGCCAGCAGGACTTTCTTTCTTCGAGCCTGGCATCTGCTGCGTCCGGAGATCGTTCTCTGGCAACCCGGCTCAGTAGAGATCGTTCAATGTCTGATCCTTATGACCAGGTATCTTCAATGTACTCGAAATTTACAGCAGACGTGGATGGCACTGGGTTCGGCTGTGCGAATTGCCCTGAACATTGGCCTCGACCGCTCAGAGAAGAATCTGACCGTGTCGGATAGGGAGACCCAGTTGACACGGGATGTTTGGCAGCAGTGCGTATTCATGGACAGGTATGGAGAGTATTCCCACGTTTGTAGACCTGACCCTCTGCTGATTATAACCCAGAAACCTTTCTTGGTCGCTCGGGCGGCCTTCCACGGTACCGAGTGTGCCTTTCTTCTCGCTCGACTCACTTCGAAATGGTAGCAATCTACCTGGCTCCGACGATATGGTCAATGCTTCAGCGTCTGAGAAAATGCAAGAATTGGCCAAAATCACCGGTCACATTGGTCTTTCTCAAGTGCTCCCCGCCAGCAGTGCGGCGGAGACGCAAGACTTTGTTTTACAAACTCAAGCCGAACCCAGTGTGTGATGCAAGTTGATGAGTGTCTGGCTAGACTAGAGAACGGCCTTCCTCCCGTCCAGTACGATGCGGCCAGTGGTAAAACTGCCAATCTCTTCGACGGACGGTTGATTCTTCTTCGTCTCCGGTGAGACTTGCCGAGCCCTTGTTGCTAGTACATATATCAGACTCAGAGCTAAGTCTTCGCTTTCTTAGTCTGGCGCATACACGCATCATGCTTCTTAGGCCCATCATGGCTCGCTGTTGTCTCTCGCATCTGCATATGCAGAAAGTTTCTCCACCAGCTGAAACAAGCATAGGCGATCGTGTCCTCGAAACATGCGCCACGATCTGTGTTGAAAACGCACAGAAGCTCATCACGCTAGTTCAGGAGTGCTCGCGACCAGACAGGACTGGACTCATACCCTGGTGGTATCGTATTTTCTACCTCCGCATCGCGATGCTGCATTTGGTAACAGCGATGCTGCGACCTGATGTTTTCGGGACTGTGGTTTCGGAGTCATGGAACACAGCGGTCTCAGTACTTGGTACTACGAGCATCTCAGTCTATCTGCCAGGCGATGTCTGAACAAGTTTCAGATGATGTGGCAGAGGGTGGTTGATATACACTATCCACCCGCTCACGAAGCTCCTCCATCCCACGTAGATTACCATACAGGGCTCCAGGACATCTTTGAGTATCTTGGGTTTGACGTTCAGATTCCGGTGTTCGGGCTGGACGATTCAGCGTAGCTGGACAATGTGGATTGGACAACATGGTCTGCCTAGTATTCAGTTGCTATTCCCTTTGCTTGGTCACACTGGTCGGCGATTATGGATGACAGCAAGTCTGTAGTATACCTTTCCCTCGCCACGCCAGAGGGTTGAATATATCCTTTTACAACAATTGATAGAGCGGAAATGCGTCATCGCCCAGATGTGAGCAGGCTTTTCTGGGGGGCATTATGTCTCCACTTCCGGTGCAGCGATGAGATATAGTCCTACATTCGGGGTTTTTGGAACCAATCTTCAAGTACCAACAGAAGGAATTTCATAGTTCCGACTCCCGGAGGAGGATGAGGGGATCACGAGTTGCCTATGGAAAAGATACACGAATATGAAAGCAGATCCTGTCTCAAGTGCTTGCGGGACCCTCGACGATGGCCAACCGAATTGTGCGCACTCCTTTTGATCTTTCCCGTCTGCTATTTTACACCTCACGTCTATAGAAGCCCAGGGGTACCAGACTATACCGTATCATGCAATGGACGGGAAATACTTCGCACGAAGGACCTATGTCGGGCGCGAATGAGATAGGAAATTCCAAGCTGATCTTTCACCGAAACAACTCTCAACTCGTCGCGCCTTGAGTGAGTAGCACCTATCGAAGAACTATGGAATGGAGCGCAGAGTCCAGACCACTAAAGCTGATGCTATTGGCCCATACACTCGAGAATAATTTATTTTAGTTCGCACGAAATAGTTCATCATCGGATTTGACCCGCTGGGAACGAATACTGGCTTGGCATATCAAATCTGCCTAGCATTGACTGCGCCGTTTTGAGAATCAGAGAGACCCTCCCTACACTATAAATGAGATGTCGCTGTCTCTTAACAATTCATCCTTTGGTTCCAATGATACACATCTGAGGAAAGAAAAACAGCCATGCCAACTCCATCCAGTCAGGTCTCGGCACCAATGCCGACAATCACGGCGCCCTGCACCTTAGATACATGTCCCCTTGACTGGGCTCTAGTGCGCTACATGCCCAGTCTTCCAGGAAATGCTCTATACCTCGCTCTCTTCCTCATCATGCTCCTTGTCCAAATCTATCAGGGAGTCCGCTCCCGCACCTGGTCCTACCTCGCTTGCATGACTGGCGGGCTCCTTCTTGAAGTCGTTGGCTACGGCGGACGCCTCATGCTTCACTCAAACTCGTTCAATTTCTCTGCTTTCCTCCAGTAAGTACCGATACACAGTCTGCATTCACCTGTCCCGTGCGATGCTAAAGAAGCTAGGTACCTCATCTGTCTTACCATCGGACCTGCCTTCATCACCGCAGCCATCTACCTGTGCTTTGGCAGGGTCATTATTGTCTACGGCGAAGGCTTCTCCAGGATTAAATCTCGAACATATGCCATCATCTTCGTGGCCTGCGACCTTCTATGTCTCATTCTCCAGGCCGCAGGGGGAGCCGTCACTGCCACCGCAGGACGGGACCAGGATGACCTCCGCCATACCGGGGTCAACATCATGATCGCAGGTAGCGGCGCAGGTTGCATCGCTGGGGGCGTTCATGGCGCTTGCCATCGATTACCTGTGGAGACTGCGCCGACATCGACAGTCACAGTCCTGCATGCTCTCATCCGGTGGCAGCTGGAAATGGGGAGGGTTTCTCTGGGGTTAGTTCCATATCCACAAAGGTCAGCTCTATGGAAGGATATTCTAACTGATCGTACATCAGGATTGGGAATTGCAAGAAAAACAACAACTTCAATGCAGAACAAATTTTTGAAATTTCTTACCTAAATCAATGTCTTTTAACCTTAAAATTTGCCTAATTTCTCGTGACGATGACCGCCTTTAATTAATCCTAATTTTATAGGGTCTTGATTACTATATTATTATTAAAGCCAGGGTGGCCGCCCCTAATAGCCTCTTATAGTAGTGAAAAGGGGCTATAGAAAACTCTATATAATTATATCCTAGACCTTCACCATGATACAAGCATCTATTTAAACTATCTAAAGATTTATAATTAAGGAATCCTAAAGTCTCTTATTAAGCTAATTACTAACATGTATATTATTATTAAGGAGGTCCTTAAAAACCCTCTAGGTAATAACTAAAGGAAGGTAGTTATTAACCTCTATAAGATTACTCTTAATATTAAGAAGAATATCACCTCTACCTAGTACATTCTAACTACTTAATCTATTTCTATATCTACTAAGGTTTAATTATATATAGCTACTACTATAGGGGCACCCCCTCTAGGCTATATAATCTCCTTCTATAGCTCCTTAAGTAGCCCTAGGGCTACCCCCTTAGAACTAAGTAAGGACTGTAAGGTTATTATTAAACTACTAGATATTAGTATAGTAAGCATGTTCTAGCGCCTGAAGATAGTAGAGATAAAGAATAGGGCTAAGAAGGCCTATATAAAGGCCTTAAAGAAGACTATAATAGCTACCTTTATATTTATTAAATTTATAGCTACTTACTAGCTTAAGTTAGGTAACTTAAGCCTTAGTCTATAGACTACTTAGTAAGTAGAGATTATATACTACTACCCTAGCTAGGCTAAATTATTCTACTAGGGGGCTGTTATCTACCTACTAACTTAGGATATAGTAGTTTATAATATCTAGGTTAAATTAATTAGTAACCTAGTAGACCTTAAGAAGGCTAAGTAAGTTACTAACTAGTTACTAGCTATAAACTATTTTATATAGGGTAATTTAGTAAAGATTATCTATATTACCTAGCTTATAAACTAGCCTACTAATAAGAAGTCTTCTACCCTAGTAATTAAGTTTTCTACCCCCTAGGCCACTAACAAAGCTATTAATAAGGGAACTATCTAGGATTCTGCTATCCTAACTATAGTCTTATATAACTAGTCTACTTATATCTGCTAGTGCTTTAACTATTAGTAATATAGCTATATAGAAAGTATCTATTCTAATAAAATTATCTATAGCCTCTATATAGGTAGTTATAAGACCTATAACTACCTGCTCTAGCAGGCCACTAGCTAGAAGTTAAGAAAGTATACTAATTATAGGGGTACACATGCTGCCTAGTCTAAAGGGTATAAAAAATATATAAAGGAGGTAGATAAGGTATAGGTAGCTTTCTACTATTACTAGTAATATTATTATATTCCACCCTACCTATAAGACTTCTAAAAGGATCCTAAGAGTAGTAGCTTAGATTCTATTACTATACTAAGTATCTCCCTTCTAGTATCTACTCTAGACACCTTAGTAAAGGGCTCCCCTATATAAATAAAGGAATCTAAGGGTATTAAGAGTGCTACTACAGTAAAAAAAGCTACTAGACTATCTAAGGGGTCTAAGAAGGTAAGATTAGAGCTATCTTATAAGTAGTTACTCTATAGCTAGGTACCTACCTTAACATCTTCTCTAATATCTCTATTAGACTAGAATATTAATAATATCTTATTTACCCCCCTAGTACTATACCCTAAGGCCTCTTCTATATCTATAAAGAAGAAGGCCTTAACTAACTAAACTAGCTCTACTAGTTAAACTAGATCTACTAATTAAACTAGCCCTACTATCTTTCACTACTCTGCTTAAATTATAGATCACCTAAGTAATATTAACCTACTAGACCTAACTAATAAAGATAATAATCACCCCCCTAAGTAACTATAAAACTAATAGATAGCTACTGCACATGGGACCTATCTTAATATATACTAGGATAATAATACTACTACTAATAATAAGAATAGCTGCACTAAGCTCCCTGATACCCCTAAGAGTAACTAGCAGCCTAGCTCTATCCTATAAGATAAGAATACTAATACTAACTCTAGTAGCACCTAGGCTGAAAAGAAGAAATAGAAGCAGGGGGTGGATACCCCTATATAACTAGAGAGGGCTATATAACTAGAGAAGGATCTCTAGGTTAACTTCTCTATAGAAACTAGGATACTCTAGTTCACTAGTAGCTATTAAAAGAGTATATAGAACACCCTATATTATACTTTCCATAGATAGAATATTCTAAATACTATAATATAATGTATACTATTCTAAGAATATAGTGATGGCTTAGTTCTTATATAACCTAGAGGTCCTAAGGGTAGACATTATCACTATATAAGAACTATAGGATAATCTATTTTAGGATACTATCTATTACCCTGCTTAAGTAACTTATTAACTACTATATCCTAAAGTAATAGAGACTAGAGGCTAGGCCTATGTCTACCTTTATATCTCCTATAAGATAAACCCTACTAAATAGAAATATATAGCCTACTTATAGGACTGCTAGGAGCTTAAGCTATATCATAATATAGGGGTACTCTAACTATATAATATATATAACCTATATCTAGATACTAACACCTAAATTAATACCTAAACTAACACCTAAACTAACACCCTTAACCTCCTAGAGCAGGCCCTAAATTAGTAGGATAGTAGCTACCTACTCCTAGGAGATTTCAACCTCTATTATCTAGCCTAGGGAGGTAATCACATCTAATACACTAACCCTAGATCTAATAGGCTCCTAGAACTAACTAACACCTGGCTCCTAGACCTTTAGATAGAGCTAGGCACTATTACCTATAATAAGTAAGGCCACTAGTTAACTATTAATCTAATATTTAGCTCTATAGACCTAATAGCCTATCTTATAGCCTGCAAGGTGGCCCCTAATATCTATACTAATTCTAACTATCTACTAATTTACCTACTTCTTAATATCTTAATACTACTACTGCAGGCCCTGAAATACCATAACTAGAAGGCTATAAATATATAGAAGCTCTATAAATTTATTAGTAAGAATACTAACCCTTATAGATAATATAGAGATCTTAAAACCCCTAATTAGATTAAGAACACTACTAACTACCTTCTTAAAACCACCTAGTAAGCTATTACCTATTCTACACTATGGGTGCACCCTTCTAAGTAGACTAACCCTAACTAGATACCTGAATATATTAAGATAGTTAAATAAACCCACCTCTACTAATAAATCTATACTAATATATATATTAATAATAACTAAATCACGTACATAAAGGCCTATAATTATAAAGGAAAGGTCATCTCCTAATCCCTGTAGTAGGGCTATTATAAATATATCTAGTAGATAATAGATTAAGGCCCCTGCAGTATGTAGTATATCTCTAAATAGGCCTATAATTATACTAGGGGCTAAGTAGGCCTTATTCCTACCCTTTAATATAGGAGCTATATTATAGAGATAGTAGAGTAGAAGGCTAACCTACTTTAAGAGGCCTTCTTCCTCCTACCCCTAGCCACTAATCTCTTAGATATTAAAGGAAGGGAATATAACTAATTATAGGATATTCCCTTTCTAGAAATTAATAAATATAAGATTACTAATACTATTAGATAGGCACCTCCTAATAAAGCACCTAGGCCTAATACTATCCCTAATAAGGTCTAGCATGCCCTAACCACTATCCTAGTCTTTATCCAGGCACTTAAAACCCTCTTTAATATCTATATCTATATTAGCTACAACCCCTAGCACTTCTAGATATCTACTATAGTTATCCTCTGTAAGGTAGCCCCCTGGGATTTCTATCTTCTAAAGTCCTACTATCTTATCACCCTACTTAATACCCTAGGTAAGGTCCTAGAGTTAATAATTATACTCTATATCTTCTAGGTGCTAGAGGAATATAGCTTACTCCTAAATAGCTACCTAGGTAGCTGGAAGGGTATCTCTATTAACTATACTATTTAACTAATTATTAATATAATCTATCATACCTAGGGGCATAGCTAGAAAGTTAGTATACTTCTTCTAGATATCTCTAGTATATTTAATAATATCTCCCTCTAATAGCTAGTGCATAACCTCTAAACTATATAGCTAGGCTAGATTACTAACTAGCTATAATCCTTCCTATCTAACTACTACATATGCCTGTAGCTGCCTAGATACCTTAGTAAGCTATTTATAATACTTATAAAGATCCCCTAGGGCAGCCCTCTCTTACTAATCCTTTTCCTAATCTTTAATACCCTACTAATTTAAATGCTGGTCCACGGGCTTAGCAGTATAAAAATAATATTAATTAGCTAGATAGATAACTCCTATATACTTACTATCAGCCAGACCTATGCCCAGAATATTATAGTTCTAGAGAAATACCTAGAGAAGGCAGACTACTAGGCTAGTAGGCATGCTGCTAAATTCACCCCTAATAAATTTAAACTAATCTATTTTACTAATCCTAAGGAACTAGAATTAGAACTAGAATCTTCTCCTAAGCTAGCTCTAAGAAGCCCTATTAATATCTAGGAACTAGGTAAATATAAAGGCTATAATTAAATACCTATCTACTATAGGGAAACCACTATCTAACCTACTAAATTAGCTAGATACCTTAGTATCTAGCTTAATAAAACCCTCTCCTTTAATACCCACTGCACTAAGGTAATTAACTATATAAATAGTAGCCTGGAAGTGCTCTAAAGCATTACTAGATTAACCTAGGGTACCTCCCTGAAGGCTATATACATAATCTATTATAGTATAGTTATTCTATAGCTCCTATATAGGGTAGTAGCATGGTTCAGCCCTACTAGTAGGCTAATCCTAGCAGGGGAATAGACTAAGATTATTAATAAATTTACTAAGATCTAGAAGTATATAGCTATCCTAATTAGTAGTACCTTCTAAGGGACTACTATAGCTATACTAAATATAGAACTATATCTACTACTAATCTACCTGCAGATGTAATAAATCACTGAGGAAACTACTATTTAAATCTAGATAGGGCTATGGTTTACCTGCCCCTAAGGACTTATAGGGAAGCTATAACTAACTAGAGAAATATAGTAGAGTAGCCTTGCTCTGCTAGAGGTACTTAGAAAGAGGGGTGGCCTACTAGCCCCTACCCTAAGATATATAGAGGAATAGAAGATATAGAAAGTATATATACTCCCCCCCTAGGAGCTCCCTCTCTACTATATAATTAAAGATTATAAAGCTGCACTAAAGACCTATAATAAGATATATAAGGAAGATAATTAGTACTTAATTATCTATACTAATAGCAGTAGCTACTAGGGCTATATAAGTGCCTTAGCTATCTGCCTCTATAACTAATAGATCCACTAGAATTACTTAGGCACAGAGGCAGACTTAACTATATATACTACTAAACTAGATAGAATCTATATAGTAATAAATATAGCTATAGAACTAAGCCCCTGCTTGCTCACCCTCTTTACTAATAGCCAGGCTACTATCTAGGTAGTCTAGAATCTATATCACCCCTCCAGCCAATATATTCTGCACACTATATATAGAAGTATATAGGCCCTAGGGGCATGCAGGCTACCTCTAGAGAATATTAAGATATACTAGATCCCTGCCCATGTGGGTGTGGCAGGGAATAAGGCTATAGATAAGATAGTAAAGAAGGCCGCTATATAAGGTGGTAAGGTTTAATTAAGCTTAGTAAGGCTAGAATAACTAATTATCTAGCTTGCTATAGTAGCTAAGTAAGCTATTCACTAATAAATCTAGTAATACTAGAAGAAACAGTGGGAGATGGAGAGAGGGGCTAAGCTAATATAGTAGCTAATTAAGGCCCCCTATAAAAAGAACCTAGGCTTATATAAAGGTTTGCTAAAGCTATATATATTAATTATTATCTAAATATAGACCATGCAGATTAGTCTACAACACTTCCTTTTTAAGATTAAGGCCTATAATATAGACTAATGCAGCTATAGAGAGGGGTCTTAGACCCCTAAGTATATCCTCCTACAGTATTTATTACATATAGAGGCACGCAGGGAGATAATTAATAAGCTTTTTAATAAGGGATTTAGGGGGAATATATCAGACTATAACATGCTTATATCTAATCTGCAGGTAATCCACTATATTACTAAATTCATACATTAAACAGGCCTGCTTAGCCAGTTTTGCTACACTAAGATGACAGAACCAGTAGAACTAACAGAGCAGGACCAGGAATGTGGAAGCCTCCTATAAGGCTCTAGGATAGATATAGAAGATGATGGTTAGATGGACTACCAAGCAGCTGCCTAGGAAGGGTCTTCCTAGGTGTGGAATCACAGTACACTCAGAATGACTATATGGAATGAGGTGGGATAGGTGTTTAACACACTAAGATAGTGTAGGGGAGGTATATAGCCTAGTGATAGGCTGCTTTAGTTATTTTCTACTTTTAATATAGCTATACACTAATTTCTTATATCTCTTCTACATTTATGGGTTAATTATGGGCTTCAGGTGTTTAGATACTAGATTCCTGCTTCATTAGCAAAGCGCCTGCATAGCTAATTGCTTCAATAGATAGGCTACATCAGGTTAATAGAATCTTGATTGATTGATTGATTGATTGATTGGGAATTGCAACTTTCCTCATCTTCATCCGATCGATCTTTCGTACAGCAGAATTGAACGGCGGATTCAGCAGTGACCTGGCCAACGACGAGATCGCATTCATGATCCTCGAGGGGGCGAGCATGGTCGTCGCCTGTGGCAGTATGAGTATATTCCACCCCGGACTCAGTCTAAAAGGGCATTGGAAGGATCACATGTCGTGGCCGTTGAAGGCCCGACAGGGCGATGGTGTTTCGTTGGCTGAGGCTGGACAGGGGAATAGACATTAGCACAGTTTATACAAAGGTGGAAGGTTTTACCTAGAGCGGGTACATGGTCAGCACTGAAAGTGTCTGCCTTGAGAGGGACTCCATGGCGAACGTTATTGAGCCCATACAGCTGGCTATTTATGTAGCTGGACACGATTGGACAAATATTAAAACGACCCCAATCTTGTCAATCGCCAGGCAGAATTTGTCCAGTGCCATTGGTCTGATCGTATTTGTCTTCCGAAACAGGTATAATGTGGACTAAGTAGACCGAGATATATGCGATATCCACCCACGCTATGTATATGGAGTATCTCCCTTTGTTTCAGAATATAGAACCTCTGCCTTTGTAGTCTTCATATTGATAATTATCTAGAAATACGCAAGGAAGACGCCGTACAATGCGCAGAGCCCATACTAAATCCCGGACAGGTTGCCGAACATGCAAGTATGACCCCTTCCTGCCCGAATGTGGCACAAGTCAGTGTACATCAGATACAATATTCGCTGACTCAAACTTACGTACTGCTACAGAACCCGGTGAATACGCTGCGACGAGACATGGCCCTCCTGAAAACGTTGTACGACCACAGGCCCTCGCTGCGATGGCCCCAAGCGCGCCTTGAGCTTTGGAAGTCAGCATTCGGGTATTCCTATTCCTGTCAGAAGGCGCAGGGCAGTCCGCAGACTTCTGCGCGCGCTTCTCTCCTGCTCATCCAGTATTACGTCGCGCTGGTAACCGCATCTACATCCGTCTATGCCGAGGAAACGCTGTATGATCGGTTCCTGTATGCCTTCAAGCGGATTCTTTCCCTGGCGAGATCATCCAACGCCTGTCAAGAGAGTGCCGCTGCAACTTCGCTAGTCGGCGTTCCAATGAAGATGGGCGTCATTTACCCGTTGTATTTTGTCGCAACAAAATGTCGAGACTCGGCGGTCCGGCATGAGGCCATCGACTTGTTGTCCTCGGCGCCATATCCGGATGTGGTCTGGGAGGCGCCGATACTGGCGGCGGTGTCACGAAGAGCGAAGGAAATGGAGGAGCTAGGACTCGACAGCAATCAGCCGATCCCCGAGTTCAAGAGGCTTCATGGCCTCGGGTGGGCAATTGATTATGAATCTCGCCAAGTGCGGGTGGAATTCCGTAGACGGTCCAACGGAATGGACGGGGAGTGGGATGAATGGGAGGAATGCCTTAGTTGGTAGACAAATGTATTCTCTTCTCGTGCACCGTAGTATCTTTTGGAATTGTTCTAAGTGGGTTTACTGATGATTTTGGCTGCCAATGTTCTGTCTTCAAGGCTGTCCTTAAGTCCGTGGAGATAAGCTTCCGCTATAAACACTGCAGGGCCAGAGGGACGCACATTAGCGTTCATGCTCTTAAATCCTCGGAGATTATCAACTCAGTCATACAGTCAGTGTTGAGAAATAGTGGCTATGCGTCTATAAATTCCCCTTCTACCCGATGGACGTCTCGTCTAGTCACACATCACAACAGTTCTACTCACACGGCATGGCCACCTTTCAGACAATCCTTATCATCGGAGCCACCTCGGGAATTGGCGAAGAATTAGCTCGCCAGTATCATGCCAAAGGCAAGAAGGTCATTATTTCGGGTCGTCGGACAGGGAGACTGGGTGCTCTGACAACTGAGCTACCAAGGTTGGGCTCCGTCCAGGTATGTCAACGCTCTATAACATACGGCTGTCTAACACAAGGCAGATGGACGTAAAGGATCTTGCAGCTTTGCCAAGCAAGATAGATGAAGCATTTGCGAGATACCCAGATATTGATGCGGTGATCATAAATGCCGGCATCCAGCATCTCCTGGACTTCAACGCCACCGATGCCTCTGCAGCCCAGTACCCAACCACAGAGGCAATCTCCGATGAGATCACAACCAATCTGACCGGTCCAACCGTCCTGGCACGCTGCATCATCGAACACTTCAAAGCCTCGCGACCAAACCAACCTTGTCTTCTAGCCTTTGTGACTTCGGGTCTGGCGTTGGTCCCAGCCGCTGTGTTCCCCGTGTACTGTGCCACAAAATCAGCGCTGCATTGCTTCACGGTGCTCTTGCGGAACCAGCTCAAGGATACCTCTATCAGTGTGGTGGAGATTTTGCCTCCGTACGTGGAGACAGAATTAGATAAAGATCACATTGAGGAATTGGCCAGACGCATGGGTGGGACGAAGCCGCAGGGGATGCCGGTCAAGCAATACGTTGACCAAGTGGTGCGAGGATTAGAGGTCACAGAAGAGAATGGGAAGATCCAGAAGTATGTCGCTGATGGATTCCCTCGTGCGGCGGTCGACGCATGGATCACGGCTATCAGTCCCATGACAAAGATGTTGCATACCGAGCTATAATTCTAGATAGCTGAGGAAGTACTCGGGTCGAGAAGGTCTTCAATTGGGAATGTTGAGTCCTGGCCGAGAAGAAGGCTCTCGTACGCAGTCTCAAAATCGTCTCCTTGCACGAATGAGTCCCACGCATCCTGGTAGATTCTATTAGCTTTGATCCTGTCATACTAGAAAACAACGCACCCAATTAAGGTCAACCATATCCATGTTGGCTTCGCCTGCACCATCCCCATCCGTACGAAGATGAACATCAGAACTACCTGTAGAGATAGACTGCCCGCTCAGAGTGGGATCGGAAGAAAGACCATTTTCGCTATTGGCTGAGACTCCCGGGTCTATAGCTGGGACTTGTCGATCTGGAATACCGAGTTTCGGACCTAAGAGCTCCAACATTGTGTCTAGCACGAGTCCGACCTTGCCTGCCTCATGATTCTCACACGCCAGGTTGTTCCAAATGCGGCGGGAGGTGTCGAGAGCCTGGAATATCTCCTGGACACGGGCATTTGTCTGCGAAGGAACCCCCTGGTCTGTCCGAGTCCAGTATTGCAGATATAAGCACAGCACCATCGCAGCCAGGCTAAAGTTCGCACTGTCGGGAGTGATGGTGTATCCATGGAAGCTGCTCAAACACCCTCCCGGCTGAGCCTCTCTGTATATGCTAGCCTGATGTTGGAGTAGGGTCATGGACGAATCGATGCTTCTTTGCTGAGAAAGAGCAAATGTGGGGTCTTTCCGGGCTTCTTGAAGATACTCTCGATGCAGTGCGGTGACTGCCTGGTGGTGAAGTGTGTCTAACTGGACTTTTTGCACCATTACATATGCAGGTTCGTTTGGCGCATTGTCCCAGTTGTTCAGTTGCAAGTGGGGAGGAATCGACCCATACGCCTCCACAAGGTCGCTGTCAAGTTGCAACACTCTTTCGTAAGGCTGCCGCTGTACGGAATTCAAAAATTCGACAACCCGTCTCATCACTCGGGTGAGCTTGCTCTTGGCCAGTAAATACCCGATTGGAACACTCGCTGAAAACGGTCTTGACGATGGCAACTCGGCCATGCCTTCATCTATGTCGCTATCGAGGAGATTGCGCGGCGGAGCCGTGTCAGAGTCCTCCGTCCGGATAGCAGCTGGGATGCCAAGATGAAATGAGGACATGCAGTCAATCTGGTCGATCGAGCTCCAGATCCTGCGGCGCATCTCCCCCTCAAAGGGCGTCAGATTGGAGAAATGGGACGGATCGCGGTGCAATCCCAGCCTCATTGCCAGTCGCACGATCGAGCCGATGTGTGTAATCAATCCAGCTCCCCATTCTTCACGTTGAGAGAAACCAAAGATGCCGTGTGCGATCATCGCTTGGAGCGTCTGCAGATTGGTCTGGTTTGGTTTGATGCGCTCCAGACACTGGCCGGACTTGCTGTGGTAGAGTTTCCCGAGCGCCTCAGACATCCCCGAGTCGGCTTTTGCATCAGGAAGAAATTTCATCGCCAAGCTGAATATCGAATACAGCAGAGCTAGCCATGTTGGAGTGGTAGCTGAGGGGTTCTTCCAGTATTCTTCGTACTGTTTACAGTCAGCGACGATTGACTAACTGCGAAGGATGGCTGCAACCTGCTTCATGAACGTCGAATAATGAATCGAATCTGCGTTTTTTGTCAGATGATTAGGGATCAGCAACATCATTCGAGAAACCTACACCTTACGGGGCCAACGAAAGAGTTTGGAGCAAGGAATGCTGATATCAGTCTATCGGCTGCGGAGCGAGACGGCATGACCGCTAGCAGCTCCTCATTCAATCCAGGCGCAGTTCCCTGGGATTGATTGCTTGTATCCTTGTGTAACTCATCTTGGATGGTCAATGTCGCCAGCTAGAGAAAGCTTCTATCAGCACTTCAGCATGTTCCATGTGTTGACATGATGAAGCATACCTCACTGAGGACACTATCCCAGTGACTACCACTTCGATAGAAAAGTCCGTCAAAGAGCCACCCATGGACCGGACTTGTGGCTCTGCCCTCCAATGGAGATGCTGAGCTATTCACTTTCTCTCGTCGACTGGGACGAGTGGCATACAGACAAAGATTACTGGATCCCCGCATCACACAATTGTGGCAGGGCTGATGACGATCGCATCGCAGTCTAACCGTGTCAGTTCCATATGTATTATAATCCCATTGGATATGTTAGAGCACATACTTGCGCACCCGGCACGAAGCACAAGAAAGCGGGACTCGATTGCGTTTTGCAGGGCCGGTTCTCGATGCAGGTGGGGCGTTAAATGATGATACATCCATGTCGACATGTACCAGTAGAGTAGGTAATAATCAGTCGCCTTGACGAGTTATTCCTGGTTCCTCTGTCCACTGATAATTTGATGACGGAAGAAAGTCGAGATGGGGAGGAGAAGCTGAGCTGAGGGAGGATAGGCTATGATTGGTGGAATTGTGCAGCCATCGCTTACCTCATATCCCTGCATAAGAGTGAATAATTCTGAATGTATAAATTTGACTGTCTTTTACTTATATTACCTCATGCTGCTTTTTCCATAGATATGCCATGATGATTAAAAATAAACCATTAGCTATATTCCCAGACACTGTATGTATCGAATACTTATCTAGTGGGGATATAGAACGCTTAGTCCGGATATATATATTTTGAATATGTAGTACTCCTTCTCCTCTCCATTACTAAGGCATATGGTGAGAGATGACACTTGTAAAGATACATTTTAAGTGTTTCATACAAATCGTACAATCAGAAAAGGTTACCTTAAGGAAAGGTATATAGATAGATGTTGGGGATTTTGTGAGCGATATGGCGGATGGAAGTGGCCAGGTGATTATTCATCTTCATGTTGATTGTTAATCATGGCAAGCCATCTTTATGCTCTCAGCCTATGCCTGAGTATCGGATGGACTACTAATCATTTATACATAGTTAAGTGTAGCTATGTGGTTATTATTGACTGCAATCACTAATCAAAAATTCATGATGGAGGACCGTCTCCACCACGAGGTAAATGATCACTAAACAATAATAAACCATTATTACTGTAAAATGATATGAACACCCTCACTTCGAGGTCATTGAGTTATATATTAACCAAGACCGCCTCCCGATAAGCATATCTTTTCTCATACACATTACTTCCTTATTCTAACGACAGCCTCCAACCAAATGCCTTCCGGACTTGTCTTCATCACCGGTGCTACCGGCTTCATCGGGAGCGCTGTCGCCGTGGAAGCCCTCAAAGCAGGTTACTCGCTGCGAATCAGCATCCGCAAGGAGTCACAGATCCCCAAACTCAAGAAGCTTCTGGCGCAACTCGAAGACAAGATAGAGTTCGTTGTCGTGCCTGACATTACTCAGGAATCTTCCTTCGCAGGAAAGCTGGATGGAGCCGACTATGTGCTTCACCTTGCGTCGCCTCTTCCTCACGGGACAGAGAAAGAGACGTACTTTAATCCGGCTGTAAAGGGCACCACGGCCATTCTGAGAGAAGCCGCCAAAGTCAGCACGATCAAGAGAGTCGTGATTACGTCGTCCATTGCGGCACTCATACCCCTCACCGGAGTCCCTGAAGGAGGGGTCGTCAGAGGTCAGTTTCCGATCACTCCAGAATAGTAGTCAGGCCGATGATCGATGCTGATTGACCGTGCATAGAGAACAATGGTTGGGACCTGACCGTCGACCCAAATGCCGACTTCACGGGTCCAGATGACGGCGCCACCTCGTTCAAACTCTACCACGCCTCCAAGCTCCTAGCAAACAACGCCAGCTGGGAATTCAAGAACACCGAGAAGCCGCATTTCTCGCTTGTAACTCTGCATCCTGCCTTTGTCTTTGGACACAGTTATGTGCAGACTAGTCCGGACGAAGTCCAGGGTGGTACAAATGGACTGATCTGGGGAACCGTCATGACCGGCAAGCCAGTTGGAAACATTACGGGAGTGCATGTCCAGGACGTGGCTGAGGCACATATTAAGGCGCTTGATGAAAAGGTGTCAGACGGGTCCAAGTTCTTGTTGGCTGGTAAAAAGGCATCCTGGAGCGATGTTGCTCGCATCGTGAAGAGAGACTATCCTGGGATTGGCGCGAAGATCACGGAGGATATCCCAGGAGAATCTTACCCAGTGGACACAACCGAGGCTGAGAAAGTCTTGGGGATGAAATGGAGGTCGCTGGACCAGATGGTCAAGGAGGTGGTGGAGCAGCAGTTGGGCTTGATGAAACGGGCGAGCATGTAGACTGATGCTATGTTTGTTATCACCATGTCGATTAAATCAGACGGATCACTGCACTATTTTCAGTTGGACAACTCGTTAGATACTCGACAGGGATTATGTACGTCAGAGCAGAGGATTGCCATGAGGGATATTATGTCAAATAATTGCATGAAAGTTCTGGTATTACAGCCTCTATTTCCTTCATATTGGATGCAACAGTGTCTCGTCGCTTTCATGCTCAACATGCTGCTCGAAATACTGGGTCACGCCAACAAATTGCTCAAGGATCAGTGCAGAAGGTGGATTCAGGGGAGCCAGTTCCTAAGGGATGCGCGCCACCGCGATGTAGTAGTAACTGTCAAGGTGTTGCATTGGGTATCCAGGCAACAATTTGCCTAAACCAGGTAATAAGCAAAGGAATGAACAACGGCGGCAACACACAACAAACATAGGCTCATTTTCCCATGTAACTCAAGGCACCACAGTAATCTTCCAGCTCCTATCATCTGCCACGCTTTCCGCGTCCGTAGCGGTAGCTCAGCAGTCGAAAATAGCTCTCTGCAAGCAGAACTGAGGAGAGGATATAAGCAAGCGACCTTAGGGCTCTATGTCTCAGCACCAGAGATGATAACAGTTTAGTTAAAGAGGAGTGAGCAGCCCAGTAAGAACATGCAGCGCCAAAGCCGCCGAAAAGAAGACGGGGACCACCCTTGCTGTAGAGGGAAGAAAGCGTCCGTATAAGTTGTCGGCAAGAGGGAATCCGCTTTCCCCCCCCCCTACTTCATGAGAGTCGGTCTGGGTCTCAGCGGTTTCGAGTATCAGTATGGACATAGCCACATTACCGATGACATATCGAATCTTGCTGCCTTTAGTCCCGGGGTAAAGACGGAGACTTCGAGAGAAGGTCAATACGTACTAGCAGCTTGAGGATAATACTCGCCACAATTGGGATTAACCAGGTAGAATTATTTGTCTGGGCAGGTTCGTCTTGCCACAGCCTATGAGCCCGCGCAAGGAGAGGGTCATCGCCCGAGGAATGGATAAATGTGTTCAACAGTTCGCGGAAGAGTGACAACAAGCAGTTTGGGCGCGGAGAGTATGCCATTATCTGAGCTTTCACCACAAGCCTTAGTGGTGAGGGAGGGATGAAAGCGAAATAGGGTTATAATGCCTGCCCATGTATATATGATCTCTCCTTTAGAAGGGAATTCGTTTGCCCTTCCTTCCAACCAATCGCAAAAAAAGCTCCATGTTGGGTCAGTACTAAATTAGCATTGGCCAGTGATCTAATCTAATACAATATATAGATGATAAAGGTCAGGCCACATTGCCTTCAGTTTGATTCTTGTGTTCCTGATAAAGGACAGGCAGAAGCTGCCAACGTCTGACAGTTTTGGACTATGTTAGTAATCTTCAATCTTCTCAGTGACTCATAAAAGCACAATTCATGACTCATTCCAGTCCGACGTGAATGGCAGGGCGGTGCCCAATTCTTAGAGTGCCATGTCTCTTTGGCGATTTACTCACTGGGAGGAATTGTAGATACTATTCCGGGGATAGCGCTCTAGCCTCTGGCAGGAGAATACGAGATTTGAAGTTCTACAATGGCAAGGCCAAGCTATCAATAATAATAATAGTATTAATAATGGGACATTCATAATAGCTGCCCCTGACTAGCCCACTCTTGTCCGCTTAATCCTTCAGTCTTCAATCCCACGACCGCCTCCAAACGAGCCAGAATTATATCTCCAATTCTCCACAGCTTTGTCACTAGCACTCCAGTCTAAATAACCTTTTCTAAACTCAATCGATCGACACTGGACGAGAAACCAATGAGACTCGACCCTGGCCTGTTTTTGGCGGCTAGTCTGGCTTCCCTCGTGGCTGGCTCCTCGTCTGGCCCCATCGTCAACGTCGGTTATTCGTCTTATCAAGGCTATTATGAGGCCTCTACCGGGTTGAATATCTGGAAGGGGTAGGTATTCATCTAGCTTACTGCCAACGGACTTCGTACTAAGATTGATCTGGCAGTATTCGATATGCATCGCCTCCCGTCGGCCAGCTACGATGGCAGCCTCCACGACCTCCAGCCAAAGATACCAGCCAGATCATCCCCGCCGTGGACCAGCCTCCTATTTGTCCCCAATCAGGTGCTGCAGGTACCCCTGCGATCTACGGGTTCAACTCTAGACCCGGTGACGAGGACTGTCTTTTTCTGAATGTCTATGCGCCGCCTGGAGCAACCGACCTTTCCGTGTTCGTTTGGATCCGTAAGTTGCTTCTTCTTCCCACGTGCTCGTCGACTGATCCTGGTGATCCACAGACGGGGGTGGCTATGGGCTGTTTGGCGCCTTGTATGATCCAAGCCCGCTCATGAACACCAACAACAACGCTTTCATCACGGTGGAAATCGAGTATCGTCTTGGTGCATTTGGGTTTCTTTCGTCTGCCGAGGTCTACAAACAAGGCACCCCCAACGCCGGTCTCCTCGACCAGAGATTCGCCCTGGAATGGGTGCAGCAACACATCCGCAGGTTTGGCGGTGACCCCAAACGAGTCACCATCAGCGGCGAATCGGCCGGCGCAGGTGCGGTAATGCTGCAGTCGCTGGCGTATGGAGTCTGTTCGAGAATGCAAGACTCGGTCTTCCATCCCGGGTGTTTGGAACTGACCAGCCGTCCGCAGATCATCGCAGCGAGCCCATGCTCGCCCCCCATTTATTCCTATGATGGCGCTATTCCCACCGCGTACTACGAGCAGTTTGCAGAACAGGCCGGCTGTGGCCCATCCACATCTGCCAGATCCAAGCACAAGACGACTTTTGACTGCCTTGTTGCTGCGCCTAGTGAGACGCTGCAAAATGCCAGCGGAATTGTCTCCGAGTCTGGACTCTTTGGCACCTTTGCCTTTCTGCCGGTTGTGGACGGCGATATGATGCGTGAACGACCATCAGCGCAGTTAAAGGCAGGCCAAATCAGCGGTCGGCGCATTCTCGTGGGGATATGTTCTTATTTTTCCCATATTGGCCTGCGTTTGAGTGAACGTTAATCGAGTGGGATAGAATAACGCCAATGATGGTGTCCCTCTCACCAATCCTAACGTGATCACTCGCGCTGCATTCAACGAGTATATCGCCAAGTCTTTTCCCAGACTGACTGAAAAGGATGTCACACTGCTGAACCGTCTTTACGGTACGGCGGACTCGCAGTCAAGCGACGACGGTCCTCGGTTTGATACCCTCGGCAGCAGCGGCCCGACAGCGAACAACCAGTCCGAAATGGCTACGGGCTTGCAGCAGACGGTCTTCAATATCTTTGCCGAAACCACCTTTGACTGTCCGGCGCAGTGGCTGGTCGAGGCCTTTGGCGGCGCTTTTCGACAGGCATGGAAGTACCAGTACTCCGTTACGCCGGCGTATCACGGTGCGGATCTGGACTCCTACTTCAACATGGGGGCCTCCTGGCCCAGTGCGGGATTCAACCGCGCTTTTCTAAAGATGTGGGGAAACTTTATCATGAACAATAGCCCGGTTATTCCTCTCGACGATGCGACCGCCAAGAACAGCCAAGCCGTGGTTCCTGTAGGACCAAATGGCGATCTGGGCTGGCCGCAGTTTCTTCCGACGTCTCCCTGGCAGATGGATCTCAACACCACTGGAGGGACCGTCAGTCAGGTTGTGGTCACGCCAAACCTGACCTACTATGTTCGGGAGGGAGACGATGTCGTCAATCACTTCCATTTGGCCAACGCCTACACCTGGGAAGGGGGACGCGGACGGCGTTGCGCATTCTGGCGAGAAGTTGCAGATCGGATTCCCCTATGATGTGCCCTTGTGCGGGCGACATATCTTGTCTTTGGGAGTTAAAGAATGTCCCTTTGCATACGTTGTACATATATCAGAGTAAACTCATAGAACGGCGAGGAGTGAGAATGTTCAATACTGCTATTATATTAAAGTGTTTGTAACTATGTGTAATTTCAGTCAGCATATATTATTTCCAAGTACATCATACTCCGCTGTACTATGTAGATTTCACAGCTTTGCCAAAATACATTCTGCCCTGCCACTTCCGCAGTCGCTGTCCAAAAAGCTGCAGCACCACCATGAAGAACAGCGACCCAAACGTTATGGCCGCTTGGATCCCCAGTGCCCTGGCCGGTCCCATGCCGCTGAACCAGTCGATCTGAATATACGTAGCCACGAACCCTCCCCAGTTGCGACTGGCCGTCACCCACGCACCCACCTCGCCGGATCCCTCGGGGTAGCAGTCGAGCAGGTATGCGTTGATGGCGGTCGTGATAATCATCATACTGCTGCATTGCATGGCTGCGAAGACGGCAATGACCATGTAATGCCAGTGGCGCTCAAAGGCGAACCCGAGCACGATCAGACTGACGCAGCAGAGAATAGTGGCGGGATAGACAATGATCAGACGCGCCTCGGGATGCAGTCGGCCTTGGTGTCAATTCATATAAAAGGTGCCCACTGCATCGTGGAGGTAGTGTCCGATCAGCCCGCCGACAATGACGCCGACAATCCCGAGGAAGTAGAAGTAGCCTGTCAAAAATCAGTATCTTGAAAATAAACAAGTCAAAGGGATATACCAATGCCACGAGTAGAAAAGCCGTAGTCATTGCTCAGCCAAATCCCAATTGTCGTGTTGACTCCAATCACCCAGGCAAAGTTGAGCAGGCAGTAGATCAAGATAATCAGAACCGGAATTCTGGTAATGGCGACGATAGGCCGCAAGGCGCACTGGAGGAAGCTCCTCTCCCGCCACAGCTGTGCTTATTAGGCTCCCATGAGGCGGGCGATATATGACCCTCTCGGGATCTGACGGCCTCTGCAATCAAACAGCGTTTCATCGACAAGGAAGACGAGCAGAAAGGCCACGGCCGACATGCAGGTACACAGCCAAAAGGCCCAGCGCCAGGACACATCCGTCACGATGAAGCAAGTCAGCAGTGGGCCAAGGTAGGGACTCATGATGATGAAGAACTCGATGTAGTTAATGACCTTGGGGTGTTCATGGAAGAAGAACAGGTCTTTAATCCAGAGCAATGCGCCTCCCTGGCCAACACTGCAGAGGAGCCCGTTGATGATCCGCGCCGCCATGTAGGACTCGAAGCTGGTGGCCGCCGCGGACCAGGCACATGTCCCGACCATGACTACTTGAAAGATCAGAAGAACGGGCATGCGACCGAAGAAGCCTGCAAGGATCACTACAATGATACCACACGACCCGATGGTGAAGAGGTTGCCTACAACGGCTCATTAGACCATGGCCTGGGGCAGGTTCCACTCTCTGATAACCAATCAGCAGATCCTCTTGCTTATGAAGTATAGAACCCTACATGGACTGAGGAATGACAGTGATGATTACCATGCCTCCAGTATAGTCCGCAAGAAACGCGATATACGCCATGATCCAGACAATCAGCCATTTCTTGCGCGAGCTCCAATTCAACGAATCATCGGGGGTGTCCAAGGGTTGCGGGATGAGAACATAGCACTCATCTAGAGTCGTTTTCAGACCGGCCGCGTTATTAGGATATCGGCTGGGATCAACGACATATCCTTCCAGGGCTTCTTCATCCTCATCGATCCCAGCCAAAGTGATCTGTAGGGGGGGTTTGTCGTCCATCGTGACAGGCCGCTGCCAATTATTCGCCGACCTCAGGTGCAATTGATCTGGGAGAGATATGAAAAAGTCCAAAAGCTATTTAAACGTTTCAAGAAAATGCTCGACTGTAATAGATGCTGCGGAATGCGGGAATTTTTTTAATTTATCCTAATGAACAGGGAATATGACTTGTTCTATGTCCATACCACTATGTAAGATCCCTGCAGCAGGTAGCAAAATATACCAGCTCCTGTCTCGGATCGTGCATGGATTTACGGCACAATTACCCGGGAAATACTGGTCCTTTAAGAATGCATGAGAAACAATAGATATAAATGAGATGCAGACCCCTGCATCTGGTAAGAATCTAGACAGGGATCAGAAATTAATGCATCGTGGGTCCAAGAAACGGCGGAGTTGATTTACCAGAAACAGGCAATGCAGATGGAAAGTTGGGTGCTAAGATCACAGCGTAGCATTCGCTTGGTCCACAATTGACAGCAATCACCTCTTAGGAGTCAAGACAAATCAAGAAGTTGCTTTGCTTTGCCCAGACGTAGCCGATCCTACTATACCGTACGACGACAGGGATGCGACTGGGGAATTTCCCGCGGATGCATCCCAATTCACTTCCAACTCATAGAGGTGTCGTTTTAGGTCTTCCATTAGTCGTTTAATTTCAATCCATGCCTCAATATCAATACGGCACGGTGATGTTACATGTGAAACTCATGGATAGTCCAGGGTTAACAAGAAACTGTTCTCAGGTCCCTGTTCACTATCCCTGTGCCGAGTCGTAAGACTGGGATTGACCGGGAATTCAACACCCTGGGAGACTCAGCTGGCTGGACTTCAAAATCTCTGCGACTGAAGTTACCATGTACTCTACTGTGTTTTGATCTACGTGCAAGGACAGCTCAGGCTCTCTATGGCGGCGGCATACGGAGGACGCGGTCCTGTTCTGCTTGGAGTGACCTGGGCAGAAACAGCGCTGGCTCTGATTCTGTTCGGGTTACGTGCAAAGACAGCGTCCCTGTGTCCACCAGAGGACGTTTCGTTTGGGTTCTGTGGTCTGCGATGGGATTTTATCTGGGTGATGTTCGCTTATGTATGCCGGATCGGCCACAGTTGATGGGAATAGGTACTGATATACGGCAGGTGCTTGCCTTTGCGGCCCAGTGCACCATGACAGTGAGTGTCTCATACGGCCTCGGAATGCATCAGGATCAGCTCTCGCACCCGCAGATTCTTGCCAGCAACTACTGGAGCTGGATTGCTCAAGTCCTGGCCATTCTTGATCTGGCAATCGCCCGGTGTGCTGTGATCGCTTTTCTCCTGACATTTGAAATGCATACCCACCGCAAAGGTCGTTGGGCACTGCTCACGGTGGGTGCCCTCCAGGGGCTGATCAATGTGGCCGAAATCGGAGTCATCTTCCATCAGTGTGATCCCCCTCAGCGATTGTGGGATACGGACGTTCCAGGGAGCTGCAATCTGATCGAGACCTGTTTGTATATCGGATACGCTCAGGGTGGTATGTTCCCTTTTCATCTCATAGAAAGGCAAAAAGTTGACGGTGGCAGGAATGGGTGCGGCTGCGGACATCTTTTTGGCCTGTTATCCGGTCTATATCATCGGACGACTTCAGCAGATGAGACTCTCCGTCAAGGTTGGACTGTGCCTCTTAATGAGTGGAGGTGTCATGTCAGTACTTGCCTCTTCCTAACATTCATGTCTTCCTCTGCTAATGTCAATGTCTGTAATAGAGCCGGAATAGCCGGGATCAACAAGACAGTCGCCATATCCACCATCGTCGAAACCGATGACCAGACGTACGCCATCGCCAAGCTAAACACCTGGGTTCTGACAGAGATGTGGTTTATCCTCATCTTTGGATCCATTCCTGTCCTGCGCCCCTTCTTCGTGCGATTCTCTCAGAGCATCAAGACTGTCGCGGGATACTCGAGTTCGCGTAGCCGCGCTCATGCTGATGGCGATCGTAGTGGGAGTCGTCCCATTGATGAGATATGGATAAACCTCGATGGTCAACAGCATAGTCCCTGGATGGTTAATGGACCTCGTATGAAGAAGGGCGTGTCCATGGGGATACAGGGAAGTAGCCAGGAGGATATCTTGTCCACGGCGTATCCTGACCAGATCGTCGTTACGAAGAAAACTACTGTGATGGAGGAGTCTCGCTAGTGGTATTATCGAGATATTAATGTCTCCTTATCCTTCTGTATGATATTAGCATCTCTTTTGATTAAAATAGAGTTCTTTCGAAGTGTCTCACCGAGGTAACACCTCCCAAGTATCAATATTATCGAGACAACTCAACCGCAATTACCTCATCACGGTAAATGCATACATGATACCTCGGTGTTGCTTCATCGAATTGGCACTCTCGTTCCAAAATCTCTCCGACTCCACCGAATGGCTTAAACACACTAGTAGAGACGGATTGAAGCACCCCTGTCTGGCGCCTTTCTAGCACACCCACTGTCATTTTCTCTCCGTCCAAACATCGTTCATCGAGTGGATCTTGAGCGTGCCGCCATTCCATTGTGTCTCGTTTGGACTGAGACTTTCCGGGATAAATTGCCGTGCTCAGGGCCTTGCTCATTTTCTATTGCTCTAAATACGCCAAACATCGAGAGCTTTCCGACCCTCCAGGACAGTCCTCGTCTAACTTCTCTCTGCTTATCAGTTGCAGACAGGATGACCATATTCGATGAGATAAAGCACGTCCAGAAGCTGGCCGAGACGGAGGCTGCGGGTGATCCCAATGCTCACGGTCAATTTCTGGCTGCGATTCGCAAGCTGCAATTGGCAGCGGAGAAGCCGATTGACACAACTTCTCGAGTAAATTTTCAGGTAAGTCCATGGATATCGTTTATTTGGCAATGCAACTTACAAGCAGGTTATGCAAAATATCTGCGTTCGAGTGGCAATTGAAAGGAAGCTGCTTCACGCGATAGCGGAGAATGGAGAACCCATAACATCGGCCGAACTGTCGCGTGTGACTGATACGGATGAACTTCTAGTTGGTAGGTGCATCGCTCCGTCTGCAGATCGATATTGATTCATTAGTCCGTGTGATGCGTGTGTTGACCGCAATTGGCTTTGCCATCGAGACGGCCAACCAGACCTACGCCGCGAATGAGACGACTCATTTTGAGATCCTCCCGGGGTCAATTGCCGCCGTGAAGCATCAGTAAGTATCACATCCACATAAAGAATGAGTGACTAACTTTAGCAGCTTCGAGCCCGACTTTGGCATGGTACCATTCCCTTGATGCTCACCTGTACGGTCCCGGCTGACAATCTAGGGAGCCAAACTAATCGACTACATGCGCGGTCCAGGCGTTAGCCAGTTTGCCGATGAACCCGGCCAACAAACGCTCTTCAAGTATGCACATGGATTTGACAAAATCTTCGGCATGCTCGAACAAAACCCGGAGCAAAAGCAGGCGTTCGATGACTACATGGCGGCTAGAAGGTTGACCAACCAGCCGCAGTGGTTCGAAACCTATCCTGCTGCCGAGAGACTGCGGGATGTGCGAAACTGTCCAGATTCGGTCCTGCTGGTCGATGTTGCAGGAGGACCAGGACAGGAAATTTCGCGCTTCAGACAACGTCACCCGGACAGCCCGGGGAGAATCATCTTGCAAGATCTCCCTCTAACCCTCAATCGGATTGAGAAGATACCAGCGGGGATTGAACCTATGGAACACGATTTCTTCAATCCGCAGCCGGTCAAGGGTAAGCCACATTCCATGTACTAGATCATGAAAGCTGACAGTCAAAGGTGCCCGGGCTTATTTCTTCCGGCAAGTGCTGCATAACTGGTCCGACGCCAAAAGCAAGCAGATTCTGTCGCACATCGCCGATGCCATGGAGCCAGAATACTCGACCCTGCTGATCGCCGACTATGTGTTGTCGGATACTGGGGCCGAGCTGAGAGCCGCTGAGATGGATATTCTCATGTGGCTACATACTGCCGGTCTCGAGCGGACTGTCTCGCAGTGGAGGGCTTTATTCAACGCTGTAGGCCTCGAGCTGGTGCAGATCTGGAATACCGACAAGGGAGATGAGTCGGTACTAGAAGTGAAGAAAAGGTTGTGATGCATACAAGGCTTGTAAAATAAGCTTCCAGTTCTACTAGCTGTCCATGTTAAGTTTGCCCTGGGTGTTTAGCACAGTTTCGCAATCACATTGCAGCTAGACCATATACCAGTGCCAGTAGCAGAACTTATAATGCTCTCCAGGGCATAAACGAACTGCCGTTATCTGCAACATTGGAGGCTTTCACATAAATGAACTGCTATCCTTTTGCATGTTCTTTCTGCACACAGGGTTAAGTCATGATGTGAGCAATGAATTCCATCAGTAACAAGGCGGACTGGGACAAGAAGGCATGTAGGCCATGGTATCAGCACGCTCATACTGACTTGCTCAGGTGTTCAATGATGAGATTATTACTAAATGGCGTAAAGAAATTCAGGACAGCAGGGAAGACGTTAGTAAGTGAATGTTAGAGTGGATCATTAAAGAAGCGCAGTGGAAAGCTGGGGTCTTCCGAGATACTAAACATGTTGTCGCATTCGACGTGGGTGTGGTCAAATCAGATGTTGCCATACCGGAGGAATTACGACAGGCTCTTATAGAGGCCGTCCGTCCCCTGGAGGAGGTTCCTGAGGAACAGAAGGACTACCATCCTGGGACAGACAACAAGGTAGCCGATCTGGTTCATCCATCATTATTTCCTGTGATATCTGGCTGAATGCGCATCCTGCTGGATTAACTCATCAGTCTCAAAGCCTTTGTAAACCACATTGGTGAGGGTAAAGTGCTCCCTGTCTACCGCAAGCAGGAGTGTATCACATCGCAGAGTGACTACGACTACTGGTACTAGAGGTGCCCCCATTAGCCCTACAGCCTCAGGTTTCAATGGCTACCCTGTGACGTTCACTTTGGACCAAATAATAATGGATTGCATCCTACATTAATAATCTACATCCCCAGCAACACCAAGCACTGTACCAAGTCATTGAACAGATTCTGACAAGGACTATCCCTATGTGGAACAAAACCTTGAGCCTCCTGCAGAACAAGCATAAACGCATTGAATACTATGAAGTTGAGTATGAGGACCATCCAGAACCCGAGCCGGAGGTGGTAGATGAGGATGAAGAGGATAGTGATGAATTCTGTGAGAGACACTGGGAATGGCAATGATGACAGCCCATTAAACTGCCAGAGCCAGGAAGTTTTGTCCTGCACCCTTTTTATAACCAGGTTACTCTCCGCCAGGAATATGCTGAGTGAGGACTCTAGGTGATTGTCAAGCTGGCGAACATCAAGCTAACGCCTGAGAAGCCCGAGTATGAAGGAGGCTCTTGGCATATTGAAGGGCAACTAGTAAGTCTATGAGGCAGTTGATTGACAAGCCTCATCCTAATAATAAATAGAACGAACACATCTGCGCTACAGCCATCTACTACTATGATGGTGAGAATATCACGGAGAGCACTCTCACATTTCGTTAACGGGGAAGCAGGGGCAAGATTAAGGATATTAACTATGAATAATCCTGGCATAGCTTTCTTCAACAGGTCTTTAGCTTTAGGCCTAATATAAATGGTTCTAATGAGTGCAATGTCACTTAGCTACTAGGCAGTGTTAAGATGTGTTAAGGATACCTTCTTACCTTTCTAAATATCCTCCAGCATCATGTGGCGCCTTTTTTACTCGCGGACCCATCTAAACCTGGCTATTATAAGATTCTTACTTTTTTCCTTGTGGATCTACATCTATCTATCATTTTGTTAGCTAATGTGCCACCTTAGTAGAAGACTGGTAGAGAGAATAAGAAGAGCTTAATAGCTAATTACTTAGGGAAAAGCTGCCTCCTGAACTGCAGAACATGGTAAAGAATAAGTTTGATGCTTACCCCATCATGATGGAGGAGGCCAAGCAGTACTGAGAAGAGCTGATGGAGGAGCGTTCGTCCAAGTTGGAGGAGCAGAACGAGAAATTTGAAATGGACAGCTTTAACTTGTGTGAACATTGAGCATCAAGTAGTCTAGCTTGTATCAATAGCCGCCACCGGGAGATGAATTGCATTTGCTTTATGTTAACATTTCTATCCTTCTATCTTTGACTATCTTCTAAAGGAAACTTCAAACAGGTCAACCACTAGACTCTGGAATCGTAAAAATTGCCCTCTTCCTGGATTGAAAGCGACTCGAAAGGCCCTTCCTTATTCTTACCACCCTTCTTCCGCTCTTTCTCGGCTCTCTTCGCTTCTTTCTTCTCCTGCCTGATCCGCTTTTTCTCTTGCCTGTTGACCTTGGGAAATTCCGAGTCTGGCCCTTGCAAGACGCGACCGGGATGAATGACGTTCAGAATGAGCAGGGCCAAAAACATTGGCGTCGCGTCGAGGACATATTCGTACGCCTCGTGAGTCAAAATGGGGTTGGTCGGGTCCGTGCCTCGCGCGTACTGGCATAATCGGAAGATGATTCGGATCTGCTACCTGTCAGTATACTTTGTCTTTCCGGACAGGAATGACATACGGTGATGAGAGTCAAAGACGCATATAGCGCCCCGAACAGCCAGCGCCACGAAGTCGAGCCGCGAGTGGTCTTTTCTTGGTCCAATTCTCTGTAGTTTTCCATCCGTACCATTCGACGATGGAGATGGATTGCCAGGACGCCGAATATCAGCACGAACAGCTCTTGGAGTCCGATACCGCCCATATAGACGTGGATACCGAGCATGGTGGTGTTGGCTGGCACGTCGTTCTGTGTCGTGATGCTGGCACCTGCGAGCTGGACGATAAAGGCGAGAATATCCAGCCACACAAAGATTAAGCCGTACCGTTTGGCGGAGATTCCACCCAGCCGTTGGTCGGGGATGAAGAAATGGATGAGGCGACCTAGGGTCATGTAGATGAAGGCATTGATCCCTACACGTTTGATCAGTATCTGTGATTTAGATGTGGGGAGTCTCATCATACACAGAGGCGCCAGAAGATATAGAAGTGTGTGAGCAGTAGCAAAGGGCTCGCTGTCCTGGTGTCTTGTCTGTAGAGTCCGGAATACAAAGGCAAGTAACTCCCAGCTGGCTCCCATGATAACCACCCAGGCATATTTCTACCTTTGTCAGTAAAGCATTCTGGGCTGCTCGATGCAACACCAACCTTCTTGTAGATGAAAGCTTGGATGACGTGGCAGAGCGTTGTCAACCCGAAGAGGATTGTGAAAAAGATGGCGGCACCAAAGGACGGAACATAGAGAAGAATGGCATCACAGGCTTCTGGAGGCAGGTAGCCATTTTTCCCTGGCTTAGGATGTGTACAGGTCTCGGTGGGAGATATGGCTGAAGCCGTAGCAGTGGGGGATATTGTCGCAGTGGCGTTCATATTAAGATCGAAAGATAGTACCTGAGTGGAATCTTCTGGTTGATATTGTATAGAGTCATCATGGCCAGAGATGTAAACTTATATGTCCATAACTTCTGACGTTATTGTGAATGCCTGTCAGGCAGCCAGATGATAGGGTATATAACCACTGAGAGACATGATGCTCAGCCATATCAGCCTCCATCATACATCAAGCATCCGATGCATCATGACTTGTATCTTCTTCGATTCTTTGTGACAAGCGAGCAGGCCAATCAGACAGTATAAATGAAGCTTGGCATCTGTCATATGGATACAATGTCAGGAGTAAAAATAGCCAGGCTGATCGGCAGCACAACAGGCCAATCATGACGGATCTGACAGGCAATCCATCTTGCACGCTGAATGGACAATTCGCATCTACTCGCATCCGCTAACTGTTTTAGTCTTGGAGTCCGAATGATCTGGCCTCGTTTCTCGACTTCCGTCTGACATGACATGGGAGTAGGCAACCGCGTTCCCACAAGCTTGGATCCGTGGATATCACCGACTCGCTTCTGTCTGAGCCAACTCGTGCTTGGAGTCTCGAGGTTAAAAGTGCGCTGGAAGGATATGAATCGTTGTCGTGGGACGCCTTATATGTGATAGAACCATGCCTCAACGGACAGGAGTCAGCCGGTCTCGCAACGGCTGTCTTACGTGCAAGTGAGTCGACAACATGTAGTGCAATTGAAGCAATAATATTCATTCTGGTGCTAGGATACGCAGAGTGAAGTGCGATGAAGAAAAGCCCACCTGCCAACGATGCCGATCCACTGGCCGAAAGTGCGACGGATACGCCAGCCCCTTGTCAAGCACTGCTCGCCAATCGACCGATCTACGGATCATTCAATATACGTCGCAGGTATCCCAGCCAATGAAGATGAGCATGTTCCCTTCGTTTCACCAGCCGCTAGCGGGGTGTGACTACAGTGCGCTAGAGTTTTTCCACTTCCAGACAGTCTCCTGCTTCGGGCCCAAGGCCGGGGACTTTCTTCTTCGTGCAGCCTATCATGACGCGACCGTGCGAGTGGCTGCCACTGCGCTAGGGTCCTTGCATCGCGCCTTTGTGCGTGATGGTGGTGGGCCGGCTGTGCCGCAATCGGGATTGACTCGGTATGCATTGCAGCGGTACAGCTCTGCCATCCACCTGGCTCTGAATCAGATCCCTGTGACTGAGGGACAAAGCACCGACAGTATACTCATCATGTGTGTGCTGTTTTTCTGCTTCGAGAGTTTACAGGGCCACTTTCGCAATGCTGTCCAGCACGGCATAGCCGGCCTGCGAATCCTCAGGCAACGGGAAGAGCGCTTCCTGAATGAAGGAATCGTAGCCCGTCTTCCCCCGCGCATTGTTCGCTTGATGTTTGTCACAATTGAGAATCAGATCATCGAGGTAGACTGGAAATCGTACCTTCCTGTCTCCATCCAGTCAACCCTTCTATCTCCCTCCAAACTGCCCCCAGTCAATTTGGACGACACTCCGACGCTCGACCAGCTCAGTGATTCCTTTCAGTTCTGTTACAACCAGTATCTCAAGTTTTTATACCTGTCGCAGGCATCCGATAGTGTGGAGCTGGTCCAAACGCTTGAGCAGAACCAGGCATACTACGCCCAGATGCGACAGCACATGCATGCGTGGTCAGCAAAGTTCGACGCATTCCTCGACGCCCATGCGCAAACCGACCAGAGTGAAACCGATCGCATGACAATCAATCATCTGAAGATGTGGCGGAAGATGATGGGCATCTTCCTGAATATGGATGCGCCGCCCTCCGAGGGCGGACTTGACCGGTTCGCCTCTGAATTCGGCGCGATCATCTGTCTGGCAGAGGATCTTCTGAATTCCTCTTCCTTGACACCTCCTGATTCAAAGTCAAAACCCTCTGCCAGGGTCCAACCAGCTCGGCAACAGCAGAATACGCTTCCTACCATCCTCCCCAAGACCGAATCCTCGTCAACATCTCCACCACCGTCTTCCTCCTTCTTCGTCGTCTCGCTAGGACTCATCCCCCTCCTCTGGATCGTCGCCACAACCTGCCGGCACTCACAGATCCGCCACCGAGCCATCGACCTGATGAGCCGCAGTCGCCGGCGCGAAGGCGTATGGGACTCGGTCCTGTTCTCGACTCTTGCACGCAGAATGGTCGCGATGGAGGAGGAGGCTGCGGGATTCGCCAAGGGAGCCATGTACGAGCCGGCGGATCTGCCTATTTCTGCCCGGACTAATACTATTGCGGGTGAGTTCTGCGAGGGCCGGCAGGGGAAGATTGAGTTTTTTCGGGATGGGATCAAGCTTTGGGAGGAGACAGTGCAGTGGTGATATGACATGACCGATATGTTCTTTGCTCTACCACGATAGCATGAATGATATTTACTAGAGGATCATTGTCATTTTAACACGGAATAACTACTATTGTTCCTGGCTATATGCTAGCGTATAATACAAATCATCATTATCCTCTGTCAGGACACAGACATTACTCCCACACTACAGCATGACTGCGGCGTTATATTTTGATCTTGCAGGTATACGACGTCGTAGAGTTCGCAGCAAACGCGGCGATCAGACTCTCTATGGCAGAATATGCACCCAGCCCCGCCAACGCCAATGCACCCAAGATATAGAAGATGTTGAACACACTCAGAGCCAGTTCCTTGGGTCTCTGCGCGAGGAAACCACGGACAAAGCGCCGCATGCCGTGATCGTGGCGAACGGTCTGTCCCGTCGCGGGGTCGAAGCCCTCGCCGTCTCGCAGGGCGGCGCGCTTCACACAGTACGCCAGGGCGAGAAGGGGCGGGAAGCTATAGGTGAATTGCAGAATGCAAAAGGCTGCGACTACCGAGGTCAGACCGGAGAAGTTGGGAATACCGGCGGCCAGAGCAAACGCGATACCCCAGTAGATGGGGACCAGGACGACCCAGAACAACTTGCCGCTCCGGGTGGTCAACGGAGGGCAGCGGAAGATCTCAACGCAGATTTGGTTATAGAGGACTAGAGACGGTCAGTATGCAAGAGCATATGGATACTGGTACAGACATACCCTTCAGGCCGATGTTGCCATACAGACCCGCCGCAATGACCGCACTGAGCATGGCAAAGACGTTGCCGGCCGTCGAGATGTTGTACGAGCCGATCCCCAGGTAGCTGGGGTTGACGTTGTACTGGCCCTGGTAGCCGTACATGAACAGGCCATAGAACATGTACCAGAAGTAGATGAACGCCTGGGCTGCCCACATGGCTGTCAAAAAGTCCTTGGGCCGCTTCATCTCCGACATGAATTCCGGGAACACCATGGCGCCGCCGTATGCGAACACGGCTTGCATGGCGCCATTGAGCGAGCCGACGAAGTTGCCCGACTCGGGCAGGCCGCCGGACGTCTGAACGGGAGGATAGACACCATTCACGGGCGTGACGAGGGCCTTGTTGACGACCGCACCCGCCGACGCCGAGGCGGCCGCGTAGTTGGGGGGCGCGTTGGCCGCTCCGCCCATGGTGATGAACATGACGATGAGGTTGATCCAGACGGCGGAATTGGCGAGCCAGCCATACTTCTGGAGAGTGCGGACCTGGCCGATGAAGAAGCCGACCAGCGCCCACACCAGGCAGCAGATGATGAAGCACAGCTTGGACTTGGACACCTGGTAGAGCGCCTCACCGTTGGAGATGACGATCAGCCCGACGTTCAGCAGCAGCTGGATGCTCTGCAGCACGTTGAAGAGATAGCGCATCCACCGGCCATACAGACGGAAACCGAGGTCTCCGAAGCTGCGGAGGGGGAATTGGTACGAATCGAGGCCCATGAACGCGGACCAGAGGAGATAACCAGAATAGGCGGCCAGGCCACCAAAGACAGTGTACAATGCAATTCCGGGACTATCACGTCAGTTGCTTTCTATCATTTGAAGAGGCAAAGTACTACTCACCCCCAACCCATGGTCGCAAAGGCATAACCCAGACCGAAAGGACCCAGAATGTCGGTGGTGATCAGATAGAAGATGGCTCCTCGGGTGGCCGTCCGCAGCGCCCGGGACGCATTGGTCCATTCCTCGTCGGTGATGGTCATTCGTCCCGCTGCATCGCTGGCGTTGGCTGTTTTGGCATCTTCGGACGTGTTTTCAGCCACCGGCTGAACGGCCCCGCCTGACTTGGAGGGGAAGATGATGGACAGCCATCCCCGTTCCTTGTCGCCGTTGGACCGGGACTCTTCTTCGGCACGCGCCAGTTGGGCGTAGTAATAGTACTCCTCGAAGGTGACACTAGAATCATGCAACTTGCGGTGCTGTGGACGGATAGCAGCAGTGCCAGTGCCGTAGTCAATGGCATCCAAGGCCTCTCGCTCTTTCTCATGCAGTCGAGGATCTCCCCCATCGAGGGCGACACTCGCTGGCTGTGCCATGACGGATTACAATGAGCTGAAGAAGAAGCAGCAGCAGCAGCAAAAGAAGAATAGACGGAGAAGGTGGGCTTTGGAGGGAGAGACGGAGAAGAGCAGCCCGGACCGACGGCTATATATCTGGTGGAACCATTCCCCAGATGAACGGATAGCGGTCTCACCCGCAGACTAATTAACAGAATGCTCCGATAGCAGCATGATAGGAAGCGAAGGAAAGTATAACCAGACCGGGTAGAGGTTAGCGACGGGAATTCGCCTCCTGGCGATGATGCTGCTGCCGATAAGGTTTCCTATCCCCAGGTTCCAGTCGCACCGTGGCAATCCAGAAACTAGAAGAAGCAATGCCGAGGATAGCCAAGACGAACCGTAAAGGCTTGACAATGCTTATTTGCCATGGGCCAGTGGGTCTGCGTCGAGATGAGAAGTGCATGCTAATATCGGGATACGAGAGAACAGGTATGGAGAGTAGTCCGTAGGACAAGTGATTGAACCACCTGATTCCTCTTCATCTATCTCTCATCAATTGATGGACTACAATTCGTCAGAAAGAGGAGTTCTTCAGCGCCGTGGAACAGTCGATGTAACCCTCCGCAAAGCAGGGCGTGCACTAGATGCCACCATCCAAACTTTGTTCCTCCGTAGACCACATAATAATGCCCCATTTTTCAAGCTTCAAGGAAGGTTTCTCCATATCAGCTTCAGACATCTGTCTAGGTCGAAATAGGAAGGTGCTTAAGCATGGATATGCCGTGTGTTGTGCACGCGAGCTTCCCTCTATCTGTTTCTACCAGGAGCTGATGGGAGACGTATACACTGTCAACTGGCTTTGGCAGGCATTACTGATTCAGTATCTAGCCATGCTTATTGCTGCTCCTTCAGAAGGAGAGACAAATGCAGGAACAATTGAGCAGGCTAGGCTGCTCGGTTCTACTGCGTATGTTTCGCAAACAGATATATCCGATAAACTACTCGATGTACATATTTCATTAGCTGGATAAGACATGCCTTGACAATCAAATCACCTCAACCGAAAAGACAAGGACGGACACAGAATTGATATTGATACTCTGGCTTCGTCCGTTTGGTAAGGGGGCCTACTCACCGTGGTCACGGCAGCCGATATCAGTCGTTATGATATCGGCATCAAGGACAGCAAGGACGACAAGGACGGCAAGAACTGCTGGAGGTAGAAAGACCATTATCGCAGTTGCGCCTGGACAAGTCAGAGCAACGTTTTTCCGCATTGGACGTAGCAGAAAGAAGCAGCCGATAACGTATGCTGCGAGTACTCCTCAGCGAGGATCTACGCGACCTACAAAACAGTACAGCTACGCAACAAATCGTGTCATAGCTGTCAGCCAACGCCAGACACCCATCCTCAGTCCTTGTTTCTCCTTCTTTGCTGAGGTGCAGACAAATGGACTCCCAATATGCAGAGACCTGTCCGTGTACCTCTTTCTCACCCGCGTGACCCCTGCGTGATACCCCGATCTCGAGAGTATCTGGTGAGGATCACACAATGCACACCGCACGACTCTTTCCTCTGATCACCGCCTCTTCCTGTACGACCATAAGGTCAACGGCATGAAGGCGCGATCCCGTTACATCCCCACGAGTCGGATTGGTCTCAGCGCAGAAGTTCGTCGAGCGGACCAGATCTGGTGTCCTCTCTCGAGTCATTTCCCATTACCAGCGGTCTACCGCATCACAGTGTCGACGACTTTGTTCGAACGGACGACAGTATCCAATGGCTGCGATAGACGTTGCTCGAGGGAGGTGGTCTGGGATCGAGATCATGGAGGCATCGAGGGAGGCAGGGAACAGGCGATTTGTGCGACGCGACCGGAGTGAATTTTCTGAAACCCAGTGGCCGCTGGACGTAGAGCATTTCTGAGGTGGTAGAAGAGCTGGATGAGATGGCAACGTTGACTACTTCATGCTGGTTCATAGGTGTTGTCAGCAGGAAATCCGGGTTCTCCAGTAGACAGGGATGTTTTATGTACTGTATTGATACCAAAATGATGAGTTGTGATTGGGTCATGGAATGTATTACGTGAAACTGTATTACAAACACCGCTTTGGGCGACGTCACCTGATCATGGTTTATTTGTTGTGCCTGAGGAATCAAGATGGCCTTTGTCGGTTTACTCTTCTTTCACCAGCTGATCGAAAATGATGCATCTGAAGGCTTGACTTAGTATTCAATTACCAACAGATTTGAGTCAATTGCCTAAAACGGAAATAAGCCGTTGTTGGAAACAGCATCACCGAGAGTCTGAAGCAGTGGAAACAGCAGAAATGGACGAAAACGGACCGAATCAGGCAACCGGTACAAGAAGTCTGCAAGACAAAGAATGCCAGAACGCCCATTGTGAGCTTTGTATCACAGGATGGTCGATATAGACAAGAGAGAAGACTCTATCCCTCTACTGTCTGCCTACAGAGTGTCCTCGATCAACATCCTTCTTGCTAAGTCCAGTCTCTGGCCAATCCCGACTCCATGGCCGTCGTCGTGACGCTGTGGAAATCCAAGGTCATCAAGATCATAGCCGGGTTTCTGTGCAGCATTCTATTGCTCAATGCGCTGGTCCGCAATGGGGTCGACTACACGGCCACGCGACATATGATCCGTGGCGGCCATTCTCGTTGGGCGGATGACTCGCTGTATGAGGCAATTCAAAATGAGACACTTGGAGTACGCCATCTCAAGCTGCTATTGTGGTCCTGCTATTGTGGTCCTGCTAATGTGTTCAGTTTGAGCATGTCTATGCCATCAGTCTCAAGGAGCGTACCGACAAGCGCGATTTCCTTGCTCTGGCGTCCTCGATTGTCGGCTTTCAAATTGACTGGTTAGACGGAGTGAAGCCAGAGGACGTCCATCCAAAATCGCTTCCTGAGGTAAACCATCTTTTCTCCGGTCGGAGCTTTGCTAATAGTGATCCATGATCCAGGGAATGAACATGACTATTATCAAACCTACGGTTGCAGCCTGTTGGCGAGCCCATATGAATGCCCTTCGCACGTATGTACCATGGAACTTTGGGACGATCAGGACTGACAACTCGCAGAGTCGTGGAAAAACGGCACTCAACCGCCCTGATTATGGAAGACGATGCCGACTGGGATGTCTCGCTCAAGCAGCAGCTGCGTGAGTTCGCCCGAGGACTCCGGACGCTTTCGCCGACCAAGACCCCCTCGAAAAAAGCCCCCTATGGTACAGATTGGGACCTTCTCTGGGTTGGGGGATGCGCAACAGCTGCCGGAGTCAACGAGACCGAATTCTACGCAATCCCCAATGATCCTACGGTCCCAGGGATGAACCGGCGCAGCTTCTGGGTCGACCGGCGGGGGCCACTGGACCGGTGGAAGCACCGTTTCCCCCAACTCCCCGAGGAATCGACTCGGTATGTCTATCGTGCAGACACCGGATGCTGTCTTTATGGATACGCTGTGACCTACAATGGCGCCCGGAAGATCCTGGCCTCGTTGTCCGTGGACCACCTGGAAATCCCCGTGGACAATGCTCTGGGCCACATGTGTGGAGGCAGGAATCGTCCTCAGATCCAATGCTATGCGCCGCATCCGAATCTGATTGCGACGCATCGACGTGCGGGCTCTTCTTACAAGGACTCGGACATTGAGGCCTATGGACAGGACAACTGGCATCCAGCGGAGGCGTGGGATCTGGTGTACAGTACGAAGCTCAATCTCCATCGGTTGCTGGCAGGGAACGAGGCGGCTATGTCTCAGTGGCCAGACGATCATAATCCATGGTCGCCGGCTGAGTTGAAGCTGAAGGAGTTTCAATATCCGCAGGGGTTTCATGTCGCGTATTCCGATGATGTTTAGTACAGAGCTGTATGTTTCATTTACATCTGTAGCTGCACCATGTAAAATAGCACTGTCCAAGGCTTATCAGTGTAATCCGCTATATTTAGTAAGATTGTGCCCTTAGCAGAAATGCAACATGAGGCTCCTTGTACCATGTCCACCGCTGCAACCCTTCCGGATGCGAACGACCTGAACCGCATTCCATCCCTAATCAGTGCAATTACTTGTCTTTGTCTGATCAGACACGGACATGATCACAATGTTCCATTTGATCGTCACGAATACTGGGTCTGGGTGTCATCACTCCACTCAACCAAGGAAGCCTTGACGGTTCTAGGTCATAGTTGTCTTCCATATAGTCTTGTCGGTAAGCTCTCACCTGCTTGTTCTGACAATATCTACACAAATGTCTTACCCAACTACCCTTCCCGAGAAGCTCCCAGAGGAAGCGATCCAGCCTGTCAGTTCGTCTCTGTCCGACTACGATGCCGATCTCTCGTCGTCCGGCTACACAGAAAGTCCGGATCTTGAAGATCGCGAGAAATATGCCGGAATACTAGCAGATACAAAGAAAAAGGACAAGGCCACGCCGGGTCTTCGCTTCGTTGTATGGACGGCAATCAATGTTGCTTCCACCGTTGCCATAGTACGTACTTCACCTACTAGAGAATCTAAACTGACCAGCCAAGGTGTTCACGAACAAATATATACTATCCGATATATCATTCCGCAATTGCCAGGTCGCCTTTGCTGCATATCATTTCTTCATCACCGGGGCCACATTATGGCTCATCTCTCGCCCGCAGTGCGCCGTCTTCATACCGAAACAGGTGTCGGTAGTGCAGATGATCCCCCTGGCGGCCGCGATGTGTATCCAGGTGATTCTTCAGAATCTCTCGCTTGCATATTCGTCCGTCATGTTCCATCAGCTGGCTCGGTTACTCTTGACCCCAGTCGTGGCCTTACTCAACTACATGCTCTACTCGACCAAGATCCCGCGAACGGCCGTCTCCCCTCTCATCCTGCTGTGTTCCGGCGTCGGAATCGTTTCCTACTATGACTCCCTCGCGAGCAACGAGAGCGCCGCGAGTACTTCGGCCTGGGGAACGCTATTCGCTCTTGCCGGCGTCGGTGCCAGTTCAATCTACACGGTATGGATTGGGCAGTACCACAAGAAGTTCCAGTTGAATAGCATGCAGCTTCTCCTGAACCAGGCCCCAGTCAGCACCGTCTTGTTGCTGCTCACTGTGCCTTTTACTGCGACTCCGCCATTGGGGGCTGTTCCAGTGTCCATGTGGATTCTAATCTTAATGGTATGATCCATCCCCTCTCTTTGACACCTTCTAACGAGTCTCAGAGCGGCATCTTTGCCTCCCTGGTGAATCTCTCGCAGTTTTTCATTATCGACTTGGCTGGCCCCATCAGTGGGACGGTGGTCGGTCAGCTCAAGACGTGCATCATCGTTGGGCTGGGGTGGTCTTTTAGCACGCATCCCATCTATTTTCAGAGCATTGTTGGGATTTTCCTGGCCTTGGTGGGCATGAGCATGTAAGTTTTGCCATTCTGATAGGATCATTCGCTAATTCCTGCCAGATATATGCGGGTCATTATCCAAGAGCAGAGGTAAACAGTGGGGAATTAGCTAGACCAGCGAGGTTAGAAGTATTATCAATCATCCATTATATAGCAAGTCCCTATCGCATTATGACGGTCATCTATCTGTAGATGGGCGTGCTCTGCAGAACATGCGGCTAATCAGATGCATATGCATTGATTGGTTTACTCTAACTACCCCTCAAATGAAGATAACAACCTCCTCGGCCCATCCATTGCTCCTCATCACATAAACACTGTAGAATCCCATGTTCCTTCTACGGCTGCCGGATGATATTCTCCTCCTCTTGGCTGATAATCTGTCGCGGGAGAGGGACATCAATGCCCTTGCGCAGACTAGCCGTCGACTTTACCCACCGCTAAACCGATTCCTCTACCAGTATAATATCCGACAGTCGCACAGCTCCGCTCTCCGATGGGGTGTATCGGTGGGCTGCGAGGGCACCGTTAGAAAATGCCTAGAGCTAGGCGCACCTCTTGATTGTAAGCCCAGGACGGACATAGACAGCGATACACCGCTGGTGAACATTGCATCCGAAAGAGGCTACGATCGTGTCTTGAAGCTCTTACTGGACTATGGCGCCGACCCCAACGAGGATGGACATTTTCCTCAGGTTCCCCTTTCGTTGGCCATTCTAAACGGACATGATGCAGCTGTGCGAGTATTGTTAGCACGAGAAGATACAAAGGTTACCCTGCCGTCCGGGTTCAGCCAACAACCGCTGCATTACGCTTTAGGACGGGGATCTCTGGAATGGGTTCGACTGCTGCTCGAACGAGGCGCAGATATCCAAGAGTATGAGTCTCGAGGGGCCCGGGCCCTTCACCCAGCCGTGAGAAGTGGAAGCCGAGATCTAGTCGAGTTCCTCATCGGTCGTGGGAGCGATCCACTGGTCTGTTGTGGGTATACGGCTCTATCGCTGGCTGCAGTAATGGGGCACCGGCCACTGGTCCAGTACTTCCTCGCGCATGGGGTGGACCCGAATATCCGGGACCGGGTCGGATTCACTGCTCTCGGGCACGCGGCCAAGGAAGGCCATGCAGACGTCGTCGAGACGTTGCTTGCGTGGGGCGTCGACACAGAAATTCTCGGCGAGGACAGCGAAACGGCTCTATCCTGGGCGGCCAGACAGAACCACGAAAAGGTGGTGGATCTTCTACTGCAGCACGGAGCACATCCGAATTCGTCCAACTTTCGCGGGATATGTCCCATCTACTGGGCCGTCACCAACGGCTCCATCACCATGTTCAAAGCGCTCTTGGCCCATGGTGCCAGGTTGGACATTGAAACCGACGCAGGAGAAACCCTCCTCCATATCGCCGTATGGCGGAACGATCAGCCGCTGGTCGACATGCTCATACAGCTGGGCATCGATGTGGACAAACGTGACGAGACGGGCCGGACTCCTTTCGCCCTGGCTGCCGCGTGGGGTCAGATCAAAATAATGGAGCTCTTGCTGGTCAACGGCGCCGACATGACTATCCGGGATCACAGCGACCAAACACCATTGCACACAGCCCTCGCGAGACGTCAAGATGCCGCCGCCGAGTTCTTGCTACGACGAGGTGCTGGTCCAAAGTTCGCAACTATCCATGCTTCCGAGCGACTCTTCTCCGCAGTGGAAGGGGGAATGGTCCGGGTTACGCAGTTTCTACTGGAGAACGGTGTTGATCCCGACCCTGTAGATCAATGCGGCCGCACCCCCCTGCTTGTTGCCGCTGAGTCTTTCCGGCCGAGTCGCTGCGAGATAGCTGATCTGCTGCTCCGGACCGGTCGAGTGAACATCCATGCGCGAAATGCGGAACATCGCACGGCCCTTATGCGCGCGACCATGGAACAGAATCCTCAGCTTGTACGACTCTTGCTCTCCCACGGTGCCAATGTCGACGATAGAGACGAGGACGGGTGGACTTCTCTTGCGAGTGCATGTGCCTCGGGGGACGAGGAGATATGCAGGATCCTGCTCGAGGCCGGGGCCGACATCAACAGCCGGGACAACTATGGGTATACTCCTTTATATCAGCTGCCGAATGTCAGCGGGCCTCTTTATGAATTTTTGCTTGAAATGGGCGCAAAGCTTTAAGTCAGCGTGCTGGATGCCTTGGCCTGGATTAGGCCAGCCACCAGATATGAGCGATAGGTATACAGAGGATATACTGACTTTGGGACGCCTTCATACACCCAAAATGAAGTAAATGAATAAAGGTTTTGTGATCATAAACATCAAGCGGGTTGCCTATAATGCAGCCATCCATGCCTCTGTCGATCTCGGCGTATTTTGTGCATTGACACAGAAACTAAGTTGAGCAATCCTACATATTGTCCAGTGCCATATTGTCACCAATCATAAGGTATCTATTGAATATTCTTCCTTGCACTAGCCTGAATAGGCAGCTCATTGGAGAAGCTTAGCGGAATGAAATGCTCTGAAGTCATAGTGGCAACTGGCACTGGCACTGGCACTGGAACACAGTATCTTCAGCATACAATTCATGACCTATTCATATCTAGTCTGAGGTGAGAGGTTGAATACTCATTCTCATTTGCACTATCAGCACTCTAATACTCTGTAATAGATGTGTATATTCATAACTGAACTTATTGAAGACTACAAGATGCCAAGAGTCCCAGGCACAGACAGTTCTGATTAATTCTTTTATGTAATTCGGACCAGATCTTGTTCCTCCCACGCACACCAAGGTCCACCAACTGTCATGGATTCCAGTATTATTGGTTCGATGCTTTCTTCTTGATTCCAGACCACATGGGGAAATCCAGCACGAGAGTGGCCACCGATTTTTCCATCTGCTAACCATGTTGGGTCAACCGGATGAGAGGGACGGAGTGTATATATATGGCTTCTTGGGACCTGAGCAGTGCGAGAGCTAGGTCGATGTACAGAGCATTTAAGAATGTTCACCAATGACCGTGGGGATCAGGATTCTAGTAAGTGTCTGTATATATGTATAAAAATGCCGTCAGATACTGACAAGACAGTCTCCTCAGTGAGCTCAGACGTGACCATCGTAGACTGGGATGGCCCAGACGATCCGGAAAACCCACTGAACTGGTCCAAGGCGAGAAAATGGCTCATCACCTGCGTCTCGCTGCTCATGACGTTTATTGCGCTCATGAACGGCACCATCATCACCGTCGCCCATGAAGCCATCAACAAGCGATTTGGGATCAGCGATGCCGTCTTTCCGCACTCGTACTGGCCTGTGACCTCTTGGGCACTCGGAGGTGTCTTCTTCTCTCTGCTCATCCTTCCCATCATGGAGGATTTTGGCATCCGACGAACGTTCCTCCTGACGCACCTCCTGTTGATCCTCTTTGTCATTCCCCAAGGCGTGGCGCAGAACTTTGCGACGCTCGTCATCACGCGTTTCTTCGCGGGCGGCTGCGTTACCGTCATCGGTAACAGCGCTGCCAGCGTGATCGGGAATGTGTGGGAGACGGAGAAGCAGCGCAGTAAGCCCGTCAGTCTCTGGATCTGGGCCTATCTGGCGGGAAGCAGCGTGGGCCCGGTGATTGGAGCCTCCATCTTCCAATTTCTGTCCTGGAGGTGGATCTCCTACCTGCAGTTGATCTGGTACGGGGTCTTGTTCCCGATCAACTTTTTGGTCTTCAAGGAATCGCGCGCGGCGATCATCCTGCACCAGCGTGCAAAGAGACTACGCGCCAAAGGCCAGAATGCGTATACTCGCCAGGAACTCGAGGCCGAGCCTCTGCGGCAGCTGCTGGTCACGAGCATCCAGCGGCCCCTCAAAATGCTGGTCACCGAGTATGTGGTGTTCTTCTCGACGCTGTGGTCGGCCTTTACCGTCGGCACGCTGTACCTCTTCACCCAGTCCGTCGAGCAGGTGTTTGTGGGTCTGTATGACTGGGGACCTGTCGAGGCAGGATACGTGCAGGCCGCCATTGTGATTGGAGAAGTTGCCGGGTGGTTCTTCTCCATCCCTTCAGCGAAGCTATACTTTTCTTCTGCCCGTCGCAATACCGAGACGCCTGGTCTCCCCATCCCCGAAGCGCGGCTGTACCTGTCTGTGGCCGGCAGTGTGGTCGGCATTTCCGGAGGCATGTTCGTGTACGCGTGGACCTCGTATCCGACTCTGCCGTGGACCGTCCCTGCGGTGGGACTGTTCATGGTAGGTGCAGGAAGTGTCGTCGTGGTCTCTGGACTGGCCGATTACATTGTGGATGCCTACAGCCAGTACGCCGGCAGTGTCATGGCGTGCTTCGTGCTAGGCGAGAATACCTTTTCCGCGTTTCTGCCGTTGGCGGCCATGAGCATGTATAACACGCTGGGGTTCCAATGGGCCAGCATGCTGCTGGCGTTTATCAGCTTGTCTCTGGTACTCGCTCCGATTGCTTTTATTGTGTGGGGAAGAAAAGTGCGCGAGAAGAGTCCGTATATGCGAGAGGTGATCAAGGAGAAGAGGATGCAGGCTGGCCAGTGACTGTAAATATGCACTTGTTGTAAATACTATAGACTCATATAGACATCTACAATAATTTCATGCAATTTGATCCATCTTGTCTTCGCTCTAGGTTAAAATAAAAATATTGAAGAAAAAATGCCTCCGGGGAGGATCGAACTCCCGACCTTGAGATGACTCGGAAGTGGAACTTCTGATCATACAGGCAATATGAGACTCACGTGATAACCAACTACACCACAGAGGCATTTCTTAGTCGACCGCCTCCTTTTTTGCATATAAGACAGTCTGCAAGGTGGTCCGTAACAGAATTATGTTCTGTCGAGATATTTTCTAGCTTCGATAGACTCAAGTTGGTTTTGAGTTAGAAAGAATGGGTATCTGCTTTTCATGGGTTTAGTACCTCTAGTTATTCAGTTGTCTTCATTGTTCTTCCAGTGAATACCAACTATGTATATATTCCATAGATTCAACGCATCTTGATTTATCTTTATCTTTTGCCATCCAAGTTCATGCGAAAGTAAATCCGATTGAATTCTACACCTCAAAAGAGCTAATAATTCTGTGGAACCCATGAATGTTGACGTCAGACGCGGTCAAGATCCGAGATATCAGACCATCGGGCCGATTCAACCTCGTCCACATGTACCTTACTATGACGCCGAAGTGGACATGCCGAAACAAGGCAGGAATCGAGCATTGAGCACACAGTAGATAGTAATCCGGCTGCTCCGGCCTCAAAATGCTCGAAACCGTGTTTCCTCCAGCCTTCGACCAGTGGTACTCGGTAGAGGATGATCAACAAAGTATCTCTCTCGGATCGAATATGCCAGGTCACTTGGGGATGGTATTCCATGTCCATGGCTACAGGAGGTATCGCCGTCCTCCTGTCTAGCACACCGCATCAATTTCGCGGGTTGACGACCATCGGCAAGGTCGTCTACATACTCAACCTTGTCCTCTTCCTCGGCATATCTGCCTGTCTGACCATACGCTTTCTGGCCAAGTCCTCGGCGCTGAAAGAATCCTTCCAAGAGCCCACCGAAAGCCACTTTATGGGAACCTGTCTACTGGCCCTGGCGACAATCATCCTCGGAGCCGAGAATTACAGAACAGAAGCATGTGGCCCCTGGCTGCAGGTTGCCCTCCGCATCGTCTTTTGGATCTACGTCGCCCTCTCGACCATCCAGGCCATCTGGCATAACTGGTACCTCTATCATATCCGCATGGCCAGTCGCCAGCCGTTTGCCCTCGTTCGACTCCTCCCTTCGTTTCCGGCCATGTTGTCAGGGAAAATCGCGTCGGTGCTCGCATTGCATCAGCCGCGCAATCATGCCATCCCAATTCTAATCGGGGCTACCACGTTCCAAGGCTTCGGGTTCATCATGTCTCTGTTCATCTACGCCGAGTACTTCTACCGACTCAACAAGGACGGACTCCCGAAGGCATCTGACCGACCGGAAATGTTCATCGCGGTGGGACCATGGAGCTTCACGGCGCTGGCCCTGGTCGGGATGGCGGAAGCAGCCGTCAAGCAGTTTCCTGCGCGGTACATCATCTCCTACGCGGATGCCTCTAATAGCCAGCAAATCTCCGTCACAACCGGAGATATCGCACTCGTGCTCGCCGCGCTGGTCGCCATCTTCCTGTGGACAATGGCGGCTTTTTGTCTGTGCATTGCTATCATCAGCATCCTGGCCCAGTGTCGTGTTTTCGGCGGCACCGGGGCGCTGGGCATGTCGCTTCCGTACTGGAGTATGGTCTTCCCGAACACGGGGTTCGTGATTGCCACCATTCGGATCGGACAGGTGTTGCAGTCGCCGGCGATTCTGTGGGTTGGTTCAGGGTTGACCATTGCCCAGGTGGTTATCTGGTTGTGTGTTGGTGTGGGCACGATCTGGGCTGTGGCTACGCGGCGGATGCTATGGCCTGAGACTGGGGATAAGGAGGCTTAATTCATTCAATATCTTGCATTTGAGTGTGTCAACTACCAGCTGGACATTCTACACATATAGAGCAGGTAATGAATAAAGAGTGACTATCAGCTAGTTGCAATTTGAGGATCCATGCCCTTTCCCAGTATCTCCCACCGCATGCTCCGAGAACTCATGAGCTACATAAGGCTCTCAAAACCAGCATTGACCGGAATCAGGACCAGGCTGGCAAATATACGGGCCCCAGCACAAGACCAGCAACCGTAGTGACCCAGGCATTCGCAGGCCCCAGGCTATTTCCAGGCACCGCTGCATCGAATAACCGTTGTGTTAGACTAGACCGGATTAGCATCTCAGGCAAGATGGCCAGTTACTAGAAAGATATCTGCAATGGTCATACGATGACTGGACGCAGCGTGGACTGCCTATCCCAATCATCAGCAGTCAACCGCGGATGTCCCGCATTAAGGCTGAGACTTCCATGAATCATGATCGACAGTCGGAAACAACCTTATTTGGTTTGAATTATGAGTAAGGGTTAATAGAAGATATTTAGTATAGCCAAGTTGGTCCAAGTAGACAAGGAGCAATAAACTGACAGTCGACGCATTGACAATGCTGAGGACGGCTCGATCTCAACATGACCAATCAACTGATAGACAGGATCGTACTCGTATATCACTCATAAATGTCATCGATTCAAAGGGGAATAGTAAAAAGGCTGCTAGAAACAGTCGGATTGGCCATGTTTTAATGGCGTTTTTAGCGGCCTATCAGACCCTGAACTATTTGGCCGCTTAAACTCAAGTTTCACAATTTCCTTCAGGGGCGAATGAAATTATGTATCTATTAGTGCCCTATTAATGTACCTATTTATTAATATCTGTAAATAGAACGGATGTCTTTCTTCCATCACTCCATGTGACGTGCCTTTTCCTTCTTCTGTCATTCTTTCTGTCATCCTCCACTTTCAACCTGCCAGTCCAGCATTCTTTCGCAACAACCTTAATCTTGGTTAATTTTATTATAATCGGTCGCTCTCAATGAAGTAACTACACTTTGATAATCGGTAATGAATTTACTATCGCTCGTTTTCGGCTTTCTAGCCCTCCTCAGGCTCCTCCTCCCCGCATCAGCCACCCGACTCATCGAATCCAACGCCCTGAATATCTGTCAAGACAGCTCGAATTTCACCGCAACCTATTTCAATGTCCTCTTTACGCCAGATAATCGCACTCTGGTCTTCAGCTTCGATGGTGTGGCCTCCATCTCCGGCAAAGTCACCGCCGACCTCATCCTGTACGTCTACGGATATGCCATCCCCCAGCGGACACTCGATCCGTGCAAGACGGACAAGATGAAGGGATTCTGTCCGATGAATGCGGGTCCCATCGATGTTCCGACCGCCTCGATCCAGGTCGGGGAGGACGTCGTCAAGCAGATTCCCGGTTAGTCTCTTTCCACCCTCCATCAAACTCGTCTCATGTGTGTACGGAGTAGGCATCGCGTATACCGTTCCTGACCTCGACGCCACCGTCCGCATCTACGTCAACTCCAGCGCAACAGGCGAGAGCATCACCTGCGTCGAGGCGCGCCTGTCCAACGACAAGACCGTCTACCAGGCCGGAGTCGGCTGGACCACGGCCATCATCTCGGGACTGGGGCTGGCCGCATCGGCATTCACGTCGACCATGGGCCATTCCAACGCGGCGGCCCATCTCGCCGGCAACACGCTCGCGCTGTTTAGTTTCGTGCAGGCGCAGGCCATGGTCGGGATGCTGGCCGTCCACATGCCGCCGATGGTGCAGTCGTGGACGCAGAACTTCCAGTGGAGCATGGGGATGATTCGGGTTGGGGCGGTGCAGAAGATCGGAACGTGGTACCAGCGCGCGACGGGGGGCACGCCATCGACGCTGCTGATGCAGCTGTCGACCACGTCTGTGAATGTGTTGAGGAGACGGAAGCGCGATGTGGCCGGGAGCTCGACCAATGTGATTGTCCGGGGTATAAAGCGCGTGGGGCTCAAAGCTGCCATCGAGGATACGAACCTGTTCCTGACTAGCATTATCATCTTCACCTTCTTTGCCTTGGTGATTATGATCATCGTCCTGCTTATGAAAGTGGTCTCCGCCGCGCTGGCGAAAAAGGGGCGAACGGGTCCAGCATGGGGGCACTTCCTCGCGGAATGGGACGTCGTGGCGCGCGGGGTTTTATATCGGCTTGTGCTCATCGGATTTGCGCCGCTGAGCATCTTCTGCCTGTGGGAATTCACGCAGCATGACTCACCGGCGGAGATCGTCATCGCCGCCATCGTCCTCGCCTCGATCATCGGGGCGCTGGTCTGGGCCGCCGTCAAGATCATCCTGCTCATGCGGAAATCGATCTCGATGCACCGCAACCCGGCCTACGTTCTATACTCGGACACCACCTGCCTCAACCGCTGGGGCTTCCTGTACGTGCAGTACCGCGCCACAGCCGCTAGCTTCGTCCTAGTCATGATCGGCTACCTCTTCGTCAAAGCGCTGTTCATCAGCCTGGGGCAGTCGGTGCCGATCGTGCAGACGGTAGCGCTGCTGGTGATCGAGGGCCTGATGCTGATCGGCGTGAGCATCGTGCGGCCATGGATGGACAAGCGCACCAACACGTACAACATCGCCATCGCAGCGGTGAACTTCCTCAACGCGATTCTTGTCCTGTTCTTCTCCGGGGTGTTTGACCAGCCGGGCATCGTCTCGGGGGTCATGGGCGTGTGCTTCTTCGTGATCAATGCGGCGCTAACCCTGATTTTGATCTTGTTGGTGATCTACGCGTCCGTCATGGCGGTCATCTCCAAGAGCCCGGACACGCACTACAAGCCTATGCAGGATGATCGCGGCTCGTTCATCCAGTCCAAGGTGCGGCTGCCCGGATCGGAGCTGGATGAGCTGGGGGCGGCGGCAAGGGGTGATATGATTGAAATCAAGTCTTGATCTCTACGACTGTCTGTATATACATAAATACCGCAAATACTAGTCCTGTCAATGAGGACTGTCCTCGTTCGAGTCAAAATGCTCGCGAGCCCACGGACTCCGCAGCCGGATCGCCCGGCCCATGTAGAAAAACACAAACGGGATCGGCACGAGTAGGATCGCCAGGAAGCCCAGCAAACTCGACGCCCACTCGTAGCCCAGCCGCTGATACATCTGGCTCGCGAACAGGGGGAATCCGGCGCCGACGACGTTCCGCACGAGGATGACCCCCGCCAGCGCCGAGGCCGAGTACGTCTGGTAGCTATCCACCACGTAGTTGAGAATACTCAGGATGACGATGTAGATGCCCGCGCCGAGGAACGAGGACGCAATTATAGGCACGATCCAGTGCACGGAGCGGTAGCTCGTCTAGCCGAACCAGAATAGACTGATGGGGATCAGGAGCGCGCCCCACCGCGCCATCCACATCCGCGCCTCGGGCTCGCCCTTGCCTCCGTTGGCGGCTACGCGGTGCAGGTAGTACCGTTCCTGTAGTGGGTACAGGCAGAATGCGATGATGGGCCCGATGGCCATGCCGAGAAAGGTAAGGCCCTGCTGGCCGCCGTTGAAGCCGTGGCCGGTGCCGGGGCCGAAGACCAGCGGGAAGGCCTCGTTGAAGAGGTAGACCAGTCCATACAGGAAGCCGTTGTAGACGGCGGAGCACAGCGTGATGGGCTCGGTGAAAAGGAACCTGAAGGGCCGGGTGAGGGTGATGGCGAAGAGAGTATGCAGGCCCTTGCGGGCGTGGGCGTGCAGGTCTCTCGTTGTCGCCGCCGACGCCAGCTTCTCCTGCGCCATCTGCTTGCGGACGCGCGCGGCCTTGCGCTGCAGGATGATGCTGTGCCGGGTCTCGGGGATGGTGAAGACGAGCAGCACCCAGAAGCCGCCGGTGATGGCCATCAGCACCCAGAAGATCCACCGCCAGCCTGCATTGAGGCCGATGTACCCGCTCATGACCAGGGCGGTCGGGGGCCCAAAGGTACTGCTGAGGCCGTAGACGGCCATCGGGCCGCCGCTGCTATTGCGCTCCCAGAGATCGCTGATGGAGCCGCCGGTGTTGGTCAGAGGCGCACCGCCTGCACAGCCAGCGATGAAGCGGCAGACGATGATGGTGCCGATGTTGGGGGCGAGGGCGAGGGGCAGCTGGAAGATGAAGAGGAGGAACCATGAGACGACGTAGACGGGTTGTCGACCAAAGTACACGGATAGCGAAGCCAGCAGGACGGGACCGATGGCGAAGCCCAGCACGTACAGCGAGAGACAGAGAGTGGTGACTTCAGAGGAGACATGGAACTCCTCGGCGATGCCAGTGGCTCCTGACGAGATGCCCCCAGCGCACCAGCAGCTGGTCTTATCAGTAACGTCATGCAGTATTGACGGGGAGACGTACGTGAGGACGTTGAGCATACTGACGAAGAAGGTAATGTACCATTTTCGCAGTTTGCCCCAGTTCCGGGGATAATCGCGGTCGTCATGGGCGAACGCTATACATATTGGTAGAGCCTCGTCCGGGGGCATGCCTGGCCCGAGCCAGGGCTTGCTCTTCCGAAAGGGCCAGCGTCAGGTCCTCGCTGCGGGCATCTTCAACTTTCTGTAGAGTGGCATCGAAGCCAGCTTGGCCTTCGCCTGACGCCATTGAATATTGGACTGACTAACGAGGCAGATTGAGGGAAAGAATGCTTACAAGGGATCGGGAAGCATAGTCGGACAGCTTCGGCCACACGATATCTCCGAAGGCAATATAATGCGGATACAATCACTGCTCACCGGACGAGAACTGGACACCGCTGCTCTCCAGCACGGCGAATCCCCGAGTTATCGGCAATCATTGCCACTGACGAGCCGGGGATCCACAACGGGCTTTGTCAAGCTTTGAAGGCATTGCTTGGTTGGCCTTGGTTGGAGCAGATGAATTCATAGGTCCACTACAGCCATTCTCGTCGACTCGGTCGAGTCATCGAGGCGAATCATTTGAGGGGGACTTGCGATGATGCAAGCTCGGTTCCCCCGTAGATAACGAAGCTTAAATATTAACAGTTCGATGGCCAGCGAATTCGGAGCAACGCAGTAAAGGACGATCTACCCGGATTGTCCTTTTCTTTATTACTATCTGAATACCTTGCCGATGCCGGACATATATCAGCAGTCTCCCGAATGTGACTACTGTACAACTTTGGAAGTTATATAGTAACCAGGACGAAGATCTCTCCCAGTACTGCCGACTTTCCTCGACGACCCTCTTCTCCAGCCCTCTTCGTCAATGGCCCGTTAACCTCTACCTTGTACTGTTTTCGGGCAACTTCTCTCTGCACGGCAGATCAACGTCAAATTCTCCGGTTTCTTTCAACGCCGACCCCGAAACAAATAGCACATGGTTCCCCGGTGGACCATTGTGGTAATGGCCAGTACTCCTGCTCGTAGTTTTCAAAGGCGATCCTGCCAGCTCGCTCGGCGTGTCGGACATGGGAGAGCGAGGGAGGGACATCAGCGCGGTGGTATTATCTGGGCCTAGTAAGAGCGACAAGGGGCATTTGCGGTGGACGTCTTGGGTGGATTCTGCAGGATAGACGGGCAGCCGCACTGTAGGAGTTGACTGTCAGTTAGGAGTCATTCTGTTTGATGTGAGAGATTCATCTGAATACATCATTGATGGTTTGAGCATATCGGACATACATTAAGTAGCGGTTATTGTCGGCTGTGGCCGATCAAGAGGAATCAGTATACAAGAGATAGAATGCATCTCAAGTCATAAATGCACTGATGGAGATCTATGAGAGAAGTTCACTTTTGAACAAAAAGCGAGGGAAATGTCCTCGCCGTCAGTTGTATTAACGTTGCTATATAAAGAGTTTCATAATGTGTACATGATGCTCCTGTCTGATAAGAGTAGCTTACATTCTTTAAACCTTGTCACTAAAGAGGACGTATAAGACTTGTGCTACAGTCTTCTACGTCGAGTTATATAACGTAATCTTCGTAAGGGCATTGATAATGGCATCCAGTGTCGGCTATATTCGTCGGGACACCATTCCACTACTAGACAGTTACAAGGACAACCGGTATCATCTATCTTGTCCTCATTCATTAGAGGTACGGCTCTCGCAAGATCATACTCGGATTAGATACAACTGGAGACCAAGTCTGTCGAGATTCAAGTATTCCATCATCCTTAAAGAGTAGTCTGCTCCGAGTGAACCACCCTCCTAACCAACACTGACTATAGGAAGCTTGTCTCAAGTACATCTCTGCATCTGTACTGCACAGACGTGCATCTCGGCAGTTGTCCGGATAAAGTCTGTTCTTGAAGCTTATGGTAGGCATGCCTTTTCTGATCAGATGCTACGGAGTCATTCCGAGGCAGATCAGGCATACCATCAACCTGCTTATAACAACCACTTGTCACTCGTATTAATCACTCAACCAACATATCGAAGGATTCATTTCGAGTCATGTGGCCATCTGCATACGTCCTTTATATTGGAGATGACGATATTGCCGGCTAACGACCCTTCGCAACACTTACCTGACTGACTCAAATTCCAGCCAGCTCGACTTCTACTCCAATCAGAGCATTCGCCTCAAGAATGGGCTTGCTGATCTGTGAGCAAGTCTGGCGCCGAGCTGCAAGGACGGAGTGTCAAGTCACACAAGCAGACGCTCCGTCGCTTAACTCCCCATATAGTGCGTCTTTTGAGGTTACATCTGTCCGAGTCTAGACCAAACACGCCATAGCTAGTTTATTTCTCACCAATCGCGGGTCTCACGCAATTCGCCATGGATTAATGGGATTGTCTCTGCCCGGGGAAGTGTGGGGTAAGCAGGGGGTGATTGGAAGGATTCATCTATGAATGCTGACGGTGGCTTGGATCAATATAACTTCATGCCTAGGTGTTTCGACTCCCCCATGTGAATACATTCCTCTGGGTCAGATTCTGCAGACGTTGCAGAGACGCGATTCTTCAGACTCAACTCGTGCTTCCTCGATTGGTGGACTTGCAACACCCAGATGAGGGCTCTCCATACCGAGGATCTGCTCATTGTCTCATGATGATGGCCTTTGACAGCAGAAGTCAAGGCCGAAGAACTATATAAAGCCCATCGACACCGGGGATCCATGCCATCACCATCACCATCACTCAACAAACAATCAGACTGACAAACAGCAAAATGCAATTCAAACTCTCTACTGCCGTGCTCGCCACCCTCATCGGCGTGGCCATCTCGGGCCCCCTCGTGGTGCGCGACACTGCCACGATCCTCACTGACCTAAAGACCATCGACACCGACATCAACACCCTCACCGCGGACTTCAACGCCTTCACCGGCGACCTGTCCCAGGCACTAGCCACCCAGGTCGTCGAGCAGCAGCTGGAGAGCGACATCGACAAGGCCACGACCGACGCAAAGGCCACTTCGGCCTTGTCGACCGCTGACAGCACCAGCGTCACCAACGCTCTTCTGGGCCTGAAGCCTGATATCATCACGTCGCTGAATGCGATTGTTGCCAAGGTACCTCCTCTCTTCCGGATGTTGAACGAGACGAAACTAAGTGTGTAGAAAACCCAAGTTACCTCCGCCGGCGTGGGCAGTCTCGTCCTCTCCGACTTGCAGGCCCTGAAGAGCAAGACGGATAGCCTCTCGGCTGCTATCCAGGCTATTGCCACTGCGACTGACAAGACGTCTATTGCCTCTGGTACCGCGGACATTGATGCTGCGTTTTCTAGCGCCATTGCTGTCTTCTCTTGATTTGAGTGGGAAGAGGACTGTAGCTAGTGTGCGGAGTACATAGTGAGACAATGCGATGTTCAGTTGACATGATATCTGTCTTGTAGCTATTGGCCCAGTATAGTCTAACCTCTTCCCCTCGCTTACAGTCCAGCACGATTAGAAAGCAAACATACGGCCTTTCGATAGTGTGGTGTAGATCCCACGCCTAAGCAAATATCAGAGACAGCAAAAATTTGAAATCACTCAGTCTTTCGTGCGGAGAAATAGGAGATACAAACTCTGGTCAATCTGAGGTATTCGTGCAGAACGGGATGTCATTCTGATGGACCATGCAGCAGGATCTCACCATGTGGATAAGAACCCAGAACATAACTTATACATCTCTTGCAAATAACCCGAAAAGAAGCCCTATTCTCGAATAAATCTGTCGAATTCTCAAACTAGGGATTGCTGGACGAATGCTAACGCACTAAGCAGCCAACGCAAGGATCCGATCCGCCGCCCGCTCAGCCGCCACCATGATATACGCCGAGGGATTACTGGTCACCATGCCGGGGAAGATACTGCCATCCACGACAAACAGATTGTCCGTGCCGTAGACCTTGGTGTTGGTGTCCACCACCGCCGTCCCGCCCGTTCGGCCGTCGTCGGTGCCCATTTTGCATGTCCCTGGATGGTCAATGGTGAGCACGATACACAGAAGGGGTTAGTCACCTACCCAGCCAATGATTCGCGCGTCTGGTGCTTGCTGTGATTTCCATCTGCAGGAGTCAGTTTACGGAGTAGTGGTGTTGAGTTGACATACCGTGTTGACAAACTCTGCGGCCGTGATATTCGGCGCAGGATAGGTCCAGTTCAGGCCGACCCCTTTGAGCGCATTCTGCATGTTGACGAGGCCCTGGATGACGGCGTCGACGTCGTGCTGGTCGCGCAGGTACGGGAGCGTCGAGACGACGGTGTCCAGGTTCGCGGTGATGGTCATGCGTCCGCGCGAGATGGACCCGCGGCCGAGGTATTGGCTCATGACGACGGCGTCTAGATAGTCAGCTTGGGTTTGCCATGTACACTGCAGCACTTACGGCCATCGGGTGTGCCATGGCCTCCTTCCATTCTGGCGGTCCACTGGATTTGGCGGGTGATGCCGTCGGCGCCGGGGATTTCGTCGAAGAAGCTGTTGGTCAGTAGGCTGCAGTGATTGCGGGAACGTACTTACATTGGACCGATGTTAGGGGCGGACTGGGTTAGGATGCCGATCCGAATGTCTGATATGGTCAGAGGGTGTCACCTATTGATAGGGAAACTCACTGAGATAGCTCGACGCATCGCTCTGGATCGGGTTGTCGTACGCCGCGTAAAAGTCGTAGAAGACAATGTCGGGGTGGGTAGCAACGGTGTCCGTCTAACTTGTCAGTGCTGACAAAATCATCAGGTGAAGTCTTACATTGACGTGGTCCACAAGATTCATGCCCACGGGAAGGCTGATCCAGGCCGACTGGTCAATCATCGTGGGTCCATCACTCGAGCTCTTTACGATATTCAACCGATCCGACGGTCCAATGCCACCTGTCTGCATTAGCGCAATCCAATGATAGAACAAAAGGCACATACTTCGCATCAAGATCCTGGCCGAGCCAAACGTCCCCGCCGATAGAACGACACGCCCGGTCTTCGCCGTGACATTGACGACGCCCTCGTATCCGCCATCCAGGAAGGGCTCCACCTCCACACCGGTGACATGCCCGTCAGCCGTGCGGACCACCCGCTTGACGGTCGTGTTCATCCAAAGCTTAAAGTTGCTTCGCTGGCTGGCAGACACCAGATACGTCGCCATAGGGCCGCCGCGCTCGCCGTGGGAGAACATGTACGGGGTATGGCCGTAGGTATGGTTTTTGAACGTTGGGTTGTCGTTCAAGGTCAGTTCGTTCCAGCCGGCTGCTTTGAGACCGCCCGCGATGACATTGTAGCCCTGCTGCATGTAGATGAGTCCGTCGGCGGAAGGATGGACGGTCCAGGGGATGCGGCTGAAGACCGAGTTTGTCGGGGTGACCATGTCCTCCGCTTGCCAGCCGGCGGGGAAATTGTACGTCCAGTCAAGGGGATATGGCTGTTCACGTCACTGACATGATCTGTGAGACGGAGCAGAAAAACCTACCTTCCACCACAGGGCCGCATTGACTGCCGTGCCTCCTCCTAGAACGCAACCCGCCATCTGGTCGATATCGTCGCAGGCGATCCCCGCGGAATCATGCCAAATCTGATTGCACAGCCCCGGCACGTCGAATCGGGTCAAGTTGGTCCCGACCAGCCAGTCAGGCTTCATGGTTCCACCCCAGCGGCCCGAGGACGGGGGCCCCTTCTCGATCAACAACACGCTGTGTCCGGCCTCGCTGAGGCGGTCTGCGACGACGATCCCGCCCGCACCGCCCCCGACAACCACATAATCAAACGTCGTTCCAGCAGGCACCGGCACCCCGACAGGGCCGGAGCCACCGCCGCCACCCGAGCAATCACCAGGAACAGTCTTGTTCGCCAGCGCGGCCCATTTCTCATAGGACGCACTAGCAGCAGAGGAATCAAGCGTCGCCACCCAGATACTCTGCGCATCGTGCTGCTGCAGCGTAATCTCCACGGGACAGGACGGGTTCCCCGGCGCGGCGACGGACTGCGCCCAGCCAAGCACCAGCTGTTTGGCGCTGGTCGGCGCGGACCCCGTCACCCCGTTGTTGTTCCAGGCGAGACAGTCCTGGCAGCGGAAGAGCAGCGTGTAGTGCGTGGCGTTGACGGTCGACGAGATCTGCGTGAGGGTCGCGTTGCCGGCGTACACGTCTGGCATGGTATAGCCCGAGCTGAAGCGGAAGGAGGTCAGGATGGTGCCATTGTAGGGCCACGCCATGAGCAGGAGGTTGCTGGTCATGCTTCCCTTCAGGGAGATGCCGCACCATCCTGTTTGGGTGGCGTCGGTGGATGCGCATTGCTATCTTGTCAGCTAGATGGGGCAAGGGGTCGAAGAGCGCCATACCAGGTATCCGATGAACTCGGTCGCGTCTGTAGTCAACGCCGTGCTGGGTAGGGCCATGCCGAAAGTGAGACCGCCTGCGGTCTGGCTCGTGGGCACTATCCACGTATCAAACGTGATGCCCGTGCCGGGGTCGGTGTAGACCACCGGGGTGCTCGACTGGGCCCAGCATGGTTCGACTGTGAGCCAGTTAGCTAGCAGGCCAGATGGGGTCAGGTTAGTAGATCAGAGGTCACAGACAGATGCTGGCCGCGACAAACGCGGCGGAGAGGCGGTTGAGGAGCTTCATCACCAGCGAAGCACAGCGTCGGGGGATAGATAGAGAAAGACATGCCAGCACTCGTCGAGAAGAGGGTGACACAAGTTGAAATACCACCCACCCACGGCCTCGCGAGTAGACAGGACCGATAAAGACAGTGCAACATCCCGCCTGGGCATCCATGATGCACCCTGCCAGGAGGATCACTCTGACGGCATTGGCCCGGCTTGCGGAGAGCCTGTGCGTAGGACAGTGCACGTTCTGGATAAATTGGCGTTGTCATCTCATATCTTGCCGCAAGGGGCTCGGAGTCTCGGCGCGGTTTGAGGTTTACATGTCCAAGAAATGCAACACTCTCATTTGCCAGACGAAGCCATTGCAGCAGGAGATTATCCGTGGGGGCCGGTGCTGCGGATAAATAAAACCAGCGCTATTGCTGGAGATAGGTAATCGGCCTCACAATTACTGATATGGGAACGGGGCAACTCTCTGCAGACCCTGAATAATGCGGAGTGCATGCTGCAGACGACTCAGACAGGAATCATTCCCGAGTAGATGTTGGATAAACCTGCCGCCAGCATACTAATGTCGAATGTGTCTGGAGAATACATGCGTAGTCTGTCGTGCATGGCTAAACATCCACCTATAGCGATACTAGTCCCCAGTAACGTAAGTGCTTAATATATTGTGCTGACGACCTGAGCATAGTCCATTCTCGTGCTGATTCTTCAAGATGCAACTGTTCAGCTGGCTGGTAACTAGCCTGAAGATGACACATTGTGCTGGAATATGTCGATGGACAGGCTATACAGAGGAGTACAGGCTCAGGGTTGCCTCACCAGATCATATGGGCCCTGTCAGAACTCAGAAGTACAGACAATGGCTCAATTCTAGAAGCATTAGCTGTCAATCAGTGACGCTTCGGGCCGCCTGCCGATGACGAGCCAGAAGTGCAGATCTTATCCTACGTTCCAGTGACTCATACCGATGTTGAAGCTACTCATTGGAGATTTGGTATTTGACATATATTCCAAAAGTAATATGTACTATCGCTTCAAAAATCGTCCAGGTGTTTGTGACCACTCCAACGAACTGGGAAGGCGTGTGCGCCTGGAGGTCGGGTATATCGACGAGGTGCAATATGTGATATGAAAATTCAAAAGGCAGAGCTGAAGAGCATGTACAAGAGAACAAAAAAGAGAGCCAAAAAAAAAAAAGAAAAATTTGCAATAGTCATTGCTTGGGCTTGGGATGATACCGGTAGCGACGCCAGTTTTCTCCCACCCACCACGAGGCAACATGAGCTGCGTCCCGGACCCAGTCGGTCACTTCTGGGCCGTACTGTGTTTCGAGTTTGGCGGCCAGGTCAGTCAGGTCAAAGTTCTTGATCGGGTGCAGTTCGTTGGGATCCTTTTCCAGATCCGTGAACCGCCACGCCAGATCATCGATGAGGGGGATGACGAGCCGGTAGCCGGGTTTGGCGGCGGAGCGCACCGACAGCCAGGAACCGCCCGTGTTCATCACGGTGAACTGCCAGTCTTGCTTGCCATTCTTCTCGGGGATCAAGGGCCGAATCATCGACTGACCCTCGTAGATGGACAGCATGTCCTTGGCCGCACGGGTGGCCTTTTTCTCCAGCGAAGAGGTCTCAATCAAGAGATCCAGGATCGTCGGCACGATCTGGTCCGAGATCACGGGGGATGTGATCTCCACGGGCGGGAGCTTGGGGTGAGCAAACACGATGGGAACCTGGAAGTTGCCGATATGCGGATTGTCGTAGGGAGTGAGGCCTCCGTTGTTCGGAAGAGACAATCCGTGATCCCCCGCCATGACGAGCAGGGTCTCGTCCGCAACGCCTTTCTCCTGGAGAATGTCCATGATCTCCGCCAGCCAGTTGTCGATAAAACCGACAGTGTTCAGATACTTGTTGAGATCATCCCTGGCCTGGATGTTTTCCTGGCCCATGAACTGCTGGTAGCGGTGGTTGGGCATACCCCACGGATGGTGAGTCGTACCGGTGAGATGGGTGATGAACAGTCGCTTGTGCTCCCGCTCGGCGTCGTCGATGGCATCGCGAAAGTACTCGCGGAGCTCGGTGTCGGGGTATCCATAGTAGTTGATCTCCTCGGACTTGACTGGATAGTGTTTGGCGGTGGGGTTTTCCAGCTGCTCCTTGGCGAGAATGTCCTTGAAACCCAGGCGCGGAGTTAACGCGTCTTGCTTGTCATAGCCCTGGGTCACGGACTGCATCCACTTGGAGTGCCAGGGCCACGAGGTGAAATCCCGGGTCGTATCCGCGGCGCCAATCTGACGGTTCAGGGCGTTGAGCACATGCGGCATGCACGGTTGGTAGATGTGATGCTGGTACTCGCGATTGAAATCGGCCACCAGTGGAGTAACGCCGCAGACGGTTCCGACAAGGCTCTTGAGCGTGTAGGTGCCCGTGGTGAACGCATTTCGGGCGCTGATGCCGCCGAACGCTTTTCTGCCATTGTGTGCAGCCGGGTCGCGCGCAAAGCCCGAAGCAAAGCCCGTGAGATACTCCGCTGTTCGAGTCAGATTGGCCAGTTTCTGCTGCACGGCATCGGGAATGGTGTGATTCGTGTGGGAATCGGCGATGCGATTCCACATGAACGAGTCCTTGCGGAGCGGAAAAACATCTGCTCGGGTGCTCTCCAATTTCAGCAGGATGACATGTTTGATGCGAACGTGTCCGCTGGCGAGTGCTTTCTTCAGGGGTTCTAACATGGGATTCTGTAGATTGGAGATGTGCAACGGATCCTTGGCCGGGTTGTAATGCAGCGGGGGAGGACGACCGCCATGATGCGGTCCGGGATGCGGTCCGGGATGCGGCCCATGATGCGGTCCATGATGCGGTCCATGATGTTGCTCGAATCCCGGATACCAATCCTCGAACCCGGCGATCGGATCGCTCGGGAGCCAATCCCACCTCGGCGGCTCATCCAGCGCAGAGCGATCATCCAGCCAGCGGTAGTCTCCCGGCATCACCTCGACATCGATCGTGGACTCGCCGCGGTGCGCTGGGGAGAATGGAACGACGGGAAGCGCTCCGGACAGGAACATGTACGAAGGACTGGGGGGGCGAAGGCACCGCAGGAGCACAAATGCGCCGAAGAAGATGAAGACGGCCACACGTTTGACCAGCGACTCGCGATGTCTGACCGGCGTCTCATGATTCATCATCGGATCGAGCAGAAACACCGAGTCTCCGTCGTCGCTCTTGTCGTCCAGATAATCATCGACCGCAATGTGTTCATACCTCTCGGGATCGATGGGACTGGCCTTCCTCGTCCACTGCCGGCGGCGAAGGCTCCAGATCCGTTGCGCTAACCTCCGCCAGGGCGCCCCCAAGATCCGCAAGACCCCGCCAGTGGCTCGGTGGATGGGCGCAGCCAGGAACCAGGAGGCAGCAATTATGATGGCCTCGGCGATCAGAAATCCTGTCAAGCCGGTGAGCAGGGTGCGAACGGCAGCCGCATCGCTGCGAAAAGTCCGGACCTGTCGCCAGTGGATCTCGGCACCGGTCACGATGTAGAAGGAGGTGGCGGAAGAAGACATGGCAGACATCAGCAGACTAATACGAGTAACAGCGATCAGTCATTTGATGTTGCAGACGAGCTGAGAAAGGAATAGTGGATGATCTACCTGAATGGCACAGTGCATATGGCAGCGAGAATGGCGCCAGGTCGCCAGCGGATGGTCTGGGTGAGCAGACGGACGAGCAGGATGAAGATGACATCCTGGAAAAGGAAGGTCGGCCCCCACAGGAGCAATTTGGACGGTGGTAATGAGTCGAGATGAGCATATATGTGTAAGAATTTGGCCCAGATCAGGGAGACAACGGCGAGGGTGAAGAAGAATTTCCGCGATACATTCCACCAGCGGTCGAAGGTGTGCGCGGGGGAATCTCGGATGACTCGAACGAGCTGGTCGACGAGCGAGGAGAGCTTGGAGAGGAGCATGACGGATGAAGAAGAAGATTGACAGCTTCTCTTATTAGTCCTATTTAGAGGGAAACTCGCATGGCCCACGATGGGGCACGCGATCAGCAAGAATTGCTACGAGAGGGAGACATCCGCATTCAACAAGACGGAGAAGGCATCGATGAGGATGAGAAGATGATGTAGTCAGAGTCAAAGAGATGTGGAAAAGAATGGAGGAAAGGAAAATAAGAGGGGAAGAGAATTTATCAGACGTACTTTTAGGAGGAGACGATGTCACTCTAAGTCGGCTGGCCTTGGGATTAGCTCGAAAGCTCTCAGCTCTCAGCTCTGGACAAGCGAATCCACTCTGGGCAAGGCACTAAAGGCAGACACTATTTCGGCGCCCGGTAGGAGCCGCAGGATTGGAGATTGTCATTACGAGTACGGAGTACTACTTTACTATTGGGATCAGGCCCTGCGCCATCGATCCTCCATAGAGGATGAAACACGAGATGGAGACTTGGACCCTAGACCCTAGACCCTTGGCGTTGGATTTGGCCCCTGATTGTACGCCAATAATAGGTACTTGCCTAGCAGTTAGAGCTCACTTATTTTAGAAGTGCAGAGTCTGTGGAATAAAATGGCTGTAACTTTTTACCTGAAGAGGAAGCTCTTCAAATAGGTACCTAGCCTCTACCACATTACCTTTCTGTATTTGCTCTTCTTGAGCATACTGAGATGAGTGTCCAGGTCAATTACCCTGAGGGAGGAGTGGCTGCCTCCTTTTCATTTTGATGCCCGGAATAGATGGCTTTTTCTGTGCGACCCTGGGCTAAACCCAAACAGGCAGGATGACACACGCCCAGCGCCAGACCAGTGGATCCCTTTCCCCTTAGGGAATGGCCACATGGAGCAGTGTCTCTCAATCTGTCCAATCACATCGAGCAATGTGTCAAGGGAATCCCGTGATGTTTCATGATTGTCTCCTCAGGCCTCAATCTTTCATTCTTACTATTATTAAGGTACTTGAGACAGGGAACAAAGAGCGGTTCCAAGTTGAAGTGGACTCGGCTGCACTACAGCGGTTAAGTCTGCTTCCTTCCATCCTTCGTTGGAGTCCAGCTGAACAAACACCGGTGGGGGGATCAGATGGGCAGTTGATCGCGTGATCGCATAAGGTACCAAATTAGCTTCCTTCCATTAGTCTGGTTTATATTCGATAGATCATAGGCCGTCACCCTATTCTGAACATACTGTTTGGAGTAGACAAAAGCATGGAATTGACCAGTCCAGATAAGCTTGCTTGGTAAGACAGTTGATGTAACATTGACACTGCAGTATCATGCAATAATATCACACGGTATGACAGTGATCGAATCATTCACCTCGGTCTCGCTGCTCAGCTTATGACAGTGTAGATCTCACGTTCGGCTTGAACCGTGATCCTCGGCTGCCCTTCTAGAACTCTTTACCTGTTTGAGCAATCGTGAGCTGATCTCTTATGAGGAGTTGATCAAACAATACAATATTAACGAATGCTTGAATCTTCCTAAGAGTGCTCTTACTTCGGCCTGAACGCCTGAGGCCTGTCTGTGGTCCCGTGACTCGGAAATATATTTGGAAAGCCAACAGTCAACACACTTGTCCATCACACCAACACACACCAAGGCAGCTCATCATCAACCATCAAATGCCATCAAATGACATCCAAAGCATCATCAAAAGATGTCAGCATTGGCCCAAATCCCGACTCTTGGCATATCTACTACATGGCTGTGTACAAGCCAAGCCACGTTTCTTGTTTGTGGCATTCAGACGTTCAGAAAAAGACATTCATTAGACACTGCAAACGCAACTAAAATCGTGTTTTAAGATACAGTTGAGAAGGGGAGTAAAGTACATGTTGCAACTGTTGGCTGAAAAACAAACAATTTAGATATGCACAACTCCATCCCAGTCTAGCAACTCATGGCCTTGGCCATGAATTGCGACAACTCCTTCGCCTTCTGCCCCGTCGTCATGGTGAAATGGTTCGCTTCCTCCATCACATGGATTCCGCCAATGTTTTGCGGCCCGACCAGAGTATCCCATTTGTTTGCTCCCAGATCCGTCCGGTCGTTGAGCAGCCACTTCATTTCTCGGGGGTCCTCGGATCCATCCTCGGGAGGCTCCGGCCGCGGATCGCCCGGCTTGCCGCAGACCCCGTCCTTGGCCCAGATCAGGTAGGTCTTGGGCATCTTCTTGGCCCATTTGCTGTCATTGAACGGCAGAGGGACCGCTTTGTAGGCATCGAGCGAGTCGATAAAGGCAAGGAAGTGTGGTAGGAGCCAGTCGGGAGGCGCCCGCTTCCCATCGCCAAAGAGCCCGATCGAGTTGAAGAACTTGTACAGACGAGGGGGCAGCTTCTCCAGACCGATGGGGAAGGGCGAGTCGAGCAGCAGCAACCGCTCCACCTCCTCCCCTTCCTCGAGGATCAGCTGACGGGCCGCGTCGAAGGCGCAGATCCCACCGGCCGACCAACCGCCAAAGCTGTAGGGTCCCTTGGGCTGGCGACGGCGGATCTCAGCAAGATATGGCTCGGTCAGCTCGTCGAGACTGCACGTGAGGTTCTGAGGTGTCTTCATGTAAGGGCAATTGAGACCGTAGACACAAACATCCGGGGAGAGGGCCGGGATAGTCGCGTAGGAGGAGGCCGAGCCCGAGCCGTCGGGGAACATGAAGAGTTTCTTCGTGGCGGTGCGGGGGTTGCCCTGAAGAAGAATCGAGGTCGCCGGAGGATGTCGAGTGGCCTTGGGCTTCTTGTCGTCGATCGTCTCGAGGAGCCTGATGGGTTGGGGAACTGGCGTAGCTACACGGACGATCTTGGGCTTCAGATCCAGCGCAGCTTGGACCGCATCGAGGGTCGGGTTCTCGAGGAAGAACTCGGAAGGCAGGTCGATGTCAAGTGTCTCCCGGATTCGACCGAGCACGGTCAGGGACAGCAGAGAGTCCATGCCCATCTCTGGCAAGCTGTCGCTCGGGTCAATGTCTGCGACCGATACCCCGATCTCCTCGGCGATGATACTGCAGATGCTATTCCAGACCTTGTTTTGTCCGCCCCTGGGCGCCTCTTGCTTCACAGGAGAGGTGATTCCAGGCGTGGTCAGTCCGCTGGAAGCTTCAGACGATGCGTCGCTGTTGAAAGAGAACTTGGACTCGGGCTCGCTGGACGGCTCGGGACTGCTGCTGTCGCCGAAGCCCTTCTCCGCCAGGAATGCCTTGAAATCCTTGATGGTTGGGTAGTCCATGAACACGGACGATTCAAGATCAAGGTTCAGTTCTTCACGGTATCTACCGGTCACCGTCAAGGAGAGCAGCGAGTCGACCCCGTAGTCGGCAAAGTTGAGACTGTCGGTCATTTCTGCCTCGGACAGACCAACCTCCGCACCCAGAATCTCCAACGTCCGCGAAACCACAGGTGATGCAGCTCGTGCGTTGCTTGGGTTGGGCTTGGGAGGGCCTGTGACTTTGATAGGGGGAGGGGCTTTCTTCTCCCCAATGGGCTTGGCCGGCACCGGCGCACTGGCGGTCTTGGAGCCTCCGACTGGGGGAAGAACGGTATCCAGGATCTTTCGAGCTAACGCTTGGAACTATAGACCGACGTTAGTAAATCACACTTCTTTCAGTCGATATATTTGGGGATATACCTTGACCCCCCCGTACACAGCGATAATGTCATCCCCCTCAAAGACATAGACGTCACCCGCCCAGATGGAGTCCTTCCACGGCTGCATCTTCACATATGTCTGGTAAGTAGCGTCGCCGGAGAACATCTTCAGGCAGCGCATGGAGTCCCATCCGTGGTTGACGAATACCTGGTTCTTGGAGTCGGTCGCATCGCTGGCATTCATGATGAACCCAGACAGATGGCCGAAACTGTCGATCCAGAAGGGGTTGCGATGGAAGTTGCCCGCGGGGGCTTGGAACTTGACTCGCGCCGTGGCTTCGTGCTGATTGCTGTCCAGGATGACTTCCTGGATGGACTTGAAGTTTTCGTCATAGTCCACCAGAGCAGCAAACAGCTTGTACACCATTCCTCGCTGCATGCGGTGAGCCTCTCCGGTCTGAGCCTTGTCCTGCAGGAGAGAGACGCTTCGCTTGATCAGGTAGGAGATTCTCTTCCACTCCGTCTCGCGCTCGGCGCAGTTGAAGAGCTTGACAGTGCAATTGGCGTGCTCGACCGTTTTCTTGCCGTCCCCGTTCACAGAGTAGACCTGCACGGTCGCCTTCTGCTCGGCCCAGCTCATGACCGCCGAGACCCTGAAGAATTGATCCCCGGACTTGGCAATGAGAGGCTTAGGCACAGTCATCTCGCAGACATCCAGGCCCAGGCCCTGGTACTCTGGTTTGTATTTGGCGATCAAGTGGTCGACGAGCGTTTGCGCAATGTCAGCGTAGAGAGACTACATATATGGATTAGCTTCCTTACTCGAAATGGTGAGTACAGTATAACTTACCGATGGGGTAAGAGCCACTCCATTGACCTTGTGGCCCTGAATAACACGATTGAGTTCTGGATCCGCGATATTATTCTCAACCACCAATGTCGCCGTGCTTCCGTCCTCGCGGCATTCCACAATCTTCTGCGCCGCGGTCGTGAGGAAGGTAGACTTGGGCGCCGATACCTCAGCGGTAACAGGAGCCCCCTTGGTAAGGCAAAAGTTGTTCGTGTAAGGGATCCAGTAATTCTTCAGGTCCCAGCAGTACCGGGGTAAATCGAGAACCTCGTGGGCCGAGCTAAAGTCCTGGTGGAATTCCTTCCAGTTGAGCTCGACGCCTGCAAGATGCAACGTCGAGAGACTGTTGGAGAGGATCTTCCATGGATCGTCGTCGCGGCGGAGTGAAGCAACAGTAGTCGCCTGCGGACCGAAGGTGGACTTGATCATTCCCGAGCAGATGGGATGCGATCCCACTTCGACCCAGAGCGTGGCGTCATTCATCAGCTTGGCGTGCCGAGTGGCCTCAAGAGCACCAAGGAAATTGACGGCTTCCCGACAATG